ACAAATACAGCAAAACATATTCAACGAGACGACCCCGACTCCAGCCGAACAAGTCGAGGAGCCCCCCGAAATTCCTCGGTGGGAGCAAACAACTCAATAACATCTCGCTATCAACGATCGACGCCAAAACCGATAAAGCGACGAGCTCGAAAACATGAAGGCACAGCTACGTCAGATGAGCTCTCGGGTCCAACAAGCAACAATCTCAGCGCCAGAAATAAATCGCGTGCTAGAGGAGACGCAAAACACACCGTTCACGAGCCATATCGCCAACTCGCCGGCGAGACATATCGGAAAAATTAAGATAAACCCATACGACGGAACCACGGATCCCACACCGTTCATGACAACCTTCAATGTCGTGATGTACCGCATCCCATTCCCCCCCTCCCATTTGTAAAAACCGGGTCGTTACAATAATGATCAAAATCTAATACACCAAAAAACGAAGGAAGAAAACAACTGACTCGTCATAGTCTATAGCCAATTCGATTTTGGCATTTTGCGACCCAACAAATCCAAAGGTAAGTGGGTCTACTGTTGGTACCGGGCCAGAGGCCCACCTAATTGGCCTAGTCCATTTACAAACTAATGGGTCAATATCAAAAAAGGCCCATTAGCTGAAGTCAACCCGAGGTCAACAAGAACAGAGGGAGGCCCGGCTCGTTTCTAGTTAGAAGTTCGGCTCATTCACGAAAAAGCCTGCAGGCCCATACGACGGAACCACGGATCCCACACCGTTCATGACAACCTTCAATGTCGTGATGTACTGCATCCCGGGGAGGGGGGGGGAGGGGGGGCTACTGTCAACTGTTTGTCGAACAACTTATCGGCACCGCCTTAAGGTGGTTTTCAAGGCTGGAGGCAAATTCAATCGACAGCTACAAACAGCTCAGCGTGGCATTCCTCAAGCACTACTCGATTTATATCGAGAAGGGAGCATGCGAAGCGGACCTGTACACGCTTCGACAAGGCCAAAAGGAGTCGTTGCGCTCATACATTGGAAAATTCAACAGCATCGTCTCCAAAGTGTCGATATCAGACGAAGCGGCAATCCCGGCGCTCCGAAACGGGTTATGGTATGAGTCCGACCTCTACGAAGAACTGAAAAAGAACAGGCCCCAGACGCAGGAAGACGCGCTACATAGAGCAACAGTCTTTATTGAGCTGGAAGAAGAGAAGATCGAAAAGGCCAAGAAGTATGGAGCCCCAAAAGCACCTACGCCGAAAGAGAAGCCAAAAGAAGAGTACCACGAGCTCCGACAACACTACGACAGTAGCTATCAAAGGAACGACAGAGAGAACAAGCCATCCACCTTTGTCGTCAACGACACGCAGTCCAACAAATGGCATGGCGGGAGATCAAACAAGTACATCCAGCCGAATCAGCAAGAATCGCTCGGAAATTCGAAGTCGTACTGCACTATCCACAATCGTTATGGCCACTCTGACGAAGAATACCGACTACTGCACGATCGTATGTTCGCACGATATCAGAAAGAACTCAAAAAGTCCAGCGGAAGTCCATTAGCACTATCAAACGAGAAGAGAGGAGACCTCCAGCCAAAAAACGAGGGAGAACGCTTCAAAATCGTCTAGGAGCAGGCCAGACAGCAGCCTATCCTCGCTCTGCCGGGTCCACCATCGGGGTCGCCCCCAAAAAGAGGACATAATAGGCAAGACGACGACGATGCCCAACCCCCTGCAAGAAGAAGAATTAACATGATCATGGGGGGACTGCCTACGTGTAAAGATTCGGTACGTTCAATCAAGGGATACGAGAGGCAGAGCATCGCCGCCCAAAAATGGAAGCGCCATGCCATCGACGAATTTAAAGACGGCCACGACGTATCATTCGGAGAAGAGGACTTGGAAGGGATCGACACGCCACACAACGACCCGCTTGTCATAGAGCTTCGAATCAGCGATTGCAAAGTCACCCGCATCCTAGTAGACACCGGCATCACTGTTGACCTGTTATTCAAGAAAACGTTACAGCGAATAGAACCCGAAGGAGCGAAGTTCAAAGCAAGCATCAAACCACTTACGGGATTCGCAGGAGACACCACGATGACGATTGGCACCATCAAACTCCCAGTATACATCGGACACACGACCAAAATCATAAAATTCATCGTAATTGACAAACCAGCAATCTACAACGCAATCCTCGGCACTCCATGGCTACACCAGATGAAGGCGATCCCATCTCCTTACCACCAATGCGTAAAATTCCCGACACTAAGAGGCATCTTCACAATTCGAGGAAACCAAAGGATCGCGAGGACCTACTTCATCGTCGAACAAAAGCTGAGGAAATCAATCTCGATGTGCCCGATGATGACAAAGATGGAAGCCTTACTCCCGCCACCAGACGACAAACAGAGAGAAGAGGCCGTCAAAGTGAATATCGATTTAAGCGACCCGGAAAGATGCGTCAGAATCGGCGCAGAACTGAACAATGATCTCAGAGACGAGCTGGTCAATTTCCTCCGAGAAAATGCCTCAACCTTTGCTTGGACGACCGAAGACATGAAAGGAATACCTCCTGCCCTCGCTTAACATGAGCTGCACGTCGACCCAATGTTTAAACCCATTAAGCAAAAAAGGCGCAAGCTCGGTCCCGAACGAGCCAAGGCGGTGAACGACGAAGTCGAACGGCTATCAAAGGCAGGATCGATCACAGAGGTCAAATACCCAGACTGGCTGGCTAACCCCGTCGTCATAAAGAAGAAGAACAGCAAGTGGAGAGTCTGCGTCAATTTTACAGACTTAAACAAGGCCTGCCCCAAAGACAGCTTCCCGCTCCTCCATATCGACTGATTGGTCGAGGCGGCATCAAGCAACGAACTATTATCTTTCATGGACGCCTTCTCCGGCTATAAATTACGATGCATCCGGACGACCGAGAAAAGACTTCCTTCATCACCGATCGGGGCACGTATTGCTACAAGGTCATGCCTTTTGGCCTCAAGAATGTCGGAGCAACTTATCAACGCTCGGGCAACAAAATGTTCACCAACCAGCTCGGGGAAATGATGGAAGTCTACATTGACGATATGCTCGTGAAATCACTTAAGGCTGCAGATTACGTCGACCACCTCCGCACCTGTTCCAATAGCCTTAACGAATACATTATGAAGCTCAATCCGGAGAAGTGTACCTTTGCCGTCAAATCCGGGGAGTTCCTCGGGTACCTCGTCACCAAGAGAGGAATCGAGGTGAACCCCAAAAAGATAGCTGCGATTCTCGAGCTGTCATCGCCAAGGAACACTCGTGAAGTAAAACGGCTCACGGGCCGCATCGCCGCCCTTAACAGATTCATTTTTCGATCAACCGACAAGTGTCTCCCCTTCTACCAACTTCTCTGTGGTAAAAAGCACTTCAAGTGGGACAAAAAGGCTTTCGGCCAACTCAAGGAGTATCTATCAACGCCACCAGTCCTAGCGAAGCCCGAGCTCGGCAAAATGCTTTACCTCTACGTCGCCGTATCTCACTCGGCCGTCAGCGGCGTACTCGTCAAAGAAAACCGGGGCGAGCAGAAGCCGATCTTTTATGTGAGCAAGTCATTGGACGGACCTGAGAGTAGATATTCTACGATGGAAAAGCTCGCACTCGCAGTAGTAATCTCAGCCCGGAAGTTGCGTCCCTATTTCCAATCACACTCAATCACGGTTCTCACAAATCAACCGCTGCGAACAGTCCTGCACAGCCCAAGTCAATCGGGGCAAATGACGATGTGGGCCGTTGAGTTAAGCGAATACGACATCAACTACAAGAACAGGACGTGCGCCAAGTCTCAGGTCTTTGCCGATTTCCTCATAGAGCTACCACTCGACTCTACTCCCGTGGACTCTCCCACCGTCGTGCAATGGTCGCTATATGTCGACGGCTCGTCATCTCGAAATGGATCGGGTATCGGAGTCAGATTAATATCGCCAATTGGAAAAATCCTCGAGCAGTCATTTTGCCTTGAGTTTGCGGCGTCCAACAACGAAGCAGAATACGAAGCTCTTATCGCCGGCCTGTGCCTGGCAAAAGCAATAGGATTAAGGCAAATCCAAGCATTCTGTGATTCCCAGCTAGTAGCTAGTCAATTCAATGGTGACTACGAAGCAAAAAATGAACGAATGGATGCCTACTTAAAAGTAATCCAAAACCTTTCAAAGGACTTCGACGATCTCACCCTCACCAAAATCCTGCACAGTGATAATTCTCCAGTCGATGCGCTGGCCGCCCTCGCGTCAATCTCCGACCCAAACCTTTACCGTATGATACCTGTAAAGAGCATCAAAACTCCGAATGGGAGACTTGGTAAAAAGTAAAGATAACCACGAAAAAAGAAAGGATAATTATGAATAATAATATTCATAATTCATTTAGGAAAATGTTCATTAATATTACATTAAAAATATAATATTTATCTAAACTAAAAATTAATTATTTCTCGAAAGAAAAATAAAATATCGAGAGATAGAAAATAGATTTAAACCATCTTAGTTAGAATTAAATTTTCCAAACAGGCTTAGTTTGTAAAAATCGAGTCGTTATAATAATAATCAAAATCTAATACACCAAAAAACAAAGGAAGAAAACAACTGACTCGTCATAGCCTATAGCCAATTTGATTTTGGCATTTTGCGACCCAACAAATCCAAAGGTAAGTGGGTTTACCTCTATATATAAATTTGCATGAAAGTAATTACTGAAAATAGTTATTATATAATTGGTGCCGACAACGTCAACAAACACAATTATTCATTACATTATTGTACACGTTCATGCTCATGCACATGTACTTTATTGATTTTCACACAATACATAAACTTAATTACTTCTTCTCCCCTCCGAAGTTATTAATATTACAATATCAAATACTTATCACACAAATTAAACAGAAGTCAACTAATCCAAAACCCTTTATTTGATACTACATAGTTTTGCAAATTAGTTGACTCTTTTGAAAACCACCAAAACTCGTAACGTAACGCACACGTTTATGCTCGAGAGACGGCACAGAAAGCATCAAGAGTAGATCGAGCTTTACGACCAGCTTCACTATGATAGAAACTCATCAAGTCGTTATAGTTAAATGGTTCGAAGATACGTGGATGCTTCTCGTCCACAAGTTCTTTTGGTGTGTCTATGATGTAATCTGCGGTTGGAGCCGAGAACAATGCTATTGAATATCTTGTCTTCTTTTTCTCCGTTACTCTTACTCGATGAAAGGGACGAGTTAGTCTACCATTCATAAGTGCCTGCAAAAAAAAACAAAAACAAAATCACCATTTGTTTTGTTTGTAAGTAACAGCAAGAGATCATGATCAGAAGAAAACAAAACATCATGTTATAACGCTTTTAGTCAAACATGCACTTGTGAAAGTGATAAGAGCGAATAAAATCAAGAAAATATTAATAGTTTCTATAGGATAAGTTGGTCCATAGTGAGCGTGAACGTGACTGAATAATAATCTTTTTCTCTTTTTCGCCACTAAGTTTGTTACTTCTCATACATTTTTAACTTATTCTTGGTTTTAATTTTAGCTTTCTTTTTTCTTTCTCTATACCTGTAATTTTAAAATTCGGTTTACTTTTGATTATTCTTTAGGCCATGGTGATCCTGTAGAATACTTGTAATTATTGAGCCCATAAAATATTCTATATGCTATAAAATAATTTTAATTATTGAATACTTTAAAAATATTCTATAGGCTAAAGAATATTATGACTTATTGAGCCTATATAATATTTTAATTATATTCTTTAGGCCATAGTGAGCCAATAAAAAATGGGTTTAGTTTTAATTATTCTTATTCTAATTTAAAAAGTAGGTTTATGATATAATGTAAATGAAAATTCATCTTCTTCTCCACTAGGGTTACTTTTAAATCCACCAACGTGTACGTCAGTACGTGTGAGTGTCAACTTAAAAAAAGAAAAAGAAGAAGAAGAAGAAGTTGGAAACTTACGTATAGAGAATCTCCAGCCATAACAACGAAAGAATTATGAGATGGTTTGAGTCTGATCCACTTGTCATCTTTGGTTAGAACCTCCAAGCCTTCAATCTCGTATTGATAAAGCACCGTTATAAGGTTCTTATCAGTGTGAGAAGGTAGACCCAATTTCTTCTCAACATCATCAGCACCACCATTAGCTTTAACACTATCGCCAACACCAGCATCAGTACTAGTATTAGCATTAGCATTAGCATTAGCATCAGCATTAGAGCCAACAGTAACACCAGCATCAGCACTGGCATTAACATCAGTACCATCTTCGGCATTAGACTTAACACTAGCACATTCACCAGTCTTAGCATCCTCACCAGTCTTAGCATCCTCACCACCATCATTAGCATCAACACCAGCACCATTAGCACCAGCGTTAGCATCATCACCAATATGAAGATTAGCAATACCATTAGCGATATCACCAGCATCTACATCATTAGCACCAGCCGCATCAACTTTATCATTTGTAATCGTCTTAGCATTATCATCAGCATCTTTGGCATCAGCCGCAACATTAGTAGCATCAGCATCAGGCGGTGCTATATACTTCATCAGCCGCAGACGGTAATTCGTTGAGTTCAGGTGTTTGTCAAGGTACTTCTCTATCCCGAAGCTTTCCATTACCATTCTTCTCACCATTATATCCAATTCTGATAACTTCTCTGAAAACGTCTGGATCGTTTCGCTGTTTACAACACAAACAACAAAAATGTTATTTAAGTGAACTAAAGTTTTTCACACAAATACAAAATTTCAATTATTAGTTTCATGCTGTTTGAGTGAACTAATATTCTTATACCACAAACAATAAAAATGTAAAAGCGGGTTTATTTTATGTAGTGAAATAAACTGCCAAAAAGATTAGGAAGCAATATTGAGTATTTTTATATTATGAAGCAATATTGAGTATTTTTCACAAATTACCTGATGCTCTTGTTACCGTCACAATGATCAGGACGTAGAAGTTGAGTAAACTCGTAAACTTTGTCCAAAACATGAGGATCCTGGATCCCCATACTCTCGGAAAGACCGTTATGAGTGGAATAACCGCTGAAGGGTTTAGGAGAGACGTTTCTCTGTTTAGCCTCAACTGGTAACGCGAAAAGCTCTTCCATGGCTTGCAAAACCGACTTCTTAAGCTCCTCCGACACTCTATCGTACGACACCTCGAAACCGCCGTACTCTTCAAGAGCTTTACGGACATCACTCCTGACTTCAACCCACTTTGAGCTTCCTGGTTTTAGGGTTTGGTCCGAGAGGTAGATGACTGGAAGCTGAGGAGTGTTTGAAAGTGAACCCATGTTCTTATTTCCTTTGCTGTGCAAATCCGAAACACGTTTACAAAATTTACATCAGTTCTTTAGTTATTATACCAACGACAAAAAAAAAAGAAAACATTCAAAAATCATAAGGAGAGTACCGATGGAGTTTCTCGTGATCCAAAGACACCAACTTGGTTTTTGCTTCCGTACGTGCTGACTGCTGAGAAAGTAAGTGTTGGAGTGTCCCATTTATACAAAAATTTCATAATACTTTCAACACATGTTGCTTTTCAGTTCTTTTGGCTTTTTCTGTAGAGAAACACATATAATGAATATACAAAGGGAGGAAAGTTGGTGAATTTATCACACACAAAATAAAAACATTAAGTTGGTGAATCGTTTCCTTCCTTTTATTGAGTCTCAATACATTGTATTATTACCTTTAGAGTATAAGATGAACACCAACTTAACGACTAACCTAACCTTCCTTTTTTTTTTTTTTGAAAAACAAACTTAGGCTATGAATATCAATAGTTTTTAATATGAGTTTAATAGTTTTTGGTTAAAAATTTTAAAGTTGAAAAAGAAGTTTTGAGGAAGAAACCTAATATGAGTTTTATAGTTTTTGTTTTTGTTTTTAAAGAACTCTATATAGAGAAGTTTTCGAAGATCGTAGTGGCCAATAAAATAGTTTTCTCAAAAACTAAAACAAAAAGTACATTATAAACTACAAAATATTCTCAGTCTTATCCTTAATTAGCTAACTAACTAAACACTATAACCCTAGTTACATTCTAACCATTGTATAACCATTGTATAAGATATACATTTAGAATTCTCAGCTAGTGAAATGATTTTTGTAAAGTAAAGCAATAATGAAGAGAAAAAGGAGAACAGCACATCTTTAAAGTAATCTCTTTTTGATTGATCTCGGTTGGATCCAACTGTGCATTTGAGTACTATGGAGCAAAAAGCTGACGTTTTAACTGCATCCACACATCACCTCGGGAATGTTTCTGGAAAACCTTCTCGAGATAAGATTGAAAGTAGAAGATGATCATTGATGAATAATCTTCAACATTGTTACAAAATATAAGTAAAGTATTTACGAGGTGAAATTTTGAGTGATAACTAGTTCTAGTTTCTCTTTAACTAGAGCTTTATCTCATGCATAATACCAAATAACTTCTTTTTTTTTTATAAGATCCGTATGCCAATTGCTTTTGAATATCTGGAGCGCATGCAGCTAATACACTGAAAGTGAGAGTAGAAACTTTGAGTTTTTCGTAGAGGACGAATCTTCTAAAAAGAGTAACACCAAGCCAAAATAAGGATATCATTCCAATCTACCCGATTCTCCCCTATTACTTCCTCTGGCGGTCTGTGGGGCTCTCATAAGAGTTTGGTTCATTACGTTTCTTCTTTTATAAATATAAGTATTTTGTAAGGCCCCCAAAAATATGTATATGTAATCCATTTTATTTAATTAATAATGTATATAAAGAGAGGAATGCACATATATTCTCACATGAGAAAGTATATAGATAGAAATCCTTAAGTGGCAGCCATTTCTTTTATGCATGTCTATGGTGAACGTGTGCATGTGTATGTTAATGTTTGAAAATAACAAATCCAGAAGAGCTTTTTAAACATAAAAATTAATTTGGACTGATACATGCACCGAATGTGAGAAGGAAGATATATGTGCCTTGTTACCACAGTTGGGCCTAAATACAAGACTGGCCCGTTTCCAAAAGTGTTTCAACGTGAGCTACAAGTCGACGAAGAAGTTATAAAAAAGTTTCTAATAACTTTAACCTAATCAATGTTCAAAGTGCCTTAAAGGCACCAAAGCCTAGGGAGAGAAGAGAGAGAATAACAGAGATATTTCCTCATTTCGATGGGAATGAGAAAAACAAAACACAAGAACAAAAACACACAAATAAGAAGTGAAAAATCGCACTGTATAGTGTTAATATACAGAAGTGATGTAATTTTTTTACTCTAGCTATCACTTCTCATATTTTACAACACGAGTCATCATCATCATCCATATATCTCATTTTCACTAAAGAGTTTTTTTTTTCTATAAAAAAAAAGAAAAGAAAACAAAAATCTGTAAATTCTGACCGCGAACTTTGAGCTTGGTGTACTTAATTATGTAGAACACTTTCGATTTCACTACTTTCTCCATTGTTCAAAACGGTATAATCTGATAATTGTTTTAATGGTTTCGACAAAGTGTAAAACCCTAGTGCAATATATTTAAGTTTGCAACAAATGTGATACACTATACTGTATTACTATAACAAAAGCAGTATCAAATCTTAAATGAAGTTTTTGAATGATTTTAGTGATCAGAAGATGAGCAAAAGTAATCAATTCAATAAAAAACGATCTAGTAATCTAATTCAACGTGTAAGAATTTTAACCTTTGCTCCACAAAAAATAAATCTACTCCAATACTTTCAAAAAATTTAATCATTTAATGCATAACATCACACACAAAACACGTTTACAGATACCTGCAAGCAGGCAGCGTAACGGTTGGTATTAACTGCAGCCATAAATGTCAACAAACGCAATTATTATGCAATTCCTTAATTAATAAACTATTCACCATAACAAGCTTCATCAAGTCAGCTACCATTTGTAAACACAGACGTACTAAACTATTCTTATAATTCCACCCCAAAAAATTGGCATATTTAGGCCAAACCCCAAAAAGCAAAAGCACACCGAATCAAGAAATGGATTCAGACTCTCTTCTTCCTCCTTCTGTTTCTCTTCAGCTCCCAACTATCGCTTTCTCCGGTCAAACCCTAAAACCAGAAACCGCAAAGTGGGATGAAGTGAAGACTGATGTCAGAAGACGTCCGATCATTTTAGGGTTGCCCTCCTATTTTTATTGTAGTTTAAACCGATAAACATGAATTTGCGGCAGAAGACAAATTTGCTAGGGTTTAGTTTAATATAAAAAGATACGATATTCTGTTAGCGGCTCACCTCGAAAGGAATCAACGTTTTCAAATTCATTTTTATTTCTCGTCTTCAGTGTTTGGCACATATTCCTGCTTATGTAATAATTTGTATTTGAATGTTTTGTAAACGATTTTGTAATTGTTTTATACTTTGGTTCTTGATTAATGAAATTTAGACGAAAAAAAAAAAGATGCGATATTCTATAGTTATGATTTTGGAATAATTTCTTCAAGTTTGGATCCATGATTTCTTAAACACACCCTGTACTGTATGTATCCCATAATTTATATCTGAACACCTATAGTTGTGATTTTGGAATAGTTTCATATTCCTTTTAATAGTTAACAAAAAGAAGACATATTTAAATAGATTTGTATAAATTATATTTGGTCTAAAAAATAGTTAGATTCCTGCAAGCAGCAGCGTAGTAGTTGTTGTTATAAATTGCAGCCATAAATGGTCAACAAACGCAGTTATTACTCAATTCCTTATATAATAAACCATTCTGCATAAGAAGCTTTATCAAGCCAGTTACCATTTGTAAACACATACTTGGTACTTAGGCCAAATCCCCAAGAAGCAAAAACACACAGAATCAAGAAATGGATTCAGACTCTCTTCAGCTCCCAACTATCGATTTTTCCGGTCAAACCCTAAAACCAGGAACCTCAAAGTGGTATGAAGTGAAGGCTGATGTCCGTAAAGCTTTAGAAGACTAAGGCAGTTTCGTAGCTTCCTATGACAAAGTGCCAGTGGAGCTTAATAAGTCTGTTTTTGAAGCCATGGAGGAGGTTTTCGAGTTGCCGGTTGAGACCAAAGAGAGAAACGTGTCTTCGAAACCCTTTCATGGATATTATAGTCTTAAATTTTACCAGAGTTTGGGGATCGATGATGCTAATGTTTTGGAGAAAGCCAACGACTTTACTCAACAGCTATGGCCAGATCATGGCAACAAGAGTATTAGGTATGAATGTATAATTTAGGTCTATATATATAACATTTTGATTGATAAACGCAACTACAGTATTTGTGTTTGAAACATTCCTTCAACGATCAAATCAAATATTGGGTTTTTATCAAGATCATATATACGTTTTATGTGTTGAAATAGTGAGACGATTCAACGGTTTTCGGAGAAATTAGCGGAGTTGGATGAGATGGTGAGAAGGATGATCATGGAGAGTTTTGGGATAGAGAAACACATTGACAAACATCTAGACTCTACAAATTATCTACTTCGAATGATGAAGTATACAGCAGCGCCTGATGAAGTATGATGATGATGATGATGGTGATGATGATGAGACAAAGATAGGTTTATCCTCTCATACCGATAAGAACATCATCACAATACTTCATCAGTATCAAGTTGATGGTTTGGAAGTTATGACCAAAGACGGAAATGGATCAAAGTGAAAGCATGTCAAGATTCTTTCGTCGTTATGGTTGGAGATTCTCTGTGTGTAAGTTATAACATTTTCCTACACTACACACACACACACACACTATATATTCTTAACGAGAGAATAATAAAACAATCATCCATTTGTTGTTGATGTTGCAGGCACTTACGAATGGTCGATTACATTCTCCATATCACCGAGTCGTGCTAGTGGAAAAGAAGACAACAAGGTATTCGACTGCATTGTTCTCGATTCCAAAACAAGGAGTTATCATAGATTCACCGAAAGAACTTGTCGATGAAGAACATCCACGTTTATTCAAACCCTACGAACATCACGCTTTCTTTAATTTCTTTCACTCAGAAGCTGGTCGTAGAGCTGAGTCTGCTCTCCACACTTTCTGTGCTCTCTCAAAGTAATGGCTTTATGTATGATGATGGTTTGTTACCATTAATCCAAAATTATTTGTTTATTTGGTCTGTCCCGTTTATTTTTTTTCTTCATCTAGCAACTTTCTTTGTTATTTGATATGTTTTCACATCCATTTATATGTTTTCACATGCATAAGCATAAACATAATACACCATCCACACAAGGCCCGCAAAGAGTATGCGAACACTGCTGCTATACTTGTATAGAATTGTACCAAATTCTAACGTCTTTTGCTTCTACTTTGATTTCATGAATGTTGAATCACTATATCGCCTAATCGAATAAGTAATAAACAGTTTAGAGATTTAGAGAATAAAATCTTTTATTATAGCTCAAGATTTTAGAGGTTACACAAAACAGAATGTTTTGCCGAGGTCAAAGTAAAGACTTTTAAGAAATCGAACAGAAGAACTAGGAACATATTAGGTTTTCTCTTGCTGCTCTTTTAGGATTTTTGTATTATATCTTAAACTATGAACCCCAGATCGGTTCCATCGAATTTCTTTCCTTTTCACAATAGGAAAATCTCTTTTTTTTAAGCTTAAAATGTTTCATTTATCTTAAATCTATTTTCTTTTATTAAAGCTCGGATAGATATATATCTTTGCTTCTAATGGGTTTATCTTAATGTAAAAGAGCATTTCAAAAATGTCTACATTTTCCACTCTACACTAAGCTCCCCTAGCTCGTCAATGTGATTTATCTGACTCTATTTTATTAAGGTCAGACAGTCAGGCGAGAAATTACTAAACCGTTAATCAAGTGTACATCACAGATTATTCCAAATAGATGTCAACAAACGCAATTATTACTCAATTCCTACTACAATTCTGCATATCAAGTCAGCTACCATTTGTAAACACATACTAAACTTTTCTTATAACTCAGATTCCACCAAAAAAATTGGTATATTTAGGGCTAAACTCCCAAGAAGCAAAAACACACAGAATCAAGAAATGGATTCAGACTCTCTTCTTCATCTTTCTGTTTCTCTTCAGCTACCAACTATCGATTTCTCCGGTCAAACCCTAAAACCAGGAACCTCAAAGTGGGATGAAGTGAAGGCTGACGTCCGTAAAGCTTTAGAAGACTATGGAAGTTTCGTAGCTTCCCATGATAAAGTGCCATTATTGGAGCTTAACAAGTCTGTTTTCGAAGCCATGGAAGAGCTTTTCGAGCTGCCGGTTGAGACCAAACAGAAAAACGTGTATTCGAAACCCTTTCTTGGATATCTTAGACATGAGTTTTTACCAGAGTTTGGGGATCGATGATGCTAATGTTTTGGAGAAAGTCAACGACTTTACTCATCAGCTATGGCCAGATCATGGCAACAAGAGCATTAGGTATGAATGTATAATTAGGTCTGTATATATATATATATATATATATATATATAACATTTTTTATTGATAAAACGCAACTACAGTATTTGTGTTTGAGACATTCTTTAAAGATCAAATCAAATATTGGGTTTTATTAAGATCATCATAATATGTTTTATGTGTTGAAATAGTGAGACGGTTCACTGGTTTTCGGAGAAATATGCGAAGTTGGCTGAGATGGTGAGAAGGATGATAATGGAGAGTTTTGGAATAGAGAAACACATTGAAAAACATCTGGACTCTACAAATTATCTACTTCGAATGATGAAGTATACAGCAGCACCTGATGATGATGATGATGTACAAGAGACAAAGATAGGTTTACCCTCACATACAGATAAGAACATCATCACAATACTTCATCAGTATCAAGGTGATGGTTTGGAAGTTAAGACCAAAGACGGAAATAGGATCAAAGTGAAACCATCTCAAGATTCTTTCATCGTTATGGTTGGAGATTCTCTGTGTGTAAGTTATAACATTTTCCTACACTACACACACACACACTATATATTCTTAATGGGAGAATAATAAAACAATCATCCATTTGTTGTTGATGTTGCAGGCACTTATGAATGGTCGATTACATCCTCCATATCACCGAGTCGTGGTAGTGGCAAAGAAGACAAGGTATTCGACTGCATTGTTCTCGATTCCAAAACCAGGAGTTATCATTGATTCACCGAAACAACTTGTCGATGAAGAACATCCACGTTTGTTCAAACCCTACGATCATCACGATTTCCTCAACTTCTTTTACACAGAAGCTGGTCGTAGAGCTCAGTCTCCTCTCCACACTTTCTGTGCTCTCTGAAACATATTCGCAATAAGCCAATAACGAGTGTAACGACTTTATCATGTATGATGGTTTGTTACCAATCCAAAATTATTTGTTTTTAGGTCTTTCGCGTTTATTTCTTTTTTCATGTAGCAACTTTCTTTGTTATTTGATATGTTATGTTTTTTTCACGTCATTTATATGTTTTCACATGCATAAGCATAAACATAATAGACCATCCACACAAGACCCGCAAAGAGAAGAAAAAATATCTCATCTCGCTAAGAAAAAAAGCACTATACCATTCTCATTATCTGGTACAGTAGGTTATAATATTACACATGTGCGGCAGAGTATATGAACACTGCAAATTATGAACCATTAAAATCTTGCTGTACTTGTATAGAATTGTACCAAAGTCCAATGTCTTTAGCTTCTACTTTGATTTCATGAACTCGGGGGGAAAAACGCGGATGCAATTAGATTCAGATGTATGCAAGCGAGCTTCTGTCAAAATCCGGTTGTGGTCTCCCTCGCGTTGGAGTTGGCGGTCTCTGTATATTCAGCTCCTGCAACACAATACTATAGTTTCAGTGTCTGATTCTTTCTTAGCTACAACAAAACATATGAACTCCACAATATCGTCTTGTTCCAGTACTATCTAAGATCGACTTGCTCCGTTCACGGCTGAAACAATAGACATCATGCTAGTGTACATGGTAGGAAAATGTCTCGTCTTGTTACAGAACGACACATGTTTTTGCGGTTCAGACGCAAAGACAATCTTTTGCCACAAGGTCAAGTTGCCCGGTTCGTGGCTGAAACAAGCTTAAGTTTTGCTTTTGTGTGTGGAGAATGTGTTCTTATGATGGCAGTAAAAGAGTGTAAGCGTGGATTTGAAGCAGTAAAAGTGTTGTTTACCTGCATCCAAGCGTCGTCACCAGAATGTTCTGGAGAATTCTCTGGAGACAAGATGGGAGGTGGAAGAGGATGAATCAACTTTGGAACAATCACCAATCCTCTGCCAACCACCAATATAGCTCCCGCATTGTTCGCAGTTCCTGTTATAAAAGTATCACAAATGTTTTTAAATTTGTTTACCTCAAGCAAATCCAAAATTTACAAACAATATGAAAACTTTAGTTTCTCCTCACCGCAGTAATTTGTGGCTGAGAAAAGCGTAATCAACTGTCCTTGTGCAAATCTCTCGAATCCATCCATCACACATTCATGGGCCCTAATAATTAACTGTAATTTATTCTTCTTACAGAACTCTGTCACTCTATCAGGCTGCAATATCAACACGTATGCCTTGAGTGACTGGTCCCCGCAAATAAATGATAATTAATGAAAGGAGACAATAAGAAAAGATCTTTTACCCCAAACGTGACAAGACCTGGTCCTCTGGCGTTTGGTCTCAGACCCTCTATGCTATCGTTCTCTGTAGGATCAGACCTGTATTTCGAAATAATTATATTATGACTGTTTCTAATGTAAGATATAATGATCGGTATTAAAAGCAGGAGCAGAAAGAAAGGACGTATTACCATAATAAATCCATAAGAACAAGGGATCCAGCATCCATTGTTATGGGCCTCTCGATTTTTTCGATCTGTTCCACTGAACTGATTGACCTCCCAATTCCTCCATGCATACATATAATCTTATTCTCGATGAGTGCAGCGAGAGGAAGATAGTTGAAAAGTTGATTGAATCTTGTCCATGCCCAGATCCCATCATTCTCACCCTGATCAAACATAAAGAGCAAGCTTAGTCCAAGCAGAGAAAAGATAGAGACAAGGACATTATATATTTTGCAGAGAGGAATGTACCATTCTTTCTATGCACTCAAGACGGAAACCAAATAGAGCGTTAATATCAGCAGCCTCGTGATTTCCACGAATCAAGTGAACATTCTCCGGATATTCAATCTGTACAGGAATATTTCAAGACCATAAACCCAAGAAGCAAAATTTAAAAGACACTAGTAATATGGGTGATGTGAAATTAGGCACCGTCTTGCCTTCAATGCAAGCAGCAAAGTTATGGTCTCCAGGCTGTGTTGCCCCCGGTCGACATAATCTCCCAAAAATAAATAATCAATATACCTGATGCAAACACGTTTTTATGGATTAGTGAGAACTTTTTATAAGCAAAACTGACATTACTCAACCGTTTTACTTGAACTTACGTGATATCTCCAGCTGTTGAGGGAAATCCATATTCATCAAACAACCGCATCAAATCGCCGAATTGCCCATGGAGATCGCCAAAGATTTTAATAGGAGCTTTTAGCTGAAGAACCGTTTGCTCATGCATAAATATTTGTTCCGCAGCATAACAGAGTTCCCCAACTTCGTAAGAATCCAAGAAAAACTTCCTATTGCCAGGAGGTTTCCAGTTTCTAGGTCTCAACAAAGCAGAAATGACCTGCACGCAACAACATGTTAGTAGATATCAACTGTGACAGCGTCCACGAGGAATCATACCTTTTTATGCAGGCCTTGAGGAGACTTCTGTCTCGTGTACTTCTTGGTCGGTTGTGGCACATCGCTGTTGTTCATGGGAACCATCCGTCGGCTCTCATTCTGAAACTGATCCAAGCTTAGCTGTCTTACCATGCCTCCCAGGCTTCCGACCGTCTCCTTTGCTACCACAACCTATAAAATGAGATGGTAAGACCATTTGTGGTAATCAAATAGATGCAAGACTAGATATAACACATTAATATAAAGGTAAGCATAACAGAAACAAAACAAAAAAAAAGAGATATAATATAAGGGATTAACATACAGCTCTAGGATGAAGCCGGACATCTCCTTCAGTTTCAGGACCATAAGTAGTGGGTTCTACTGTTGACGAGCTGCCATCAGATGTAGAGGGTTCTTCATCTATAGAAGCAGATCCTAATTGTGCAGCTCTCCACACAGAACTAGCTGCCTCTGCTTCCGCTGCAGAAGCCTCGGTCAATTTCTCCAAGGAATCTTCATCCAAGCTGATATTGTTAAAGGAGAAAAGAAAGATATATGTAATGCTCGAACAACTAGATTGAGTTTAGCACAAAACCAAAAGAGAGAAATGGGATAGACCTCAGTCCTTCGGACATGGAGAGTGCTGGCTCAGAGCCTGAAGGAGGTCGTGCAGCATAAGAAAACCTGGGAGTCGAGCTTTGTTGGGTTCTATCTGATGCTGACAATGGAGAACTGATGTCTGACTGGAAAGTTGAATTTTCAGCGACTAGAAAATCGTCAAGCAACACATCTGCGACGAAATAAAAATTACGGCAATATTCAGTCATACTAAGATAGGCATTGAATAAACTAAGAAAAATGTAAGCATGTCACAAAAAACTTCCCAAGAATCAACTTGATCTAAGCAAGGATACACGAAACCATAGAACTTAAGTATATGTATGCGATAAACATATGCATCTTGTAGTATAAAACTTAAAATATCAGGAGTACCTCCTCTAAGACCACCATGTACATAGATCCGGATGCCAACTGATGCAGCACCATGGCGACAGCGTCGCATCAGTTCTACAGAAGGATCTTGATCGATCTGTCCTTTACTACCACGCGCAGAAGTCACCTGACCATTTCTATCCAACCATACACCCGCAGCAGTATCAAGCACTGCGAGAAGAAAGATATACAATAATAATTACCAATACCGAAAATGGCTACGAGGGAGTAAATCCCAGCTTTTATATTCCTAATTCAATACATTCCATGTGATTGACCACCGTCTCCAGGAGAGGCTTACAAAAAAACATAATCACATAGAACACTAAGGTCACGAGGAAAACAGCCATTAGCGTTACCTGCAACAGTTACTTCAGCATCTATTACTCGGCCTCCTCTCAGAACACCTCCGCTGACGTGCAATCTTGCACCTACAAAAACCTGATGAGGAAAACAATCAAAGAACGCAACGAAATGGCTAGGGTTAGAGCACTGTATAGTAATTGAATCAGGCTACAGTGTGCAGTCTACTGTGATAGAATGTGTAGTGTTTCTATTAGCCCACACTTCTCTCCATACGTTTTGAAATTAGAGTAAAGTTTAGTTTACCGCTGCATGTTGATATCTTGGAGAAGGAGCTACGCCTGGAGCCAGAGTCCATTCCCACTGACCATTTCTATGCATTAGTAAACCATAAGCATCTCCCAGTGGCTGCAGATGCAAGGACATATCAGGGAATATGCCAGAATTCATAGATGAGATAGCATCTTAAAACTAAGATCCTATAGCAAGATAGGCCAAGTTCCAGAACAGAAAAGAGTAGAGGAGAAGATAAGTATACCGCCCCCAATGTGTCTCTTCCACCGCAGAGTAAAAACATACCGTCAGAACGAGCACTGCCCGTAGCATACCTATGCAGAAAAATCAAAATATGAAAGTTCAGTTGAAGAAACAGATGTTCTATAGCAGCTATTCAAATCAACTATATCACTAACATTCTAGCACTTGGCCGGTCACCATCAGGGTTTAATCTCTGCCATACATATGGCTTCTGAGCTGTATCCAATGCCCAAGCGTCAGAGAGAGCTCGTTTCCCTGTTCCATACACAGAAGGATAATTGGGTTCTTTAAGATATACACAGAACTTGTAAGAACATAAACTATCTAAGGGCACGAAAAAATTTCATAACCATATGATACAATATAAAGTTGAAAGCAAAAGACATATAAACATATCTAAGTAGCTATATTTGATGATTAATGGTCCGTAGAATAGGACTTTGACTGAGACATATGCTTTTGTGGCGGAGAGAGAGACATGAGTTAACTGTTTTCTCAATCGTATTACTAAACTATTTGATGCCTAGTAGTTAAACAGAAATCCTGAAGCTAAGGCTCATGAAATGTCGGATCATAAATCAAGAAAAATACAGATATATTCTTACCATCATTGCCGGTGACTGTAACAAGATACCTCTGTGAGACTAAGTCCATAACATGACCATAGCGAGGACCTGGACCCTCCCCTTGAACCACCACTCTGACAAAACGCATTAAATGAAAGAACTTTGTCGTCAATACAATAAATAAGCAAAGAGAGACGGAACTGAGAAAGAATTGTAAATGATCTCTCTCACCTATGCCACTTAAACTTATCATTAGTCATGTCGAGTACGTAAAGATCATCAGTAGAGTGCCCGGCCGGTCCAATGCCACCCTGTTAATTAGAAGAACATAAAGACAATGCTAAACTAAAATATGACCAAAAGCCTTTCACATTATGGCTTAGCAAAGAACTGACTATTAATAGATATAAATAATAATAATAATAATAACCTGAAAAACGACCATGGTTCCAACCGCAGCTGCGGCGTGAGCAGCCCTAGGAGACGGAGGCTCACCAGCCGGTTTAAGCCTACAAGGTAGCTCTCCGTCAATCAAAAACCAATGTGGGTTTTGGAAGAAGACAGTAAACCAAACAACAAACTCTAATCACTACAGACATAAGATGCTTAAATTTTACCTTGTCCACTTCCTTGTCAGAACATCATAAGAATGCACTGAATTGGTCACACCCGCTAACCCTAGAAATCAACCACAACCATAAACAAACCCAGAAGCATCAGGAAACTTCAGATCAAACCCAAACAAGCGAAAAACAAAAAAAACAAAATTCCCAAATCCGAGGAGGAAATTTCAAGTTTAACGGAGGGTACTTACTGATCCCAGGCAAGGAAGAACTTCCGCCCTCAATAGCGGTGGCGCCGCCGAAGAGTATGAGTCGAGGGCCGTGAGTCTTGGTAGCTGCAACCGCCGTGAGTGTATGAGCGCATCTAGGACCAGGAGCGTCCTCTTCATCGTCCCAAAAGGTTTCTAGGGTTTTGTACTGAGGAGCTGGATGTAGCCACGGTTTCGTGCCCATGGATACCACTTTGCGCGTTCAAATCGCCCCAGCAACAGCAAAATAAAAAAATAAAAAACCAAAAACGAAACCTAGAAAAATCGAATCGAAGAGAAGGAAGACCACGGCACGGCACTGTTGAAGTGAAGTTCGAAGAAACTTCAGATCGGAGGAGTAAAGACTTCACGGTGGACGACGGTGGCGGTTCACGGCGGACTCTGTCTTCTCCCTCCCTCCCTAAGTACACCTTTCTTTCTTTTCTCGAGACAATTCTTTTTTTTTTCTTAAAGAGAAATCAAAAAAATTAAATTAAAATGTTTTGCTCCGGCGGATTCTCGAGGACACAGTTTTCTGCGGATAGAAAAGGCGTTTGCGCTGAGCTGTACTTTAGTCTTCTTTTCTAGTCAACGGCTTTATTTGTGCCTGAATATCGAGAATACCCCTAGACTCGTGAGATTAGTTAAATCGTAAAGATTTGCTAATTTCTATAATTGAATTATCTACCTTGATTCGATCACTCAAATGTTACTTGTTACTTAGGCTTTTTAGTTATCTAATCATATTTACAAAACAATTCAAAAATATAGTCATATTATTTAAATAATATACAAATTAAAATTACTAAAAACTCTTTCGTGTGAGAAACATATGTTATCTATATTATAGTATATAATTTTTTTCGGACTATACTATAATATATGTTTTTATACGAAAAAAACTTATATAATATAATACGTAAGTTCTAATTACATATTAGTTTTAACATATTATACTATATCAATTTTAATGTCGTACTATACTATTTATAAAAATAATTATTTTATATAATTTGTATAGTATGAGTAATGAAATGGGGAGGAAAGGAGAGGGGAGAGAAAATGGAGGATGGGAGAGGAGAAGACAGGGATGAGAGAGGAGAGGAAGAGGAAGAGGAAAAGAAAAGATGAAAAGACGTGAAAGTACGAGAGAAGAACAAAAAAAGAAGAGTGATAGTTTGGTATATATTATATAAAATATAAATAATACTATAACACCTTTGTTCATATGGTCATTTTATTAATTTCAATTGGTTATATGGTTATTACAGCCAATTTACCTTGTTACTTACTAACTCATTTGACAATACAAAAAAAAGTAAATATTGGTAATATGATTTTAATGACCTTATTTTGTCATTTAGCAGTGTTACATCAAGACACATAATAAGCTTATATAGACTTATATAGGTATTATTTCCAAAAAATCATTAGTCATTATGGTATTCACTATTTATAGTTTAAATTGATTATTTCTTAGATTTATGTTTTGAAGAAAATATACAACTCTGTTTTTCAAACAAGCATATGTAGAAATAATTGTTATAAAAAGATAACATTCCGTGTTTTTAATACACTTTTTATTAGTTAACTAGATTACTTCACGTGACATACACTGAGACAAATTTTAATTTCTAATTTATATATAATAGTAATATAAAATTATACTATATATATATTCTGGCTAATTTATAAATTGACTAAATTTATAACTATTTTGGTTAATTTATAAATTAACTAAATTTATATATATTTTTAATATTGTTGGATATGAGATGTTTATTATTAATCATATTTTGTGTTTAAGTAGGGGTTTTAAGTAATGCTTGGGCTCCATACATGTATTTTTTAATAATTTTATATTTGTAAATGATTATTTCAGTTCAACAGATTTAAAAAAATTAACGTGTACGGAATATCTAATTTTTTGTTAGAAAATTTGATAATTATTTTTTTTAAAAAAAAATTAAATTTAGTCAAAATACCAGAAATTATGGTCCTAAAATTTTGATCATTACCAGTCCCAAATTAAGATAATGCTTTTCAATACATCAATCTTACTTTTCCTCCTGATTTGAAAAATAAACAGGCTTAGATTTTGTAAAATTTTGTTTAATAAATAATATATAATTTTTCTATAATTAATATTTGTAACGATGATATTTAGAATATAATGAATGATTTTAAAAAAAATAAAGAAAATGAAAAAATATTGTATCTTGAAATTATGCACTCATAAATAATCACAAATTGCTGTATGGATTTTCGACAATCAAACATAAATTTTAACTTATTATTTTAGGTGTCTTTTAATTTAGTTTATTCATGTTAATTTTATTTTTCTGTTTGGTTTACGTGAAAAAATAAAATCAAAACCACTTAAATAAAATCTTTTAAGTACCTACAACAAATTAAAATTAAAGTAAAATCAAAACAAATATACCTTAAACTTTTATTAAATAAATAAAATGACCGATCTCAACTATATCTTAAACTTTTATCAAATAAATGTAATTTTGATATATGTTCCATGTCTTTAATCAACTTTGTGGCCGGTCTCAATATCTAATATACATTATTATTGGAAGATAATCCATTATAAAGGTAACGACACAGAAACACATCAGTCGAATTTTTTAATCTACCAAAGCAATTAAAGAGACGAACATGTATCAAAATTTGTTACAAAATGTATATATATAATTATTATATAAAGTTAACCAGTTTGTCTACACTGATACTATAAAGAACATCAACAATGAAACATACAAATCAGGTTAATATACATAACAAAAATATATCTGAATAAGACTACAAAAAATTAGAAAATAAAAAAAAAATCAAATTCAAAAAATTATAGAAATAAAGCTACAAAATATCAAACGGGCTGTCAAACATTCCAACATGGATTTTTCCTTGCACAAACTTTAAAAGCTTCATGAAGACTTAGTCGTGGCCTTTGAAGGCGTCTTGTGAGTTTTAAAAGTTTCATATCTTCCTCAAATGATTTGCTCTAGTTGTCAGTCGGTTAGCTTCGAAACTGTTGCTTGTTTGTTTTTAACATGACTTTCCGTGAAGATCAAACCATTTTTTTAGTTAATTCCACCCTCTTCTAAAGAGGACACTAACAAACTAAAATAAAAAAATACGACTGAAAACTATAATTTTGTAAACAAAAATTATACAGCTAGAAACCGAGCGATGACTCCACAAACTTTTATTTGCCGTGATTTGCCGTGATTTCATTAAGTGATTTCCTTGCAGAACCACATATAACTTTTAACAAAAAGAAGCACACCTAAAGAAACATAATCCTTCTGATCATTGATCAAAACAAAACAAACAATCCATTGAAATGAGAAAAGATTAAGATGCATCAGACGTTTTATGTATGTGGCCGATATATAAAAAAAAAGGTTAACATGCAAAAAACAAATAGATGCAGCAAATAAATTAAAAAATTGATGATCTGTAATGTTTGACAAACATTTAGATCCCAAAGAAACTTACTGAGATTTATATATTTCCATACAAAATATTTGTGTGGCCGGTATATGAGAAAAATATTAACATTAAAAAAAAAGATGATGCCTAATGTGTTGTTTTCTCTAATCCCAACCCAATAAACTTCTAATTGCCACTACACATCTATTTATACAATTATCATTTCGAAAGATCTGCAAGAAAATCCATTTTGAATATATAGTTATTCTTACTCCTATATTAATAGAATATAATGCTATCTTTCTCAATAAAGATGACATTTTAACAATATTGTATGTTTTAAGGTAGATACATACAGAATCAAATATTTAACAAATATTTGTGTTCCAGAATATATTTGTACATTCCGTATTTTGTGAAAATATGCTAACACAATATTTTTAAAAAGATTTGTTATTGGTTAATGAATCTTCTTTTTTTGTTTAATATTCAAAATTTTAGTAGTTATTGTAACCGCATAATAATATATTCAACTATTATATTTAGATAAGTAAAATTTACCATATAATTAGTTATCGTTTAATTCGGTTTATTATCTAGTTGGATTGGTTTATGTATTATATGTACATCAATTTTGAAAGTTTGGTTACTATCACACCCAATTTTAATCAATCAAACTAAATCATAAAACGAATTTAACCCAATTGTAATCAGTAATTGTTAATTAATTAAATCGAGAAATATTAAGAATATAATTAATTAATTAAATCGAAAATATTATGAATAATTGTGGTGTTAAAACACATCAGTAAAAATATATATAATTAAAATAATGACATGTTAGCTTATGAACAAAAATTCATTTAAATTTTCTGTCATATTTATTTAAATCAAATTGTTTAAATTATAACAAAAAACCTTAATATTAATTGCAGATTTTTGAAATATTAAATGCAATTAAAAAAAATAATTACAAAAATTTTTGTTTGATTGCAAAGAAGATTGTGTTTGGTTGCAAAAATAAAGTATTTAAGTTTTTAACATTTTAAGATTTAAAAAATTCAATATTCTGAGATAATGACACATAAGCCACTAATGCTTTAATACTATATATTAGATGATAATTAAATATAGTTTGAAAAAAATATTTGAATTTATTAAATAATTATTGATTAAAATTTTCAATTACATAAAATAATATATTTAAAGTTAAGTTTTAATATGTTTTTTAATATGTGTGAAAATTAATACTTAATGTTTCAAAATAAAATTAAAAAAACAGAGGGGAATACTTTTTTCTTGAAATAGCATTAAAGTCAACTAAAGGAGAGAAAAGTCAATCTCTTCCGTCTGTTATAGTTTTCAATATTTACTCTCAAAGTCTCAACCTTCACCTGTAAAATAACCACAGAGACAGAGAGAGATACAGAGACAGAGCTCATAAAACATAGAATCTTCCGGATTATGACCGAAGATAAACTCTAGACAGTTAAAAGATAACAAAAACCTAAATGATCCAAGTCAATGCAACTGAGTCTGATTCAAATACCGAACCTTGCTCACATCCCAAGCCACTCTCACAGCTCCAAACCTCGAATTAGCTTCCTTAAAAGTCTTCCCAACATCATTAGATCCATAAGGGATGATCATTTTGGTCCAATCAATTGCCGCACTAAGCTCCGTTACATTGAGTACACAAACCTGTCTTGTCTCAAGGCTAATACCGTGCCACTCACCCTCTGTTTGCAACACCATTGCTTTCCCGATCCCATCTCCTCTCTCGTCCATAAGCACCACGTGTTGCCCTCGCTTCAGCCCTTCTTCTGACGATGACGATGATCTCATCGGGTTCTCTCCTGCTTTCGGGTTTCCCGATGTACCCTGATCTTGAGTTGGTGTTGATGTTTTCTGCTGCCAAGTGTTCTCATCTCCAGGACTCTCCGCTAAATCCCCTGAGCTGTTGTTATCACGAACTGGCCCTTGCTTGACTGCGCGAGCTAGTTTCGCTTTTCGGTTATTCACCCTGAGAGAGAAGAACAAAAAACTATCAATGTCAGACTGAGAAATAGTGATTGCGAGACTCTCACTTTGCAGTGGACAGAGCAAGTACCAGTTTTTCAGCTGCGAAGATGTAATAACCTCGGAGCCCTGCAAAACCAAAGCTCAGACTTTGTAAAAAACCGGTTGGAAATTAAAAACGAGTAGAAGACTTCTTCAACTCACAATTTGACTCAAATTATCGGCCCATCTCCGTATCCAAACTGGATTTCGCTGGAAATAAGGTTCATCAGCAATCGCGTTCTCGATCATCACCACTTGTTCCTCATTCAAAATACTACGCTTCCGCTTCTTCCTCTCTTTCTCCAAGACAAGAGAGGCTTCAGCTTCAGCTCTCTCATCCTCCTTCACCTCTAACGATGTACTCTCTTCAAACCGATTGCTCAAAGACTGCACCGACTCCTTAACCTCAAGCGGACCAACCAGACTCTTCCCTCTGTTAGAGCTTGTGTCTGAACCACTGGTTTCAGGATTGTTCGCATCTGCGTCGCTCTCTTTCAACCGCTCAGCTACTTCCGTCTCCTCGTTCGCACCTTGCTTTGTCGCCGCGCCTTCCACTCGGACATCAGAATTCTCTGAAGCTTCCTCATTGTTGTTAAGATTCAGAGGCTCTGTTCTCTGCTGATTACCAGATGGACTCCCTCCCGCACCTTCAATATCCTAGAACAAACATAACATTCAAAACGTTAGGAAAGACCCATATTTTATTAACGTAGTATGATCGACAAATGAAAAACGTCAGTTACAGTTGCTTGTATCAGTGTAACTGAACAGATAATCATAAACAAAAGCAGGAGCAACCATGTACAAGAGAGTAACAAGCTTTTTCACCTTCACCTCAGCCTGACTTTCCTCAAACTCAGTATGGATCAGGGCTTTCAACTGCTCGCAGAACACCCTGCAGGCCACAGCATCACGAAAATATTATATCAATGGCGATACAAAACAGCACAGCTCGGGAACTATAACTAATGTTATTTCATATTTTCCCAGGTGAAATGTAGAATGATTGAGAGGTTCTGTCACCTGAAAAGCGTTAAATCTTCGTCACTAAGGACATTAGGGATCAAGGAGTCTGCATGACGCAACAGAGAAACTACAAATACAAAATATCCATCACGATAATATCACCAAAACATGTGTAATAAGAAACAATAGATATGTCTGGACTGGATAAAGGTACACACCTAAGTTTTTGCAAACGCCAGTGCCTCTCTGTGCCACCGGAATATATGAAGGGCCTGGTAATAGATTACCCAATACGCTTGAAGGATCCTTTCGCAATCCACTCACAAAATTATGAACGAAGCGGTTCCTCTCCTCTTCTGCGGGTTCAACACCAATTCACATAGTAAGAGACAAAGGTATGCCACAAAGTATGATTCAGGAACATCATATTGGCAGATGTTGGGGGAAAATAAAATTACCTTGGCAGAGGTCGGGAACGAAGCAGTGAAGATTCGCAATGATTTTAATCAGTAAGGATGTTCTTTGATGCGCGTACGAAGACACGCTGAGGTTGTTTTGAAAATTAAGCTTGAATTGAGGCTCGACCACTTGAGATGAAAACACACTTAAAACCCATCCAGTTGACGTAAACAGATCGTAATCCAGTGTCGCATCATCCTCCCTCGAAGAAAGATCAGAAGAGCACAACACTGACAAGAACTCTCTATGGGAGAGACAAAATAGTGCGCTGAGAACCATAGTCTGTAGATAAGATTAAACATTCGTCATACATCAAATCACAGAATTTGAGTACCGCAATAAGATATAACCAGAGAAATGAAAGTTTCGAAGATTGTATCCTGGATAGAGAATCGTATGTGCCAAAACAAGAAAATTACGCAAGCGGCTTTTGCAGAGTCAGAAGTGTATTCAATACTTACAAAATGTTGGGTGAAAAAAGGTCGAAAATTTGAGTCATCCGTGAGCACGTCAGCCAAGCGCATAGCGTTGAGTAGCACAAAACCCATTGGATAGGCAGGTGGTGCACTAGCCTTGGAAGCTTTAGAAATGCCAAGCCTCAACAATTCAAGAACCTATATTACAGATATAGCATCACTAAATAGGTCAACACTAACTTCACAAGTATAACGTTCCTGGAGAAAACTGAGGAACAGAAAAGTACAAAATGTCATTTTAAAAACATATGCCAATGAGGAAACTACAGGCCTAGAATCATGAGTCCTTTGCAGTGAGGCTTGATCTATGGCTAGTTAGATGTTACAAAGCATAGAAATCCACAACATTGTTAATTCGTATGGAATCTTCATAAGTATCAGCGTCAAACCAGTGGTAAAGCCTTTTAGATCAAGAAGAAAAGCATCATATCAATTATAGAACAGAACTACTTATTACGACTAACCTCTGAGGCAATAGTTTTGGCTAAATCCAGATTTCCTGCGCTTGCAACCTCATCAAGGAATGAGACACTTTCCGCCTCAAACAAATGATGCAACTGCAGGAACATAAATCCTTGATGTAAGTTACAGACAGTAGATAGAGAGAAACACTATGCTATATTACAATAGACTTACAATTGAAAGGACTTTTGCTTTCATTCTGGAGATGGAAGCTATTGTTACAGCTGCTCCAACAAATTCAGGTGTAACAGTTAGTGACAGTATGGTTTGGGCTAGCATAAGAACACCACCAACTCCACATAGCTCCTGAGAAAAGAATACCAGGAAACCTAATTCAGAAATTTGTTCTCCACAACATGATCAGTTCATCATAACGGTCAAATAACAACTCGTAATAAAATGTACGAGAGACTAGTTAATCTTAAATTTGATGCATCTCAGGATTTAAGAACCAAGCATTAGAGAAACCTTGTTTTTAGCGACACGCTCTCTAAACGGTTTGTGTTGGCATAGACAGTGAAGGAACTGCAAAGCAGCTTCAGCTTGTTGGCAGTGGATATTAACCGCTCCTACAGAACTCGCACCTAACTTGTTCGGTTGGTCAGTTCGCCGATACAGCAACTTCGCTCTTAAAGATCTCACAGCATTGTGAACCGCTCCAAAAGCAGCGTCTATGAATACATCAGCCTAGATGAGAAAATAAATAAGAATCAGATCAACGAATCCAAACGCAGCAGAACACAATATCTCAAAGCACAACCGTAAAGACTTGAACAAGGTCATAATAAGGTATATATACCTTAGGGTGGATAAGCAAGACTTGGACAAGATCTTGGTAGTTAGGAGAGATGAACCCGTGCAGCAGGTAAAGAGAAGAAGCCACCAATGTAGCTTCTATCAATGAGTCGTTATCTGTTTTCCAGCTTCCCTGGAAACAAGTAACAGAGATGAATCACAACTTGAGAGGAGAGAGAGAAACAGGAAGAGCCACAAAGAGAGGATTTTTTGGAGAAGAACCTTTCGATTACCGCCAAGAACTATCATCACAAACATCACCAGTTCAATCATCTGTCCTGATAGTTTCACATCATCAAACAAGACCTATCACAATATTTGCAGAAAAGAGAAACAGACATTTATCTTCTAAATACTTTTTTTTCCATTAGAGACATAAAGACCAAATCTTTCTAAGATCATAAACACGGATAAAGATGGAACCTGCTCGAGTTTAGGGTGACGAGATGTTAAGTCACAGAAAGTGTGCAACATCCTGATCCCACACAATACATATTGAAACTTGTCATCTCTATCAGGAGTCATAAGCCCTGTTATGAGGTGCAGAGGCAACATTGCCACCATTTTCTCAACATTAACCTGTGAGAGAGCTCAAAATCAGAAATTTACCCCCAAAACAATGGAGACAACATTTTGAAAAAAAGAAAAGCAAAGCAAATGAAGTTATTGCACCTTTTTTGGTGGTTCCCCTTCTTCTCCAGAGTTATAACAAATGCAGAAATCTTCATTATCTTTAAGAAGCTTATGAATCTCCAGAGAGCCTCGCCAATGCAAACCCTTCACAGCTAGTATCAAGTGTTTAGGCTGCAACAACCCATCCATGTTCCTCGTATGCAACAGTGACTGGAGATAAAATTCCGGTGAAAAAAATACGGCGACGGAGCAATCAAAGACTAGAATTTGAGTTTTGTGTCGCCGTGATTTGTAGCGTTAGATTATGGCAGAGAAGGAGACATAGGAAATCAGGATAATCGGGTGAGAGGAAGAGAGGAGGATAATTTCAAGATACAGTGGCATAATGGTAAACCCAACGCAGCTTTTTCTTTGAATCAAAGCCCAAAGCAGCTTTTTCTTTAAATCAAAGCCCCAAATACTTTTATAAATTTGGCCCAACGTCTTAAATAACTTTTTTAATCACTATTTTAAACCAAAAATCTAGTATATATAAGAACAAAAAAAAAAAAATCTATTCAGTAGTTAATGAGATTTCATTTTTAGTTTTCTAAAATTTATAATTATCAACTTTAGAACAAGCAAAACCAATAAAACTATGCTCTATTTGTTGAAACTGTTCTTTATTGACATTTATTCAAAGTGAAACAAACAAAATTATTCTAAATTCCTGAAAATTTAGTTTCATCAACTCATCAGCTAGAACTAGCAATCATTTTTAGTACAACCGAAATAATCATTATACTTACTGTATCAGCATAGATTGATAACGCTTTTGCTTCAGCAATATCCGCTTTAAATGCCTAAACCAAAAACAGAAAAAAATATATATATAAGTCAGTTAAGAAAGATTAAGATCAAATCCTAACTCTAAAACAGTAAAATGAATAACAATACGTGCTATTTGTTGAAGTTGTTCATTGTTGTTATTTTCCTTTAAAAACAACCGATGGTGAAACGAACAAAATTATTTAAAATTAATGAAAAATAGTTTTGCCAATTTGATCAACTAGAACTACCAAAATATTATCGTTTCAGTCATTTTGGTATATTAAAATTATGACTTCAAAATAGGAATAACTTAGGCGCTATTTGTTGAAAGTGTTAGTTATAGTCAAACTGTATTTGAGACGGCTAATGGTGAAGTAAACAAAAATATTATACATTCATGAAAATCTAAATTTATCAAATGATCAACTTCTAGAACTAGCAAATGTTTTTACGGCTCCCGAAATAAGAAAGCATTACACTTTTAAAAAGGATACTTACTGCATTGGCAGATATTGCTGACACTCTTGCTTTAGAAAGTTTCGTTTGTAATAGGTCCTAGAAACAAAAACATAGGAAAAGCAAAACTTGTAAGTAAATTAAGAATGATTAAGAACAAATCTTGACCGAAACATTTTCAAACAATTTAGCTCTGATTAATAAACTCCAACTATTTTTTTTATCACTGGGAGAGAGAAAAGTAATACAAAAATTCATAGAAACCCATCTATAGCAATCAAGAAAAAAAGAAAAAATAGATTCATTACTTGGTATGATCCATTTGTAGAGTTTTCTTTCTTTTCCTTGATGGTGTCTTATAATGAGACTGTGATATGACAGTTTAGATTGAGTCACATAGATGATAGTAGTGTTTAACTACGGTCAAAATCTAAAGATAAAAGAATAACAACTTAAACATAAACTGATGAAGAAAAACTTGATTTCTTTGTTGTTGTTCCAACTTGACTAATCAAAGATATAAAAAGGGATCATGATTTACCAACCAAGAAAAGTTTATTGCATTACCACGTCAAAATTTTGTAGACAGATCATCTGTACGAAGCATACTAGAGTTCACATCACACAATATGAGTATATCAATTCAGTCTGACTTTGAAGTTAGATAGCTTGTACCAAGTATATTAGAGTTCACATAACACATAATGAGTATATTACTTCACATATTCACACTTTTTGTATCACACAGCCGAATTTTCTCCGGTCAACTATTAATGGTACTTTTATGTTCATAATTTAGATGCTCATCATCCCACATCCATATTCAAATCTTTCTATTAGGACAAAATACTGCAAATCAGCCGAGAGTTGATTAGTAATATACATATAATTATATCAATATATCAATACAAATATATAAAGAAATTAAAGACACAATTTTTTATTTTCTTTTATCACATAAAACTCAATATCAAAATTGTAAAACTATGAAACTTCCAAAAAACCATCCTTGTTGGTTGTTTGTCAAAGTGTTTCATGTTTTATCAGAGTCACACACTATAACTTCCTATGTGTTGTTTAGTTTCAAATACAAAATGCATTATCACAACATGACATATACTACTTTTTAGTTTTTTAATATCCTAAAAGTCTGGTTAGAACATTTGAGGCTTTAACTACTATTACCAACCACCTAAATTCTTAGATCTGTGTTGATTTATTGATTAGAAACGCCTATATCTTGAAGATCTATCAATATTTGTCTCAGATTCAAAACACATACCTAGTATAAAATTAACCACCTAGATAGATATCTAAACATAAGTTCTGCATCAATTAAATAGATATCTTTTCATATCATTTGATTTCAAAGAAAAGTTCACAAAGCAAAATTCACATCACTTTTATTCCCTTTAGATTCGGTAAGATATCGAAAACACATATTCGTAAAGATTGGATATATGAATCTATTTTCAGTTAATTAAAAAAGAAAAAGAAAAACGGACTCACTCGATACAACTCTGCTGGCGGCGCCTTCATCGTACAAACATACAACAAAAACCCTAGTAGTGAAGGATAATTTTTTTATGTGTTATATATATATATAATATATATGAATAACAAAATAAATAAAATAATTTTTGTTAAAAGGGTGAAAAAAGAAAATGAGTAAATTTGAAGTAAATGCAATATATTCCTGATTAATATGATTTATTTATCGTATTAGCAAATAATTTTATTTTGTTTGGTAAGTAAATAAATTTAATTTGATAAAAAAAACTTTTTGCAAAATGTTGACCAAATATAATCCAACATTTGTTAAGATAATATGAAAATGGGATTTTATAAAAATAAAGTTCATAGTGTGTGTTATAAACTTACAATAATAATGCTAGTTTTGTTATTTTGATTTTAAGTTTAAAAATTAGTTATATTATTTGATTGTAAATTTTGAAATTTAGTGATAGTGTTTATCAAATAATGTCATCATTGATTAGTTTATGTGATTTGAATGAAAGCGATTTAACAACTTAAAAATAAATTTCTTATATATAATTAAAAAACAATCCTAAATATCAAATTGTTTGCAAATTAATTTTCAGTTGCGTGATTTTTTTATGATAATAACACCTACTATTTTAGCAGAGATTGTAGTGTTTTTGTAATATTTAATAGTTCTTAAATTTGTTAGGAATAAAAAAGAATGAAATGATTAGTTTTGTGTATATAATGTTATTTTGCTAAAAGACTTGCCTGAAAATATCAGTTTTTTTTTCAATTTACTCGTTTTTTAATAAATAGTAATATATATAATTTACAATTGATAAAAATATATAAAAATATCATATAGGAAAATAAGAGATGGGTTGTGAGTTGATATCAAACGGTGTTCATTTTGTTAGATGTGTAATTTTAAGATATATTTTCCAAAGTTTTTGGCTATGGGAGAGACAAATGCGATCGAATGAACCGATGATACCGACATACAATTTTCCTGTGAAATGGAAAATGAAATCCAAAATTAGAAGTGAATCTGAGACAGAGAGGAAAGAATGCAAGAGAATCCATAAATGAAAGTAAAACGCCACGTCAACGGGTGGCATTATCGTAGATTTACAAAATTTCGCAGGGTAAAACGTGATTCCATTAAAAGCCAACATTAGATAAAACATAAAAGCACACATCAGAGGGAGAGAAATTTGAAATGAGTGGCCGTTGGGTTTGAAATCCAATAAATAAAGACAAAAATTCAAAACCAACAAAATTAAAATATTAAATCAAATAAAACAAAAGATAAAAAAAGATAAAAAAAGAAACCTTTTCGAGAACTTCAAAATCAAATTACTCATCCTCTTCCAAAGAGAGAGAGAGAAGAAGAAGAAGAAGCACAAAGTCCAGAGAGAGAGAGAGAGAGAGAGATCTTCACTGTGCGAGACGCAATTCGAGCGATCTTTGTCTCTACTTCCTTTGTCTCTTCTCCTGTGGGTAGTTTCTGATGACGGGGCTTGTGATGGTGACTAAAGGCGTTGGTTGCGGCGGAGGAAAAGGAGGGAGGGGAAAATCTACGGTTGAGGAAGAGGAGGAGGAGGAGCAGAATCAGCAGCTCTCTCTTGTGGAGTTTCTCTTGACGGCGCTGCGTAAATCGGTGGTATCCTGCCGTGTGGATAACCGGCAAGACGACGGCGGAGTCGGAGGAGGCGGAGGGATTTCCTCGGCCGTTCATCACATGGAGATCGGATGGCCAACAAACGTTCGACACATCACTCACGTGACATTCGATCGATTCCATGGCTTTCTCGGTCTCCCACACGAGCTTCAGGTCGAGATCCCATGCCGAGTCCCCAGTGCAAGGTAACTGTTGGATTGGATTTGCTACTTTAAATCTCCATTTTCTCAGTTTCATTAAAAAAGCTTTCAATTTCGAAACCGGATCTGCAGTTAGTTGTTGAATTAAGCTTAATTAATGGCTCTTAATTGGATCTTTAGGTCATTATCATAATCAGCAGAATTAGCTTAATAAATGATTCTAAAAAAAGCTTTGGGTTCTCTGATAAAATGCAGCGTGAGCGTGTTTGGTGTCTCGGCGGAATCAATGCAATGCTCTTACGACGAGAAAGGAAACAGTGTCCCAACGATTCTATTACTGATGCAGGAAAGGTTGTACTCTCAACAAGGTCTCAAGGTATGCAAATGGATTATTCAAATCAAGATACCAGTTTGATTCACTTGATTGATAATTACGCCTTTTCTTTTTTTTTTTTAACTTTTCTTGTTGTGTGGATAAAACAGGCTGAAGGAATATTCAGGATAAACCCTGAGAACAGTCAAGAGGAACATGTAAGAGACCAACTAAACAGAGGTATTGTTCCTGAGAACATCGATGTTCATTGCTTGGCTGGTCTTATCAAAGCTTGGTTTCGAGAGTTGCCTTGTGGAGTGCTCGACGGTCTTTCTCCTGAGGAAGTTCTCAACTGCAACACCGAGGAAGAATCTGTTGAACTCATAAAGCAGCTGAAGCCAACCGAGTCTGCTTTGCTCAGTTGGGCTGTTGACCTTATGGCTGATGTTGTTGAAGAAGAAGAGTCCAACAAGATGAATGCAAGGAATATAGCCATGGTTTTTGCTCCTAATATGACTCAGGTTCAAAAAACAAACATAATCTTGCTAATTTTTTCAGTATCATCTATATGGTTTTAGAATCGTTGAAGTTACTGACTCTTGTTTCTAACTCTAGATGACAGATCCATTAACGGCTCTTATGCATGCTGTTCAAGTGATGAACTTGCTTAAGACTCTCATCACGAGAACACTAGCTGAGCGCGAGGAAACGGCAACCGGATCAGAAGGATATTCACCGTCCCACTCATCGAATTCCCAAACTGACTCTGACTCTGACAATGCACAAGACATGGAAGTCAGCTGTGAATCACAAGGCACAGATTCAGAGTCCGGAGGAGAAGAAGAAGATCAACAACAACGAGAACATCTCGGCCGCCGCTCTATCCAAGAAGATGAAAACGATCTTGGATCATTAAGCTCGGTGGAGAAATGCTTCTTGAGTCAGCTCAACAGCAATGCTAGAGTTTCAAACACCAGCATCTCTGAAGACTGGAGCCCTAAATTCTCTCCAGTAATGTCATTCACAGACAACAAAAACAACAGTTTAGGCTCAAGCACAAGCGACAAAGATGAAGCCATGACCGTCTAATTCAAGTCTGATCTGCAAGTTTCCACGGTATCAACCACATCTGTTTGTAGGTTTCCTGTTTTCTGCTGCAGAGAGCAAACAAGAAGGGAGAGACTGGGTTGTGTCTGTAAATCAATACAGAGATTATTGTCCACAGGTTGTTAGGGTCTTTAGGGATTGTTGGTGTTGAGTCTGATTAGGGTTCAACAAGGGCTGAACCTCTCTGTTGACTGTTGTTGTAGTCCTTATCCATGTTTGTGTGTTTTGTGTTGTGCTGTTTGGTTTTGTAGCAAGATAATCTGATAGTATTTTTTTTTAATTTGAAATACTGAATCCTTCTTCTAAAGACAAACATCAGAGCATTAAAAAAAAAAGGAAAGAGAAAAATTAAATGAATTGAATGTTAATAAATCATAAAATGTCTACATGAATTTGAATTTCAATGATGCAGATAAATTACAAATTGTTATTTGCAGAAATTTAAAAAAGGAAAATGAAAAGAAAAGAAAAGAAAAAGATGGTCCATTTGCAGGGGAAGTTACAGCTTTTGGTTTGATGAGAAATTTTTGACCCACAAATGAGATTTGGATTTATACACAGATGCATCCATTTAACATCGGTCCAAATCTTGAACCGGGTCGACCCATTATCCCAACTTTTTTTTTTTTTGTTTTCTTGTTTTTTTTCTCTGTCATGAGCTTTTTGTAGTTGAAGAGATTTAGGAGTTTAACTACTCTGTTGGCCATTGTGGTTGTCTCTCTTAAGCTGGACTTTCAATTTCTTACCGCCTAAATGACGACCATTCATCATGTTAATAGCGTTCTGAGCAGCTGCTTGTGACTCATAACTAACAAAACCTGCAACCAAACAACAGCCAGATGCATTCATTCTACCTTTCAACAATGGTCCAATCTTTTGAGTTAGCAAAAAACCAAACAAAGAAAAAAGAGCTTACCGAAACATTTGCTTACTCCAGTGGCTTTGTCTACGAAAACCTTAGCGCTCAGAACAATACCAAAAGGTTGAAACGCAGCCGCGAGTTCTTGATCCCCAAACTCACGAGGTATGTTATAGATAAACAGATTCGCACCTTCGGGACCTGAAGAAGAGCCAAAAAATCAGGTCTAAACAAAATGAGAGAAGAAAAAGAGTAAAGGTTTTTAAACACTAACCTTCCGTTTGAACCACGGGGTTTAAACCGATTCCGCTGCTGGCAATGACAGGTGATATAGATCCATGAGAGGTGCTTAGAGGACGAGGAGTCATGATTCCTCTAGGGTAAGCCAACGGATAAGGCAGACCTCGTACCGGGGGATAACCAGAGCCCATGTAATTTGCAGGAGGCAAAGGAAAGTTTCTACGAGCCAAGCGAGGTGGCACAGAGTCAGGCGAGGTTCCTTGCAGCGCGTTGTTGTTGCCTCGGTTTGGTTGTGCAACCATATTGGGGAATGGAGCTTGGTTCTGAATTGGTGGTAGCACGTAACCATAAGTTCCAGGAGCCTGCTGTGGAAATGAGAAAGGATGGTTTCTATTAGTTACGTGTTAGATGAAGCAAATGTTGTTAAAAAATAGGCTTTGCTTACATGATAACCATATCCATTATATGGTGGTGGATAACTCATAGGTAATGCTCCAAACAACGAGGGGTTTGTTGGATCAGCGTTAGCTAACCGAGCGATGTGAGACTGAGCCTTTTGGAGTCTTCTTGTGTGCCTCTCCCTTTCTGTGTCTGCCCATTTGACAACTAGAGGAACAGTCGAGCCCTAAAGAAGAAAAACAAAAGACAAAAATGATGATGATTCTGTCCACACACTACACATGAGAAGTCTGTGTTTATGTATGTAAAAGCTAAGTTTTCTAGCTAGCAAAGAGCAAATCACCTCCATTTTATGTATTCCATTGATGGATTCCATCGCAGAAACAGCTTGTTCTTTTGTCTCATACTTGAGAAATGCACAGCCTAACAAAAATCCCAAATAGACATTATATGGATTAGGATAGTGGGGAAAAAAAGACAGAAGACAAGACAGAGAGATGGAGGATTATTATTAACCTTTGCTTGTTTGTTGAGCACCTCTTAGAATCTGTAGATCCCTTATGGTGCCGTACTTGGAGAAGAGCGATAGAACTTCAGCTTCAGAGACATTCTTTGGAAGCATACCGACAAAAAGCTTGTGCTCTGGATTGTACAATACAACAGTAAATAAAGAACAATCACATAGAAATAGTTGAAACCAGTGATGACGTTACCTAGCCTTTCTAATTCACCATCTGCATATTTTACTTGCAATAGACTTGATGCCTGACCAAACATAGAAAAGTTAGTTAGAGACCGTTAAGGATCTAAGCTTGATCATCATACCAAAAGGTTACCAACAAAATGCCACAGTAAAATCTAAAGAACCATTCTCCGAGATGGTAAAAGATCATCACGCACTTTTCAACTGTTGCATTTTCGTCACAGAACCAAAATTTAACTAACACTCTGCTCTGAATAAGAGAGAAAGAAAAGTTGTGTCCCTTGTGATTACCCGAGCCCCATTGATCTCATCCTAGAAATTTACTATTGATTGCAGTTTCTTGGGTTTGAAGGAATAATTTGCAAAACAATGTCATAAGATTCCAACAACTAAGACGCTCAAATCGAAAGATTCTGATTCGGGCAAAGGAAGCTGACATTCACCTAAATACAGAAAGGAAACGCTTCGTGCGAAACTTGTATCGAAATCACAAATTGCCAATTCTGGAATTGAAACAGAAGCCAAGAAAAGTACTACAATGCAGTTCGGAAAAAAAATCAGACTAATAATAATAACTGAAAACAAAAAAATTCTAAACCTGACTTGAATAAATGTGCGATTAGAAATTCAATTATTAGAAACTACAGAACATCAATCAAATTCAAGCATGTGCGAAATAAATTCCCAGAAAGAAAAAAAAAAATAGTTTCAGAAATTACAACATACCCCTGGCAATGTCTTCTTGTTATGACAAGCATTGACCAACTTATCTGCTTCTTCTCTCGATGGACATAGCAGAAAACAACAACCTAAATCCGGAGAAAAACAAAAGTTAGGGTTTCGAAATTCATATATCTATCGACGAATCACGCGAATCAAACACCACATTCTTGAATTGAAAACTTCAGAAACCGAAAAACCCCAAAAAAAATCGAAGGAGGAAGAAGAATGAGAAACAGAGGATGAGAAATAAAGAGGCATGAAGAAGAAGAAGAAGGATGAAAAAAAAAAGAAACCTCGAGAGGCGCGTGTAATCTTGTCCTTGATGATGTTGACCTCGTCGACGACAGCAAACTCTTGAAACAATGCAAGGAGTTGAGATTCCGACATATGTTTCGGAATTTGTCCGACGAAAAGCTTAACGCTCTCTTCTTCTTCATTCTTCTCCCTATTCTCCTCCTTTCCTTCCGCCATTGTTGTCTCCGTCTTTCCTTCTTCTCTCTCTTGACAAAATGGTCGTCTCCCTCTCTCTCCTGTCTTCGTCGTCTTCTCCTTCTCTCCTCTGAGTTTCTCTCTCTACGCCTTTTTTTTTGTTCCTGAAATTTATTTATTTTAAACGAAGAAGGAAAAAAAAGAAATCAATTATGGAGGAGAGGAAGAAAATGGTGGAATTTTGAGAAGTTGGAAATTAAATTAAATGCTGACAAAAATCACCCTTTCTGTTACTACTAATTTACGGTATCTGCCATTACAGCTGTACAAAGGGGAAGGCGAAGCTTTATGATGCGAGGGGAACACTTCGGATTGTTTTGTCTCGTTATGGGAATGCAATCTAAATTACCAAATTAACCTCCCCTTTTACTCGCGTCGTATTGTGTTTCTGTTTTTTTCTCTCTCACTCTGTTTTTTCTATTCGAAATTGTGAGACTTAGGTCTACATTCTTTGGGTCAGCTGGAGTTGGGTCTTTGGTAGTTAAAGCCCATCATTATTGCAGGATCAGAGAAGGTAGAGTTGTTTTGGGCCTCGTTGGTTGTTACTGGCCCAAGAGGCAGCTCACGGGAAACGGATGAGAAATAGAATCGATATATTCTGTTTTGCGTTGACTCTTCTGATCATCGTCTTCTTGCTTCCTGTTACGCCGTTGTTGTAAGCTCTCTGAGCGATTCTCTGTAAAGAAAAAACACAAGAGCATAGTGAATTCTAGGATCAATCCTGAAAAGAGATGTACCCGGTTTGGGGAACTCTATAATTCTGTGTCTCTCGTGTGTGTGTGCGTATTCACTTCTTCTTCAGTTCTATCTTATACAAGCAAACGAGTGATTGAGAGAGAGAGAGAGTTTACTTACTCGTGCGGTGATTGGTGATTGGATCTACGGTGTATCGGTAACAAGTGGTATCAGAGCGTAGGTTCCTACGTTCGGGAGATACGAAGTCGATCAGATCGCGGAAGCAAGGAAGGGACAAGGAGCAGGATCTTACCAGTTTCAAGGGAGGACGATCGCGGAGCAACTTCACGGATCATCGGTGAATCAGCTCGCACCTCCAACAGCAAAGATCGAATCCACCTCGATCAACACTTTCTCACAGGGAGTCTCCTCGGTCCATTCTAACAAGTTCTCTTGAATAGAAATCCTAATCTTGGCTCAGATTGCTATTGATTGTGCTTCTTCTCTGTTGGTGTTGTTATCTGCAGTAACAGGACAAGACGAGAAAGCAGTAAGCTATGGAGCCAACAATAGGAAAGTTCGAGATGGAGAAGTTCGGTGGTACGGGAGATTTCGGGATGTGGAAGTACAGGTTTCTCGGGCAGCTCAAGATACAGGGCCTTGCATCAGTCTTGCAAGAGAAGGAAATCGTTTCAGAGTCGTCAATGGCAGAGACAGTGACGGCAGGGTTAGTATCACCAGGGACTGGAGCGTCGGGGGTGATAACACCAGGAGATCCGAAGTCAGGTCTTGCATCAGTGGTAAAGGATCTGAAATGGGAGCAGAAAGACATAGATAGAGATATCAGGGTCAGAAATTTGACGGGAACGTGCTTGACAGATAAAAACTTGAGGAAAATAATGCACGAGCCAACAGCTATGGGTATGTGGAAAGCTTTGGAAAGAGACTATCAAACTAAATCTCTTCCGAACAGGATCTACCTAAAGCAAAGTTTTGCAAGTTTCAAGATGGAAGAGAGCCGTACCATTGAGGAGAACCTGGACTCGTTCTTGAAGCTCATTGCGGATCTAGCAAGTTTGAAGATCTTTATCAGTGAGGAGGATCAAGTTATTCAGCTGCTCACGAGTCTCCCACCACCCTTCGAGCCATTGGTTCACACTTTGAAGTATGGCTCAGGGAAGGATACGTTGACAGTAGCTGAAGTAACCACTTCTGCATACGCAAAGAAAATTGAGTTAAGGCAGAAGGGACTGTTAAACAAGTCAAAGCAAAATGCTGAAGGGCTGTACGTTGAGGAAAGGGGTAGACCCGAAAGACGTGGAAACAACAACAAAAACAGCAAATCCAAAGGGAGAGGTAACAGCAGAGGAAGGTCTAAATCTAAGCAGAAATTTGGACCTAAAGCTTGTTGGGTTTGTGGTGATGAGACACACTGGAAGAAGGACTGCCCTAAGAAGAAAAACAAACCGAACAATTCCGCAAACGTGGCAGTAAAGCTTCCTGAATCTACAGCCCTAACTGCGAGTCTACAAGATCCTAAAGACGAGTGGGTTCTAGATTCAGGGTGTACGTTTCACATCACACCAAGAAGAGAAGTCCTAACAGATTTTGAGGAATGTGAGGGTCATAAGGTTCTGATGGGAAACAACACCTACTGTAAAGTGAAAGGTATCGGGAAGGTTACCATTGATAATCCGGATGGTTCAGTGGTCACCCTCAGCAATGTAAGGTATATGCCGGACATGGGGAGAAACCTCATCTCGTACGGTCAACTTGAGCAGTCGGGCTGCAAATACAGTGGAGAAGACTTCTCGGTGGTGTTCTACAAAGACAGTAAAAGGGTGTTGTCAGGCAAGTATGAGCAGGGTCTGTATTTTCTACAAGAAAAAGTCAGAGAGGCAGAAGCAAATGTTGTGAAACTACCTGTTGATATGACGAAGAAGTGGCACTTGAGACTTACTCACATGAGTCAATCCTCGACGGATGCTTTGGTCAGAAAAGGATAATTGCAGAAGAGTGACATCAAGCAACTCGGATTCTGTGAAGCCTGCACAATGGGAAAATCTCATAAACAAAGCTTCCCGAAAGGAAAACACACAACAAAGGAAATTCTAGGATATGTACATTCTGATATGTGGGGTTCTCCTAATGTTACCCCGAGCCTATCAGGGAACAAGTACTTCCTAACTTTCATCGATGACTACAGCAAGAAGGTATGGATCTATTTCCTAAGAACCAAGGATTTAGCTTACCAGAATTTTGTTGAGTGGAAGACTTTGGTGGAGAACCAAACGGGAAAGAAGCTGAAATGTTTGAGAACAGACAACGGGTTAGAATTCTGCAATAATCAGTTTGATCAGTTGTGCAAAGAGACAAGAGTAAAGAGACACAAGACGTGTCCTTATACACTGCAGCAGAATGGGATTTCTGAAAGAATGAACAGAACAATCATGGACAAGGTCAGGAGTATGCTAAGTGAGACAGGGCTGGGTGGAGAGTTTTGGGCAGAAGCAGCACACACAGCTGTTTACATCATAAATAGGTCTCCGTCAGCATCTATAGACTTTGAAGTTCCTGAGGCTCTATGGACGGGTAGCAAGCCTGAGTATGGTCATCTAAAGAGGTTTGGGTGCTTAGCCTATGTCCACACTATACAGGATAAGATCAGCCCTAGAGCTACCAAGGGAGTTTTCGTGGGTTATGCTCAAGGTATTAAAGGCTACAGGGTGTGGCTGTTAGATGAGCTAAAGATCACTATCAACAAAGATGTGGTGTTTCACGAGGAGAGGTTATACAAGGACAAAGATGCAGACACAAGCAATGATACGACTACAGAAGCAGTGAAAACTAAGAAGAGGGTTACCTTTAAGGAGGTCTTGGAAGAGGTGGAGCCTTCACGAGACAGTTCAGCAGAGTCTTCTAGTCGTGGTGGAGCAGATTCAGATTCTGAAACAGAACAGGAAAATGAAAAGAGTTCATCAGATGAAGAGTATGAAGTTTAGTCAGGTCAAAATGAACAAGAAGATACAGAGTAAGATTTAGACGAAGACGGGTTATCTTTGGTTAAGAATAGATTCGGCAGGAAGCTGAAGAAACCGGCTCGGTACAGAGAAGGTAACCTCGTGGCCTATGCTCTCGCCTGTGCAGAGAAGATTGAGCTTGATGAGCCAAAGACCTTCGGTGAAGCTCGAAGCAGCAAATACTGGAAGAAGTGGAACTTAGCTGCAGATGAAGAAATGGACTCGTTAGCCAGAAATCAAACTTGGAAGTTAGCAGACAAGCCAAAGAATCAAAAGGTTATTGGATGCAAGTGGATTTTCAAGTTAAAGCCAGGAATCCCTGGAGTTGAACAGCCTAGGTACAAGGCTAGACTAGTGGATAAAGGGTTTGCACAGATTGAGGGAGTTGATTACAACGAGGTGTTTGCGCCGGTGGTGAAACATGTTTTAATTCGAATCCTATTGTCTACAGTTGTTAATCATGACATAGAGCTAGAGCAGTTAGATGTTAAGACAGCGTTTCTACACGGAGTTCTACACGAAACTATCTACATGGCTCAACCAGAGGGATATGTTGTGAAAGATCAAGAGGATAAAGTCTGTTTGCTGAAGAAATCTTTGTACGGGTTAAAACAGTCTTCGAGGGAATGGAATCACATGTTTGATGCATTCATGCTTAAACAAAGTTATAGGAGAAGCAAGTATGACCCGTGTGTCTATCAGAAGGGCTCAAGCATAGATGATATGGTCTACCTACTGTTGTATGTGGATGACATGCTAATTGCCTCGAAAAGCAAGACAGTAGTGGATAGACTAAAGAAGCTGTTAAGTACAGAGTTTGAAATGAAGGATTTAGGTCCAGCAAGAAGAATCCTAGGGATGGATATATTCAGAGATCGAGAAAAAGGGATCCTAGTTTTATCTCAGGAAGACTACCTAAAGAAAGTCTTGAAAACGTTTGGAATGTGGGATAGCAGGGAAGTATCTACGCTTATGGGTGCACATTTCAAGCTACAAGCTACTACAGAAGAGCAAGAGCAAGCACAAGCTAAAGAGATGGAAGACATACCTTATGCGAGTGCTGTTGGAAGCTTGATGTATGCGATGGTAGGATCCAGGCCTGATCTTACATACGCGGTTGGCTTGGTGAGCAGGTACATGAGTAAACCTGCGAAAGATCATTGGTTAGCTGTTCAGTGGATAATGAGGTATTTGAAAGGAGCAGCAGGGGTCAACTTAACTTTCACGAAGGGGCAGGACTTCAAAGTGAGAGGGTACTGCGACTCGGATTATGCCTCAGACTTGGACAGAAGGAGGTCTATACTGGGTTATGTGTTCACGGTTGGTGGAAACACGATTAGCTGGAGGTCTCAGCTTCAGAAGGTGGTGGCTCTTTCCACGACGGAGGCAGAGTACATCGCACTGTCAGAAGCAAGTAGAGAAGCAGTTTGGTTAAAAGGTATTTGTGAGGAAATGGGTTTCAAACAGGAAGCGATTGAGATCTACTGCGATTCACAAAGCGCCATCTACCTAGCTAAGAATCATATGTTCCACGAGCGAACTAAACACATAAAGGTCAAGTATAACTATATCAGGGAGGTAATCGACGATGGTAATGTTCAGGTTTTGAAGATTCATACGTCAGTAAACCCAACAGATATGTTGACGAAGGTTTTACCTGGAGGAAAGTTCAGCGGGTGTTTGAAGACGCTGAACATGAACATGAACGGAGCTTAAACGCTTTGCCGGATTCGCCGCCGTCGGTGAGTGGAGAAGGCGGCGGATCCAAAACTGTTGTTGCATGCGATGTGCGACAACAGGAGCAACTCCGAAAGGTCACATCGGAGCTTCGCAGCTTGCTATTCCGGTGGAGGAAGGGCAGAAAGGTAGTGATCTCGGGTCAAAGAGTCACCGGTTCCAGGATCGGAGTTCACGGGCTCGTGTCGGCATCTCGGACAGGTTTTGTCTGAATGACGACCTAGGTGGAGATTGTGAGACTTAGGTCTACATTCTTTGGGTCAGCTGGAGTTGGGCCTTTGGTAGCTAAAGCCCATTATTGTTGCAGGATCAGAGAAGGCAGAGTTGTTTTGGGCCTCGTTGGTTGTTACTGGCCCAAGAGGCGGCTCACGGGAAACGGATGAGAAACAGAATCGATATATTCTGTTTTGCGTTGACTCTTCTGATCATCGTCTTCTTGCTTCCTGTTACGCCGTTGTTGTAAGCTTTTTGAGCGATTCTCTGTAAAGAAAAAACATAAGAGCATAGTGAATTTCAGGATCAATCCTGAAGAGAGATGTACCTGGTTTGGGGAACTCTATAATTTTGTGTCTCTCGTGTGTGTGCGTATTCACTTCTTCTTCAATTCTATCTTATACAAGCAAACGAGTGATTGAGAGAGAGAGAGTTTACTTACTCGTGCGGTGATCGGCAATCGGATCCACGGTGTATCGGCAACATAAATTTATTTTTGTAGTTAAACATGTTTGTTTAGTTTTAAATTATTTTCTATTGACATCAACTTGTATTGTTTAGTTTTAAAAAGTAAAGCTGTCAGTTCTATAAATTTTATACATTATAATTAGGCTGAGATATCGAAACCTCTTATTGGATCATTATAATAAAAAAATAAAAAAATGAGGTGTTAGTCCTAAAAAAAATATTGAAAACTAAAAAACATTTCATAATATACAAAAATCAAATCGGAGAGCATGTTAACATACGAAAATCTACTAATGAGACATCGATATATTATTATGTTAATTAGTTATATAGAAAGAATCTAGAAAAGGGATATTTTGGAAAAATATCACCAAAAATGTTTTCACAAAATAAATCAGATTATAAATCACATTAAAAAGTTGAAAACCTGATTTATCAGAAAATAGACAACTATAGAAAATAAAATATGAACAACCAAAATATGTTAAAATTTAACCAAAAATCATAATAAAATATAATTTGAATCAGACAGAAAACTAAAATTCATCAATTATCAAACAAAAGTTAATCAAAAATAATACATTTGAATTTCATCACTGTAAATATAGACCAACCTTAAATGTATGATTGGTTACAATTTTTTTTACAGAATCTTAAATCTAAAATCATTTTAAACCATATATAAAACTACCTGAAACTATTTTGAGATTTTAGAAGGTGTTATTTGATATGATAAACCATATGATTGGAAGAAAAAAGCATCAAATGTTTTTTGTTACGTGAAAACGATATATTTGTCAGATTCTCACAAAATTCTCTATAAATAATATATTTTAATATAGAAATAAATTAAATTTTATAAAGAAGTTGACAAATCATTAAATATAAAATTGATGTAATTTAACGGTTCACAAAACTCCACGACTGACAAACAAAATATTTTGACTATAAAAAAATAAAACGGTTACCTTAAACTACAATGTCAATTGTCAAGATTGAAAACGATATCGTTAGAAACTATGTTAACTTTTATATATTTTTCATGAATACTAAAAACTATTTTTTTTTTAAAAGTATTGGATTTTTAGTCATATTTATATTTATAAATATATCAAATAATAAAATAACAACAAAATATATGAAAAAAGTATAAGATATTTAGGGAAAGTAAATGGTTTAATATATGTCCATAAACTAAGTGATGAAACATTTTGAATCTGATGTAGGATAAATAAAGTATTTTGACTAAATTTTTGATAAATAAACAATTTATCTTAAATGAAAATGTCAAATTTAAATAAAAAATTGTTACAAATTATATTGATTTTTGTATCTATTTTTTTTGAAAATTTTAGTATATATTGGAAGATAATTAAAATTGAAGATAATTTATAATGGTGTTATTTGATATGATATGAAACATTTCTTCTGTTTATAAAAGATTGATTGATAAGTTTTTTTTCACATATATTAAAATACAAGAACTGTTTGCTTTACTCATTGTTAGTGTTATCTCTCAATTTTTTTTTTGTCAAAGTACCTCTCAGTTATATTTTTGTTTTCTAATAAAATTAGAACCAATAGAGTAAAAACAAAAAAATGATATTTTATTCAAATATTTGTCACTAATTCATCTTGTAAAACGAAATGCATTTAATTAAAATGTAAAATATCAATATTTCAAGAACAAGAACAAAAATCTATAATTTTAATCTTTTAAAAATAGAAACTATAGTTCTTTTGTTGTTTAAGATGTAGTTTCTTTCTGATAAATATGGGAAAAAATTAAAATTTAATAGCTTATTGATTATTCTCACATTTAAAAGCGAACATGTTCATTTTAAGACACTCGTTTGATTTTTCTTAAAAATATAAAAAAAAATCCTTTATTTGTTTCCACCAATTTCGGCAATTGCAGCCGTATCCTGTAAACCAATCAATCCAGTTAACTCTTGTAGTAAAACATATAGACTATAGTACTAATTATTATAGTTAAGAAACCCCTTTTCAAAAGTGAAAGAAAGAAGAGTTTGACCGTAGATCTTAACTAATGAAAAAGAAGAAGATCACAACTGAAAGGTCATTGTCTAAGGGCAAAATGGTCAGAGAAAAATGGAATGGCAAAACCGTAGTTAAATCGTAAACTGAGGGGCAAAACATAAGCATGCCAGACTGTCCCGCCAACGTGACCAGAAAACAAAGACTCGAGCAGCTCCAACTTGCTCCTTTCTCCACGCCACAAAATTAATTTTTCTCCTCCTATTTCCAACAAATAGACCCCTGTATTTATTAACTTTTTACGTTTTGACCCTACAAGTTTTTTGAACACGCATGTTTGTACTATAATTTAGTTCGTCAAACCAAAAAAAAAAAAAAAAAAAACATAAACACAGTCCAACCTCCAGCGTGTTCAATTGCCTACAACTACAACCAACTTCCACCATAATCTAATTATTATTATTTTGTTTGGATAATTAGTCAATATTCAACAATTATTAAAAATAATTTGTATTCTTCGAGATGGAGACTAGCATAATTATTAGAGTGTCAACACACTTTGTAATATAGAAGTGATTTCGACATAACCACTACGTACGTATGTTTTTATTTGGATAGATATCATTTCAAATCAATGCATATCCAATCTAATTGAGAAAAAGGCTCAGTTTCCATCAAGCTTGGATCCAGAAGACAATAAGAATATACCAACTAAAAAGTACTTTTAACTTTATAATAAAAGTTTATTCTAATTCCGACTAATAGCAAACCACATAAAAACTTAATTATTTGAGAGAAAACTGTAGAGTGACATACTCGTTTCTTTTTGTCATAAAGTGAGTAAAATGATGGAATCATAGAGCAGATTGTGATTCCGCAAAATTGGACGATTGATGATAATTTGAGAAATGTCTACTATTATTAACACTAACATATAAATAATAAATTAGTGATGAACAAAATAATCAAAAATGGAGTAGAACTTAGCTTGTATAGGACAAAGCTTGGCACAAAACTGGTCAGTGGTTACATTGTGTGAAGTCCAGCGAGTGATCTTAGCTTCTCGCAGAGTATGAACGTGATCATCGTTTGTGGTCCGAGCCGTGCAAAAATCGCAAAGCCTCTGTGTCAAATTAAAAAAACAAGAACAGATTAGTTGTTTTATTAAACATTTTGTTTAAAGATATATCCTCAACTTTGTTTCTAACCCTTTGTAAAGTGCCAAAGGTCCTTCTTTGCGAATAACCTGAGAGATGATACAGATCATTAACGTCCCATGTAAACAATTCCCAGTGAAAATATATATAATATAGAATGTATAATTTACCTTGTAACCGCAATGAAACCCGTTTCTGTAGATTCTGGAGCTTTCAGAATCTTGCTGCAACATCAAGCGGGTTTTAATCATGTCCATGGGCGCGGTTATCAGAGTGCTCACTACACCTGCAACCACACTTGAGCTTCATTCATCAAGTGCTAGAGTAAGTTAGTTTCTGCAAAACTTGCCTGATGAAAACAGTGGAATTGGGCTAATGGTTGTCAAACTAATACCACAAATGTAGATGAAACCCTTCCTCTAGAGAAGTTCTTTTAACCAGAATCTGCAATTACAAGAAGCTTTAGAAGCTTGAGTGTTAGAAAGCAGCAACTTTTTAAAAAACATATGGATGTTACTTCATGGTGCTCATAAAAGGGAAAATCGTAGTGTCTTAGAATATGACCCGCTTGGTTTCGTCGTATGTTGCAAGCTGTGAGGCAGTTAGTGCTGCAGCTCTAACCATGGCAGGACCAACTCCTTTCCATAAAGCTCCTATGCCTTCTTTAGAGACTATCTCTCGCACTTCTGCAATGGGAACCGCGTTTGGATTCATCTGCAACCTTACCTAACAGAAACGCAGATTGATATGCGACTCAAAAACCAAGAAAGAGATGTAACGAGCAGAATCTAAACCAATACTTGAGGTTTCATCTACCTTCACAACTTCAACCGGGTTGGTTAACGCTGTGGAAAACGCTCCAGCAAATGCGCCTGATGCTATCTTGACAAAGACATTAGTGGACCCAAACGCCCAATCAAAAGCAACCTTGGTAGGTTCGTATAATCCCAACCTGAGACCGCCGTAAAGTACTGATCTAGTGAGAGCAGGAGTCAACCCCAAGTATAAAGATTTAGGCCCTTCCTTCTTCATTAGTTGAACAAAGATTCCATTCTGAAAAAAACATTTTCAAAGTTAATTTAAATTCCCCAATAACATCAAGAAAGGAAGTTCATTAGAACATTACTACCATTCCGATCAAAGGGCCTCTTTGGCCGACTTGCTGCATCTGCAATCGTACTTTCAGTACATCTGCAAACAAAAGATAACGGAAAGGAACTTAAAATGCGACATTATATACTATATTACTTGAGCAGAGAGACTTATGCACTAAGCCACTGGTCCAGAGTCAGAGCATACTTGATACATTTTCGAAAAATCACTACAGAAGAAAGCAGATCTAAGAGGAAATCTCCACAGAAAACACCTATCTGCTACATCATCCAAAAATCACTATCCAAAATCCATCACAAGTGCTACAAATCTCCAAAGAAAACACCTCTCTGCAGCTAGTTACATATCGAATTAACTGTAGTATGAAACTTCTCTTTAGAAAAGGAAATTGAAGAGGCATTGGATATTCCAGATATATAATTACAAACACCATGTTTCGCTTCTATGGTGGATCGAATAACTGCAATACAGAAAGTGTGTAAAACTTGGAGATAAAGCACTCTGGTTCTAATTTCTAAACCAAAACGCCCACATTTCCACAAAAATTGATTCATACGAAACTATGAGTGAAGAAGGAGGCAAGAGGAATCTAACCGAGAGGATGAGTCACGCCGGTGGCCAACGCGACGGAAATTCCGCTTGTGCCAAAATGAGACGCCACCTTTGACATCGGCGGAAGCAAATTCTTCTTCTTCCTCACTTCCGCATTTCCTTCAACAACTACACAAATCCCGCCATTGAATTTCGTCGACGCATCAAAAAAAAAAAAAACGGAGAAATGAAATCTCGATTCAAACTAGAATCAGCATGATTCGCGAAATTTGACATGAAACAAGCAGGCAAAAAGTAAAAGACCCGACGAACCTGGGATTGAAGCGACCGGCGGGGAGATATCTCCGATCATTGTTAAAAAAATCCTTCGTTTAAATTATTTTCCTTCGGAAATACATTACTAGTACTGTATACGTCATTTTTCAGTTTTATATGCGTCGTAAGAAACGACGTCGCTTCACTCACGATTTTTTTTGTCCCGTTATTTATAGCCGTCAGATATCATGAATAACTCTGGACCGTTGGATGCAATTCGTCCTTCTTATTAGGCAAAAAGTAAAATCGACGCTCTGCACTTTCTTCTCCCTCTCGCTGCTCCCGAAGTTTCCGTCTCTCTCACTCTCGCAGGGTTCTCGGAATTTTCTGAACGATGCCGAGGTAAAGGTTTCTAGATCTTCAGTGTTATTGTGATATACATATAATTATTCACTTCGAATTAGGTTTTTAATTACTTGTCTATGTTGATTTTCGCAGGTATTACTGTGATTATTGCGACACATATCTCACCCACGATTCCGTAAGTCTAATTCTACCTTCCTCTTTTGTTTCTTTACTTGAGTAGTAATTCAGAACTCGCCGTCGTTGATGAACTTAAAGTTCGCTTGTATTGAAAATTGAAATCGATCTCCGGCGGTATCAGTTAGGTTTCCGATTTAGATTCCATTTAATAAACAGTAGGTTATTTACATTGGTTCGATTCTTGCCTTTGGCTAGCTCAGTTCATTGGTGAAACTTATGATTTTCGGGCTGATTAAGAATCTAATCATGATTCACGAATTATACATACCGTCTTCGTTTATTAGTCAAAATTTTTTTTTCTCAGCCATCGGTGAGGAAGCAGCACAACGCCGGATACAAACACAAGGTACATATAGAATCAATAATGTTTTTTTATAATGTTTTTTGTACGGTGTAATATAAGACCTTTCTTACAAGCTTGTTAAGTGTTGGATGATCTTCAGGCGAATGTGAGACTATACTATCAGCAATTCGAGGAGCAACAAACGCAAAGCCTGATTGATCAGAGAATAAAAGAGCATCTAGGCCACCAAACAGCAGCATTCCAACAGGTTGGTGCTGTGTATAATCAGCATATGCTCGCTAGGCCTCGCCTTCCTATGATGCCACCACATGGAAGTATGCCTATGGGTATGCGACCTCCTGTTCTGCCTAGACCCATGATGCCTGGCCAAGGTGATTTCCGTTTCTTCTTACTTTAATAATAACCTGCTTTACTAAAGTTGAAGAAAAAGTATAATAGACATCTTCATCCATATAGGTGATCTGTGGTACAAACTTTGTGTTAAATTAAAGACTGTTTGTGCACATGATCAATATGATATTTGATTGTTCATATGACTCTTACGAAATAGATTTCATTCATTCTCACCATGTTGGTCAAAGATCAATTAGCGTATTTCATACATAGATGGTTCCATCTTCTTTGCTTTCAGTGATTTGAATTGAAATGTAATGTTGGTACTTTTACAGGTTACATGCCTCCTCCAGGAGTACCACAGATGATGGCACCCCCCGGTGCTCCTCTGCCTCCACCTCCACAAAACGGTATTCTCAGGCCACCGGGAATGGCTCCGATACCAGGTCAAGGTGGTGGACCGCCTCCCAATTATAATGGACCTCTTCCTCCTCCTCCTCCTTATCATACAAATCCAGCTGCTGCTCCACCAAGTGGCAGCTTCAACAATCCAAACCCTGGTGCCGAGTCTCCTGAAAGCAATGAGTAGAGTTTAGGTCTGATGAGTCAGTTTTCTCCTCCCAAAAATTCTCAGATATCTTGTTTAACGGTGTATCTTACCTTTTCTAATCCAATTTTATGTGAAGAGGTTTAGAATTAATGTGTGTTGTATGCCTCATTTTGATGTGGTAGATTATCGTTATCCATGGAGGGATGATGGGAGAAAGTCCCACTATTTTTATCTCTTAAAACGAACAGGTCGAGGTTTATGAAAAATTGATCAAAAGGATTCATTCATTGCTTGCACCAACCAAGATCAGTAAGTGGACAGTAGTACATCTGTTACCTACTTGTTACTGTAAACTTTGTGATTCCTTTTAGTTCCTTTTGTATGCAATTTAGAAGAGACAATGCCTGCAACAGAGAAGCAAAGATTGTAAGAACTTTAAATGGGTTTGTAGTCGATCAAACTACGACTATAATATCTGAATTTGGTGATCAGTGAACTGTGGTATAAAAGGCAGTACCAAACCTGGCATAATCCAGTTTCTGAACCACAATTCCATTTAGCAAAAGCTCTGAGGTGTAAATTTCAGCCCCTACATTACAAACACAACTTAAAAAATGTGTTGTTCTTTCGTAGCGTAAGTTCATAGTGTTATATTCGCATAGACATTACCTTGATTAATGAAAGGAAGACAGAAATCTCTATCGTCTTCGCAAGAAAGAATCAATACATCATCTGGAATTTTGCTATCCTCTGCAGCAATTATCTCACTTATCTCCACTACCTGATAAAAGAACTCATAACCATTCTGTAGAAGTGCCAAGATGTATCTATAAAACAAAATTACTCGATGGGAGTGAGTTTCTCGTACCTGCCCTTGAGTCAACTTCACTAAGTCGGCAAGCATACGCCTGTCGGGTTTAATGTTGGGTGTCATGTAGACTTTTAACCCCTGTGAATAAATGTGAGATCTCAGATATTTGGAACAAAGGGTGTTAAATGTTATTGAAGCTCTGAGAAATGTCAAATAAGAGAAATTGTGACCTTAAGAAGGGGATGCTGCTTCGCACGGGACAAAGATGTAAGCATGCAGAACCCGTCTTTTTCTTTTTTGATATCCCTTAGGATGTAATTCTTCTCATCTATCAAGCATCTTGTTTGTCCACAGCTTTCCAGCCACAGAGGTGTGACCACAGGTTTACCAAGGGCTATGGCTTCCAACATATTCCTTGTCCGAGAAAACCTTTCTGCTATGAAGTGTGTTGAGTCTGCCAAGGAAGATGCCGGAGTAATTCCCAGACGAACCATGATCTACGGAAGAAAGGAGCGAATTCTTGATAACCAATATAGTGTATATATGTATATACTAACCCCTGTCAAAATTGATAAAAAGGAGAGAGAGGAGGAATTAAACCTTCGTCTGCTGCTTGATTGTTTCATCATCCAGATTATGGCTGAATAAGACTCGAACATGTGCCATGTTTCTTCGTCTCCTCAAGTCTTTCCACATGAAGTTATCTACCTTTCCTGATCCTCCAAGCCTTGTGATCTCCTTCAGAAGAAATGGCCTAGCCAAATCTTTTTTACAAGATCTTTCATGAGTTCCGCCATATATTTCCCTTGGAGATGCATGGTTTGCAACATCCAATACACCTGATTGGCAAGAGGAGGCTTGTCTTGTCCCACTTAATGATACTCGTAACCTACTTGACCGAGTGTTGGTCTTGCTTCTGTCTTTAGCTGAACTAGCACCCCAAGGTTTCCTAGGTGGGACGTGGTGCCTTTGTGTAAGACGTGATCTTTTGGCCCTAGGATGCCTCCATTCACAATAGTTGAGAAGACATGTTATAGCTGAGACGTTTGTAGCGGTTCTCTCTTTTCTAGTGAATTTATCCTTCTTCTCGGAGTTTCTCTTCTTGCTTGGAGCACTACGCAGATCACTCCTGTTGTCTTTTTCAGGTCTATCATCACTGATGGTATCCTTCTTCTTTCTATAGAGATTACTGTCTTGATCCCTCATTTCTGATTCATGAGCTTCTTCTCTAGTGCAGGGAGCATACAGTAAAGCACTCATTGCTTCAGCGGCAATCTGAGTGCTAATACCGACATCAATAAAATCTTCCTCAGGTTCCAACTGTTCTGTTGACGCTTTATCCTCCAGCTGAGCATCCTTCTGTGACATTAACATAATGCTCTGACTCAAACCCGATGTTTGTTCCACCTTGTGATGTTTAGCAGAACTGTTCTGCATTACTCTCTCTGTGGGCTGAGTTGGGAAACTTCTATTCTCAGACGGATCCATAGATCCTTTCTTCACCCCAGGATCATCATCGTTAACATGATCTTCGCTTTTCTTGTAGCATGTAATGTTTGCACGAATGACTGGAGAGTTTTGAGGGCAACTCACATCACACTGATCGCTATCCCAATCAAAGACTCTCATTTTCTTGGTTGGACTACTTGTCTTGATTCTTTTGGCCAGAGACTGACGTCCTTTTGCACCTGAGAAAGGAGGCGACTTCCTTCTCCGGCTAGTTTCCGGGAGATTCGCTGGTGACAAATTTAGATCTTTGTCCATCAAAAAGTTGTCCACAAAACCAAGTGCATCTGCTTGTGTTGACTCTCCTGGTTCCTGAGAATCCAAATAATCCAGCCTTGGACCTTGACGATCAGCAGTAATCAGCGAAGAAGCTTGGAAACCGGTCACGATATCGCAATTTGATTCGTGCTTTCCTTGAAGAAGGAGATACAGTAAAGATTCCATCTGAGTTAATACTTAGTACAGCAACGATTTGCACAGAAGAAGATTAGATACATCATAACAACACAAAGATATGTTTACCTCTCTGACATTCGTGATCATTGGATCCATCAGACTCCAAAAGTATATCTGCAGCTTTGAGGCTTCCCTCCTTTAAACATGTCGAATCAGAAGCAGCGACACTTCCATGTCCTCCATCTTCATCCTCACTATCATCCACCACTTCGTCGAGACCGCCACATTCCTGGTCTAGTGTTTCTTCGCTATCACCACAATCTCCGTTATCTACTAGCTCCGTATCGTCGTAGAGCTTTTGAAATGGGGTTTCAAGTAACGAGCTATCATCAATCGGCTCTGTATCTTGAAATTCTCCGAAGTCCAAAACCCCATTGACCTCAAACCCTAAGAGAATTTAGAAATGAAAATTTGTTCATCCCCCATATGAATCTATCGCCTCAAAGCTGCAATAATCCGGACAGCACAATAAGGAATTCGCAAGACGGAAGGAAAATAAAACTCACTATGCTCAGAAGAAGCTGAAGGAGACTTCGAATCGGAGGCGAAAACTTCGGCGTCGATATGATTAGCCATCGAAACTCGGATTATAAGGTTCGTCTACGAAGAAATCAAATCGCTACAACCGCCTATTTCGTGTACGGCTCGAAACCGAGAAGAAACCCTAGAGGTTCCGGTGACGATAGCTGGCGATTTAGTCGGGCACATTGGCGGGAGAGAAGGAGTCGAGAGCTATGTCAGTGGTTTTGAAACGCACAATTCTGATTTCTACAATGTAATATATACATTTATATATTTATAAATGTGCATGAGATGTCAAGGAGGGCGTTTGGTCTAGTGGTATGATTCTCGCTTAGGGTGCGAGAGGTCCCGAGTTCAATTCCCGGAACGCCCCTTAATATTTTTTAATTTTTACTCGTTTTCCTCTATATCGTTCTCCTTTTTAGTCTTCAGCTAAAATGAAAAAAGGACCACTATTTTATTAATGCCTTCTAGAAGGAAACGTAACTACTTATTCCACACATCATAATCTTGTTACAATTTATGTGTATATGTCAAAGAAAGATATAGAAGACAACACTTTGCTTTTCTTTTCACATTCCATTTATGTGAACTTGCATATAAAAAAACATGATTATGATTAGGTGGAACACCATATTAGGGCACATGGTTTATTTTCTTAACTATATTTTATGCGTCATAAATTCGTAATCTAAACCAAATTTACAAATAGGTCGTATGTCTTTTTTTAAACATAACAAATATGTAGTTAGTATATTTGTTGTAAAGAATATTTTTGTATGTTTTTTTAATGTCTACCAACATTTACATGAAACATCTTATTAGGTGGAACACCATTAGATAACAACTGGAATTTGGTCGTATGCAATCCAGCAGATGTCTCTGGATAGTAACACCTATCTACTGAATAATATATATATATATATATATGCACAGTATTTAACATCATAATGTGAATTATTAGCTTTCTGTGGTATTTGGTAGGTACGTTGTATATAAGTGAATACGTAAAGATAATTCATTAATCGCGACAGACAGCTCATGATAAGCACCAACACATGCCACACGCATTAAAGGTTTTTATAGTTTTTTTTTTTTGTTCTGACGTCCTCCAAATATTTTCAAAGGTTTAAACTAAACATTCATTTAAATAATTGAAACAAAGTATACTATGACAAAAAAAAATGTAATAAAATACTTGATATAACTGTTGAACCAGAAAATTATTTAAAATTTTATAATTAACAGTTTAGATTTAGAAAAATATCAAATTAGAGATAGGAGATTAGGTCATCGAAAAGATGAACTACTTAAAGTTTTTATCAAGTTATAGCTGAATTTTTAAGAAAAACTGTCTATGTACTTTTGCGAAAGGATCAAGTCATTTGTAATTCAGTAGTTATTTTAGATGGGAGTTTCATCCTGTTTTCTGATGATCTTCGACTTATGAGAATCTCTTTATTTATAAAAAGGCGGAATTAATTTCTTTGACCTTATTTCTCTTTTTTATTTAGAAATATTTTTTAACGTATTCTTTTTTTTTTATTCTTCGGAGATTTTACTATTATCCTCAAATGTATTCTTTTTACCTGAAGAGGTTAATCTGGTGGACTTTGGCTTGATGGACTATCATTAATGGAGAATAGCCTTGAACATATGCTCATTTTCCCTCTAACAATAACAACTGTAGATTTGTATTTAATGTTAGAGTATGCTATTCAATGATTCCCTTAGCCTATTTGGCTGTTACAATCTTAATTATTTTGGGAAGAAATCAACACATGCTTGACTATTGTAACATGTTCCTGTTTTGTCTTCATTAACAAAAAATAACTTTTTCCCCTTTTTTCCCCAAAAACACTTGCATGCTAGCTAGAATGTTACTGGTTCAAAACACAGCCCCATTAGATTCTCTTTTCTTTCTCTCCCTCTCTACCTTTTCAAGGCTACACCTTTTTCTCTCTCGCTATATAGCTATTTTTGACACAAACACAGAGACCCATCTCTTCAAAGACTCGAAGTTATAAGTTAGAAATCGGAAAAAAGACCAATCTATCGCAGATCAAGACATGTTTCAGATTGGGTCAAGCTCCTTTTCCAAACCCTTTTTCTCCATCTCTGCAGATTTAACAAGGGAAACACTATTTCTATTCTAATTATTCTCTTCTTCTTTTTTTGTATCTGAAATAGAAAAAATGCATTAATCAAGAGATTATATGTGGGCAAGAACTTCTCCACCAAGGGCATCTCCTCATCTGTATCATCTCATTCAAGTTCAAGGCAAGTTCCATCCTAATCCCATTTTTACAAGAATCTGAATTACTAGATACAATATCAATATTTTTTTCTATATATAGAAAATAAAATAATCTAACGAATGTATAGTTATGTCTTTTTGAGAATGTCATATGTAAAATAATTTGATACTACAAGTTGGTGTGGTTTCATTTGTCTTCTTCGACAAAACCTTATCCTATAGTTGTCACACATTTGTAAAAAGGAAGCTAGAAGGCAAAGTAGCGCTCATCACAGGAGGAGCAAGTGGGATTGGCAAAGCAACAGCCGGAAAATTCATCAGCCATGGCGCCAAAGTCATCATCGCCGATATCCAACCGCAGCTCGGGGAAGAAACCGCGCAAGAACTCGGTCCAAACGCTGCATATTTCCACTGCGATGTGACCAAAGAATCAAACATCGCCAACGCGGTTGATTTCGCTGTCTCGCTACACACACAGCTTGACATCATGTACAACAACGCCGGTATTCCCTGCAAGACGCCTCCTAGTATCGTCGATCTTGATCTCAATGTTTTCGACAAGGTACTCTGATCTCAAAGACCATATGAGATAACAAGTTTACGGTCCAGTTTTAATCCTTTTTAATCTATGTTCTTGCAGGTAATGAACACAAATGTCCGTGGAGTCATCGCCGGAATCAAACACGCTGCTCGTGTGATGATCCCTCGTAACTCCGGATCCATCATTTGCGCAGGGAGTGTCACGGGGATGATGGGAGGATTAGCGCAACACACTTACAGCGTCTCGAAATCCGCGGTTATCGGAGTTGTGAGATCAACGGCTTCAGAGCTATGCAGGCACAGGATCAGGGTCAACTGCATTTCACCTTTCGCAATCACGACGTCGTTCGTGATGGACGAGATGCGGCAGGTTTACCCTAACGTCGACGACTCGAGGCTGGTCCAGATAGTGCAGAGCACGGGAGTGTTGAACGGAGAGGTTTGTGAACCGGTCGACGTAGCTAACGCAGCGGTTTACCTCGCGTCCGATGATTCAAAGTATGTGAATGGGCATAATCTAGTGGTAGATGGAGGATTCACAACTGTAAAGACTTTAGATTTCCCTGCACCTGATCAACTGAAATAACTGATTCATAATTTACAAAAAGACACTGTTCTTGAACCTTTACTATAACTAAACTAGACTAGAGTTTAGAGTAGGCCGCCGGTTTCTACTCTTTCAACAATCAAATTGATAGCTGCATTTGCGGATGTGAAAGCTCCATGGAAGCTTTCTTGGTATGAGATGGAGGTTAAGTCCTGAGCCATCTTCAACAAAATCACTCCCATGTCGGTTTCTTTCTCTGAAAGTGAAGTGTAGAAAGACTTTGCAGCTACATCACTGATCTCCACATTGGTTGGTTCAGGGCAATACTCATCGTCCAACCACTTGTGCAGAGTTACTCTCAACCATTCAGATTCCTGATCAAACATTTCAAGATCAGCAATTGAAAGAACCATATAAACCGAACCAAACCGGAATCCAAAAAGCTAAGACATTGTTAGATCCTGAATACTACACTAGCTAGATTTTCACAAAACAGAGAATCCCTAATTTCGAGTAAGCAATGTTGCGGAAATCTGAAACCAAAAGCAGAGGAATTGCAGAAAGCTAAAATCATTTGCTTTTAGATTTGGCATTTGATGGAAGCGAGAAAGCACCTCAATGGCCTTGGAAGGGAGTAACCACTCGTCTGGAATCTTGAGGGCTTGTACGACTGATTCAGAGTCTTCGTCTCCTTCATGGGTCGAAGATTGGGAAGAAGATCGAAGCTTTTGGGGTTTAAACAGCCGAAATTTCGGCGCATATGTTAACGGAAAGCTGACGACGGATGGTCTTCGAATCGACGCCGGAAAACCAAAGTGTTGGGTCAATGAGAAAGTGTGCGAATAATCGGAGATTACGACGTTTTGGGTCATACAAGAGTAAACCCATGAGTTCATCCTTTCGTCTCAGGCTCCTCTATAGCTTCACTTCGCTGATTATCTCGCCCAAACAAAAGAAAAAGAAAAACTTATTTTCGGTGGCTGCAGCTGAATTGAGTGAGGAAGGTGATAAGATGACGTCATATCTATTAAAAAACAGGGTCTTGTGACGTGGCTGCTTCATACGACGACGTTCAACTGCTAACATGTCATTAGCTGTGAAAACTCTGTTTTCTTACTTCAGAATCAGATTCTTCCTTCTCGGCAATTCCTTCATAAGGCGCAGAGATCGAGAACGGCTTTGGAATTGTGGAGAAGATTGTGCTTCTCGTCAAGCTGGAGAAGCTTGTAAGATGCTCGAGAACGGAATCCAATCTCCTTAGCGAGATGATAGTACTTGTCCAAACGATGCTTTCCTTTGACCTTAGGCATGGTGAGAGATTCCTCTAGGGTGTTCGTTCTGGCTCTAACACGCAGAAGGAGGAGACAGAGAGTGTGAGAAGAATAAGGTTTAGGGTTTACTATGCGCGCCTTGATTAACAAGTTAGTAACTAAAATGAAAAATCTTTATGACCTCTTAAAACAAAACGCACCAAACAGTAAACAAAATCGCAAAAAAAGGAGAAGAGAAAATAAATCTCAACGGGAATGAAAGCAAAAGCGTACGAAAGCAAATCCTAATTATTGAGTTTGTAAACAACGAAGTCACTCGTCTCTTCTTGTAAACTCTGTTTTCTTCTCTCAATCTCTCCAACTCTTCCTTCATTGTCTCATGACCAAATTCAACAATTTGATCTTCTTCACTTTCACTTTCACCATCATCCACTCCACTCTCTGTTTCTTCACTCAGTTCCGACTGGAACTCGTCGGCGTCGTCGCTTCTTGGCGAGTTATGTCTGTACGGATTCATAAGTGAAGAGGTTTTAATCAACAGATCACACCTTTGCGCCAAACGAGCGATGCGAACGGTATAAATCTTGGACCATTGCAATGAGTTTTGGTTTTCTCTCGTAATAAATCTTTGCTCGTTTAGCGAAGGAATCGGCTTCATCATCAACCTCTTCAATCACTCTCAGCATTTCAGTCGGCTTTGAATCGAGTTCTGTGTTTTCATTTTACAACAATCATATATATTAATCACTGTACAACATTACAGAACAAAGACAAAAGGATAAATCTTTTAGTTACCAGAGAGAGTATAGTTAAGCCAAGAGGAGGAACTTGATGTGTTGTGATTTCCACCAATCCACCACCATTTTGATGTCTCTTTCATCGTCTTCCCTCTTAATAATTTTTTTGTCACCTTTTTCGATTTTTTGACAATGTGTGTAATGTAAATGCAGATTAAAACGTTGAAGCCGTATCATTCCTCTTTCCCTTCTCGTTGCAGAGCGACTCAAAAGATTTTTGGGTCTTCATTTCCCGTCTACTATAACGTTCACGTGGCCTCTTATTTATTCAAGTGCGAAACTGGCGCAGCGTACGGATTAGGTTACAGCTCAATCAAGAGATTATTCAATCGCTTGAGACCTGTTCTTGCTCGATCAAGGGGTTCGGGTGAACCTCTTGAGACCAACTTCCTGTTTTGACGACGTTAATCGAATCAAGACAAGGGTAAGAGAAACTCTTAAGTTTATTATTCAAAAGCTGATCTACAAAGAAGCCAAACCACGGCTTATATAGATTCGTGCACAAGATAAGAAAAGGAAAGCTTCTAAAACCTATCCTAAAGTAATTAGGAAACAGAGAACCGCCCTTAAAACAGAGCTTTTAATAAGTAAAACATAAAGCCCAAAACTTAATTAAAACATAGCTTAAAGTGTGTTACGTAGGCGCCAAGATACAAGATGCTGCTGCATCAGAAACGGTACGTACGTACACAGATTCGTACGTAATATAGTGCAGTGGTATCTGAATTGACGATGATGTGGCGGCGTAAAATCTTTTTAAGTTCTTGAAATTAGGTTTTTCACTCTTTACGAAAAACTATAATCTAGCAAAGCTATATTTTTTAAATATAATTTTAGTCAGGAACAAAATCACGAGATATTTCTTTCTTTTTCTACCCTTTCTACTTAAAATTCATTGTTTTCTTAAAAGTCAAAATATGAATTGGTATGATAACGAGAAATATCTATTTATAAGGTATTTTTCTTCATTTGTTGAACATACAGTATAAGGTATTCTTCAAATGCATTATCTCTTTTGGTTCAGCTATTCACGTATGCATATAAATTACAAATCTTAGTTTTTTTGTTTTTGGTCAAACATCTTAGTACAAAGATAAAATCAGAAAGATTCTTCTATCCGTTGTTAGAACTTAGTTACCCGGTTAGCCAAACATCTGGCATAGACACAATTTATGGCCCACAAAGAACATGGGCCTATTCATTGGGACAGCCCAATACGACGAATTTTGAACTGCAGTAAGTGGCGCGTGAAATTCGCATACAACCTCACAAGTGTTAGTGATGGAGAAAGTGGTGTTCCTTGTGTTCAGGAACACTCTCTCCATAACTTATGATAAAAAGCTTAACAAGTAGTGGTAAAATTGCTTCAATGATTGTTCATAAATATCATATATAGAGAGTCAGAAGTGGTGTCTGTTGAAGTTAAATCGAGCAAACGGAGAAGAAAAAGAGAAAAAGGTTATTTATTTCAAAATATATGAATTGATCGGTTATTTAAAACCGGCGCAGTTATGATTAGAACCGGTTTATTCAGTCGGTTTAAAACCCACACATCATCATTCTTCATCACTCGACGATGGCTTTCTACTTTGGCCGGCGACGAGAGAAGCGAGATAGCATTCTTTGACCTCGAGACGTCGGTTCCGACCAAATCGGGCAAGCCTCTCGTTATTCTGGAGTTTGGGGCCATCTTAGTTTGCACAAGGACGCTTGTGGAGCGTGACAGGTACTCCACATTGGTTCGACCCACCGATCTTTCTCTCATCTCCACGTTCTCCAAGCGACGAAGCGGCATCACTCGCGAAGGAGTCTTGTCTGCACCCACATTCGCCGAAATCTCCGACAAAGTCCACGACATCCTCGACGGTAAGATTCTCTCTCTCCCTGACATAGCTAGAATGCAGAGCATTAATTGATTTTGGTGTCCGTGTAGGTCGAATATGGGCAGGACACAACATAAAGCGATTCGATTGTGTAAGAATTAGAGAGGCGTTTGCAGAGATTGGTAAATCTCCGCCGGAGCCGAAAGCTATAATCGATACGCTTCCATTGCTGTCTCAAAGTTTCGGGAAGAGAGCTGGCGACATGAAGGTGTCTCACTCTGTCTCTGTCTCTCTTTAAAGTGTAGCGTAATGATCACGTAACCTCAATGATTCACCATTTTGTCTTCTTTTTAACCATTGTAGATGGCAACGCTTTCTAAATACTTGGGGCTAGGAGCTCAAGCGCACAGGTAGAATCTAATCGATACCTTGAGCCTTCTTTTTGATAACAATTCACCTGTTCTTTCAATATCGATATGGTTCTCCAGGAGCTTAGATGATGTCCGGCTTCTTCTTGAAATTGTTAAGATATGTGCAACCGTTGAATTGCTGGTAATGTTGTCTTTCTCCTTTCTGCAACTTTTAATGGTTAGACAAAACTGAGACATATCTGACTTTGTGTCTACATGGTTTTGCAGGAGTCCAGTGTCGCTGACATTCTTCCTGAAACGAACAGGCCTTTCCCCAAGAAAAAACCCGAGAAACCCAAGTGATACATCTTGTTGTGAATCAGATCCCACTGGAACAGAAGATGTTGCAGTTAAAACCAAGATGGTTCTTGTCTCTTCCTGGTCTGTTAGTGAGTCACTCTTGTTATTCCCATTTCGTAGATGCATGTAGGATTAAGGAGAATCTTTGTCTTGTACAGATCAAATGGTTACACCAATCTCTTAATGTAACATTCATTTTGATTCGTCAGTCTAATCATATGGATTCCCTCAACAAGTTCTAAGTGTATGAGACTTATCTATATATCTTGACTCAAGAAATCAATCTAGAGATCATTTCCATGGAAAAGGAAGTTTCTGATATATTCATATATGATGCTTTTCGCAATTACAAGTTTCTAAATATCACGCATAGCCCATAAAGAATATGGGCTTATTTATTGGGCAAGCCCAATACAAGGAATTCTGATTTTGCAATAGTACCCTTAAACTGTTGGTGGTTTTTGCAATTATACGTTTCTAAAGTGGCTCTCTTGAAAAAAAAAAAAGGATAATTGGTATTCTCAGTTTCCTCAGTTCAGACTTCAGACTCGCCACCGATTGCAATTTAGGGTTCGTAATTTCTTCCCCTTTCTGGTAACTCGATCTGTCGTTCAAAAGCTAGGGAAACAAAAAATCGAATTGTGGAGTTAGTAGCTTGGAAGATTCACGGGGCAATGAAGGGTTTTCATCAAAGAGATCAACAGGATACAAATAGCTCCAAGTCGATGGAGACGAAGAGGAGGAAGAACATGAAGAGATTGGGAGGCAGTGGTCTCTCTCTCGAAACTTTTGCGAACTTGAAATCGAAAAACAATCACTATAACCCTGCTTTGATCAGTAAGCCATTTCTTCTCTCCTATCCAATTTTTGCTAAGATGGAATTGAGTTTTCTTTTTAACTATTTTTCCTTCTTTTCAGAAAAGCAAAAAGAATTCTACAAGAATGCAAAGTATGTGAGCAAGTTTAAGAAGTCGATGAAGCAGCAGAACTCTCATGGAAAGAACGAGACTGGAGAGAGTAGCAAGCAGGAGTTTCATGAAAAGAATGAGACTGGAGAGAGTAGCAAGGTAGATGATGATAAGCAGAAGGGTAAATCTAACAAGAGAATCGGTGTGGAGGATGTGTACAAGCAGACACGAGAAGAGATGGAGAAAGCGAGGATGGAGAGAGAAGCTGCGTTTCAGGCGAAGAAGCAAGCCAGGGAAGAAGCTGAAGCCAGGAGGAAAGCAGCAAGAGGGAAGATGCTGAAAAAGACTCGACATGGTCAGCCTGTAATGAAATACAGAATTGAGCATCTTCTTGAATCCATCAAGAAAACTGCTGCAAACAATGGAAACAGAACCGCATGATCAATGAAAAAACTTGATTTCAACTCAGATACTGATCATCTAGTTCTTGCCAAAGATTTTGCTACTGGTTCTTCGCATTTTGCTTCTCGTGTTGGTTTGAGGTAACATTTGTAGTTTTTTTTTGTCTTGGCTAGGTTTTGCAAGCACCATCACATGTTTTACTTGCTGTTTATGTTTATCTCATGACTTTGGCTGTTTCGTTACAAAATTGATGAATATATAAATCTCAGAAAGTGAGAGTTTTTATTCCAGACTTTAGCAGAAAGACAAAGTTTTACTTAAACAGAGTACAAGCTATCGATGATGATTCTAACATCTTAAAGGAAACAATATGGATATGAGATAGAGCGTATGGAAGGTGAATCTCCCACAACAATGCCTGCAAAAATTCAACATGAAAACAGAAAAAACGACTGAAGCATCCAAGCAAGTTTTTTACTTTATGGCTAGATTTGAAACTCCGATCTCGGGAGTCTTGTGTATTGTCCACACAAATTCAGGCATATCCAACCTCGGTCCCGCGACGGTTCTGTAAATGTATATCCTCTCAACTGGAGAGCTCTCCGGCCTTGTCTCTGGAGGATGTTCATCGATGACTTCGACGTTGAGCCTCGGCATCTTCTGGCTCAGGATCTTGCAAGCATCGAAACTTACGAAGCAAGACGACATCCAAAGGGATCGCATGGTTTCTAGTTTCGCAGCGTTCTCCAGCAGCGCAGCGTCTCCGAAAGGGCAATCTCTGATCTCGAGCTTCTTTAAACTCTCACAGCCTGACAACAAGTGATGAAGCATGAGATCACTGTCCCCAGCAAATGCTACTGATAGCATCCCAAGCTTCTTGGCGTGTTTCCCGATGTATTCAAAGGCCTTGTCGGTGAGGAGACCTGAGACAGAGAGCCGTTGAAGATCCTTGCATCTCTCAACTATGGCTTTGAATCCTTCATCGAGTGGCTTTTGTGTTCTGTAATCAGGAGCAAACGGCTCCATCACACAGAGGCGGAAGCATCTGAAATTTGGACGGTTTCTCGCGATGGTAACCAAGGCTGTGTTTGTGAACTGGACACAGAAGTAGAGAACAGATTCAAGCTTTGGACAGCCTTCAGATACAGAGACCAGACCTTGTTCCGTCAGAGCTACGTCTGTTTCATCTAGATCTGCTCCAGATGGAAACACCCTTAGTTCTCGCAGTTCCTTGCAGCACGAGGCAACAGCTTTGAGACCTTTGTCCTCTATCAAGTCCATCACCTGTAACAAAATCTCTCACTTAGTAAGAAAACCAACATAATGAGTGTTGAAGATTTTAAGAATCAAATGGAGAAACACTCACCCATAGCTTCTGCAGTTTCGAGCATCGACTAAGAAGATCGACAAGATCAGGCATTTGGACAGTAGCATAGCTCAAGTTCAACGAGGTAAGACGAGGACAAACAGAGTAAAGAAGTGGAATATACTCAGGGAGGACATCCCAAAGACCAGATAAGCACTTAAGTTGCTTCAACGCTGCAAAAGCTTTAGCTAACTTTGAAAGCGCTTCTTGATCCAGGTCATCTGAGAAAGAACCTGTGCCAAGCTCAACCAGCTGTGGAGCTCGACGAAGTAAGCTCTCGAGTCCGTCTAGAGCCACGGCTCGGTTCAGCTTCAGAGACTTGAGGTTTGGAGACCTGCTCACGAGACGCTCCAAGTCCGAGAGTTTAACCTCAGAGTCCAAACAAGAGAAGTCAAGAGAGACAAGAGAAGTCAACGTCTCTGGGAAATAGCTAAGCCAGTCTCCTCCTAGATCTTCAACTATGCATTCTCGCAATTCCAGCTCCCTCAGGTTTCTGTTTTTAAAATAAAGACAAACAAACCAACGTTGTTACTATGAGATTTTGACCTTCAAAAAGAAAGTTGTATGTTTATATTATGGTTTTGAACCGAACCTGCAAGTTGCTGCAATGGCTGCGAGACCATCAGTGGAGAATCCTTCACAAGAAGTCAACACAAGGACTTTAAAATCCTTAAAGGAAGCAGCAATCTTCTCCAAGCACTCATCAGTCACCACCATTCTCTTCAACCGTACCTCCTCAAGCGACGGGGTTTTCGCCGCCATAGCCTCAATCCACGGCCAAGCATAGCCACCCCAACCGTCGGGAACCAAGTTGTAGTCGGCGAAGTGAGGCTTACCCTTCAGAGTCAGAGATCTCATCTTCGGGAACCGCCGTGCAACCGCCGCAGGAGTGACCGCGTAACAGTTTCCGACGAAGACCTTTCTCCTAGTTCGCCTCTCGGTCTCGAACCATGACTTGCAGACGAGAGAAACAGAGTTCCGGTCCTCGTTGGCATCGATGAAGGAGATGATATGCTCCAGAACCTTGGATGGTAACCGGAGACCCATCAGAACAGAGACAGAGAGACGACGGAAAGAGAGAGAGAGAGAGATGGAAAGAAAAAAAAGAAAGGGTTTGAGATGTGATTCGAAATGAGCGATCTAAATCAAAAGAACGAAGCTTTTGATAGTATTATATATAAACTGTGAAAGTGGAGAGACAAGACTAGTGTGACAAGACAAGAGAAACAGAGGAGACAATGTCCATGTGAGACCATTAATAAAGTTGAGCTTGCACCCATGTGAGGCCCCCGGCTATGTAGCCTGTGTATGTCACTAATTTAGTTAGTTGCCTTAATCATAATTAGTTCACCAATCATCACATGTAGTCTGTGTGCTGCTATGATTCCTCTATCTAATCATTTATGGAATACCCAGTTCACACATGATTTCATATCGTTTCATTTTGTCATTTAGTTACTAGGAAACGGTGTCAAGTATTTTCATTGGCAGCACTAAAACAGAATATGGCAGCATTAAAATAAAAAATACTCTATAAGTTACGGGTATAATTTTGTTTTTACCGTTAATTTTGAATCGCCATTTTTTTTGAAACAGGACCCTTTTCTTTAACAGTAGTCAATAAGGTACAGAATTTTTTTTGAAAAAACATTGATCTAAATCCAGCCCATAAAAGCCCAGTACTAAATTTGCGTCAAACGTATATAAAACCCAATATCTTTAACAAAATGCCGATTTAGTCTTCTGTATTATCGGTGGTTTAATTTCGAAATAGTTTCCTATTCCTCCCTAAAAACCTTAGAAGTTAAATTTTAAAAATCATAATTTACCCAACGTTAAGATTATTGAAGTGTTTTGTATGATATTGTATTTGAATTGAAAACCATTTATATGTTATTGGTCATAGATATTTGTAAAAAATATCACCGGAGCAGTATAGTTTTGTTGGACCACATAAATCCACGAGGCACACGAGCGACCCTTTTTTACCGCTGTTCGTTTCTGAAAAACGAGAAAATGAAATTGTAGAAACCGATCGGATCCAAATATCCTTCTTCTTGTCTTATCTACACGTGCCGCATTTTGAACTTATCCAACAGAAGAAAGATGTGTCTGAAGCTCTCCCGCTCGCATGGCGAATCCTCTAGTTCTATAATCTGACCTCGTTTTGGCCAAACCCACTAAAACGGCGTCGTTTCGGTTATCCGATGCTGACGAAAGGTCTTCACTTGTTGTCTTCCTCAATCTTCCACCGCTTTGCTTCTCGCAGCATCGCGTCTCTGTCTTCTTTACCCGGAAGAAGAATTCGCGTCCGTACAAATCATCCTTCGTTTTCTTTCCCTTTCTCGCCGGTTATCTCGAGACCCATTTCCTCAGGCAAGGTCTTGGCCATGGCGGAAGGGACCTCTTCTTCAACCTCGTCCACATCTCAGAAACATACCAACCGTTTAGCCGCCGAACACAGTCCTTATCTTCTTCAACACGCGCACAATCCGGTAATTGATTTCCACACCGCTATAAAAGTATTGATCTTTTCTAGTATTCTTACAAGGTCTGTAGATTAAAAAAAACAGCTTTGTTTTCAATTGAGGCATCTTCAGTCTCAATTAGGGAGTTTCGTTGCAAGTATTTAAGCCTTAACTGGTTTAGATTGTAGGCATAGTTTCATTAACCGGTTCTCAGCTCAAAAGCATTGAACTTTTTTTTTTTTATCTTGGCTTGATCGTAATTTGAACTCGGGCATGGTTCATGTGAAAAAGGTTGATTGGTATCCATGGGGAGAAGAAGCTTTTGAAGAAGCAAGGAAGAGAGACGTGCCCATCTTCTTATCAAGTTGTTTTCTTTTATCTGCTATTGATCTTTTTTTTACTTCTGCTGGATTTGATTTTCTTGATTGTTTAGTTTATGACACTAATTGGTTCCCTTTTTGTTTTCAAAAACCTCTTTTATATGGAATCTTGAAGTTGGATACAGTACATGCCACTGGTGAGAATTAAACGTCGATTTTGAGTTTTTGTCTTCGTTTGCTGAATAGAAGAAGTAGGAGATTAAATGACACATATTAAAATGATTCTGGATTTGTTAGTATAATCACTCTGCTTTCCTTGTAGACGTAAGCCTAATGTAGGATTTAAGGATTTTGTAAAAGGAAAGTGGAGGAAGAATTTTAGTCTAAGAGCTCCTGTTCTTGTATGGGATGCCACTTGCCAGGATGGAGATGAATTATCTTCTTTCCTGTTTTGCAAAGTATGTTTCAGTACCAGTTAACTCTTTTTCAGGTGCCATGTGATGGAGGTTGAGTCATTTGAAGATGAACAAGTGGCAAAACTCTTGAACGATTCGTTCGTTAGTATCAAGGTTTGAGCTTAAGGCCGAACAATTTTCTTCTGGCTGTATATTATAAAATGCGGTTTAGAAGCACTATCTTTGGGCTGGTTGCTCTTCAAACACTTTGCTTAACTTGTTGTTTATCATGTCTGTTCAACAGGTGGATCGAGAAGAGCGGCCTGATGTCGATAAGGTAAACTTACTGTCTGCATGCCACAAGAAATGTTTTAATCCACCCTGTCTTGAACAGAGGCCCTTGAAATTCGAAGTCTCATTCACGTCTCTGAATGCTTAGTCTTGTCGTGGCTGAAACAAATGGCTTTCGTTACTGTATTGGAGAATAGTTGCTTGTTGGGGTAACTTCAGTGAGAGACGCATATCCATAGTAGAGTTGTATTGAATTAGTTCTTGTATCCGTTTCTGAAAATATGGAAAAAGTAAGTCTTGACTACGTTTATGAACTTGACTTACAATACTTTTTACTGGAACTTTTAGGTCTATATGTCGTTCGTCCAGGCTCTGTACGGCGGAGGAGGGTGGCCACTCTCGGTCTTTCTTTCACCTGATTTGAAGCCATTAATGGGTGGAACCTACTTTCCTCCAAATGACAACTATGGAAGACCAGGATTCAAGACCCTCCTTAGGTACGGAAACCATTCTCTCTTGTTGTACACTAGCATTCTCAGATGCACATGGTGCCATTGGTTCTCTTTGGATTTGGTTCAGGAAGGTGAAAGATGCGTGGGACACTAAGAGGGATACGCTTGTGAAGAGTGGTACCTATGCTATTGAAGAACTATCAAAAGCTTTATCTGCAAATGCTGAAACTGATAAATTGCCTGATGAGCTTTCTCGGTCGGCTGTGAGTATATGTGCAAAACAAGTATGGTTCGACTCTGTTGTACTCTTTGAAAAATATGTGTGATTGATTACATCAACATGAAGAAGAACTTTCTAACATTAAGTGTTTGTATTCAAAGCTTTCTCGGAGCTACGATTCGAAATTCGGTGGGTTTGGATCTGCGCCAAAGTTCCCAAGGCCTGTGGAGATCCAGCTGATGCTTTATCACTTCAAAAAGTTGAAAGACTCTGGGAAAGCGAGTGAGGCTGAAGAAGACCAGAGCATGGTTTTGTTCAGCTTGCAAGGCATGGCAAACGGAGGGATGCATGATCACATTGGAGGCGGGTTCCATAGGTACAGCGTCGATGAATGTTGGCATGGTGAGAGACTTTCAACTAGTATCCTGCAGTAGTAACCAACTTGATGATAAAATGATTTGAACTTGATGCGAAATTTTGTTATTTTTTATAATGCAGTTCCGCATTTTGAGAAGATGCTATATGATCAAGGGCAACTAGCTAATGTCTACCTTGATGGCTTTATCATTACCAAAGATGTCATGTATTCTTATGTGGCAAGAGACATACTTGATTATCTGAGAAGAGACATGATTGCACCTGAAGGTGGAATATTTTCTGCTGAAGATGCCGATAGCTTTGAATTCGAAGGTGCAAATAGAAAGAAAGAAGGAGCTTTCTATATATGGACCAGTGATGAGGTTCTTCTCTCTGATACATTCATCATTTCAATTAGTTTTCCCTCGCTGTATTCTGACATTTTCTTCTTCTTCTTCTTGTTTGTTTTGGTTTCAAGATTGATGAAGTCCTCGGGGAGAATTCAGATCTTTTTAAGGAGCATTATTATGTCAAGAAATCAGGTAACTGCGATCTCTCGAGCATGAGTGACCCGCACGATGAATTCGCTGGGAAGAACGTACTGATCGAAAGAAACGAGCTTTCTGCCATGGCATCAAAGTTTAGCCTCTCCATTGACAAGTATCAGGAGATTTTGGGTGAATGCCGAAGAAAGCTTTTCGATGTCAGGTTGAAGCGACCTAAGCCGCATTTAGATGATAAGGTAAGAAGAATCTTCTTGTTGTCTTCTCCTACTGTTTCTTCAGCTTTGATTTAACTGTTTTTCTTTTCTTAGATAATCGTGTCGTGGAACGGTCTTGTTATCTCGTCTTTCGCAAGAGCTTCCAAGATTCTCAAGGCTGAGCCTGAAAACACTAAATACTGTTTCCCTGTGGTGAATAGTCAGGTAATATAAATGTTACCCTTCTTGATTTCTCCTTTGACCGTTGGCTTTTCTTATTCGAATTATCATTTTACAGCCAGAGGATTACATAGAAGTTGCAGAGAAAGCAGCTTTGTTTATAAGAGGGAATCTCTATGATGAGCAATCACACAGGTTACAACACAGTTACAGACAGGGACCATCGAAAGCTCCTGCCTTTTTAGACGATTATGCTTTCTTGATCACTGGTTTACTCGATCTCTACGAGAATGGAGGTGGGATCGAGTGGCTTAAATGGGCGATTCAACTTCAAGAAATGCAGGCAAGTGAGATCTTTACTAGCTTTGAGTGTTTTTTTAAGCTGTTGAATTTTGGCTAAAACTTTAAAGACGTTTTAGGATGAGTTATATCTTGATCGAGAAGGAGGAGCCTACTTCAATACTCAAGGACAAGACCCATCTGTTCTTCTCCGTGTAAAAGAAGATCACGATGGTGCAGAGCCTTCAGGGAACTCTGTTTCTGCTATTAACCTTGTGAGATTAGCTTCCATAGTCTACGGAGAGAAAGCTAAATCCTACCTTAACACCGCACAGCGTCTCCTGGTAGACAAACTCGAGTAATTCAATCTGCTATTTCATCGTTGTACGCGTTGAGGCTCTTTGGTTAAAGATTATCGTGTGTCTCTTTGTTGTTGTTGTTGTATTTTGCAGGCGGTCTTTGAGTTGAGGTTAAGAGAATTGGCCGTGGCTGTGCCGTTGATGTGCTGCGCCGCGGATATGATCTCTGTTCCGTCGAGGAAACAAGTCGTATTGGTTGGTTCTAACTCTTCTGTTGAGCTCAACAACATGCTTTCTACAGCACATTCGGTCTATGATCCTAATAAAACGGTAAGGCGCTTTAGGTTGACCAAAGTTTTCAGATCACGGAGCAGCAAGTTTGTGATTTTGTTTTTGTGGTTTTATTTGCGCAGGTGATTCACATCGATCCTTCGAGTTCTGATGAGATGGAGTTTTGGGAAGAGCATAACAGTAATGTAGCCGAGATGGCGAAGAAGAACAGAAACTCTGAGAAAGTGGTGGCTCTTGTTTGTCAACACTTCACTTGTAGCCCTCCTGTCTTCGACTCTTCTTCTCTCGTTCGCTTACTCTCCAAGTAACAAAGAGATTCCATGTTTTTAATGGTTGCTTGTGTTTTAAGGAACAACATGAACGTTTTTGTTCTGTATAACAGAGTTGATCAATAAAATACAGGAGGCGTCCTCTGCTCAGAGAGAAGTAAACCGAATTTTGTATGAGGTTTCTTTTGGTTGAACTCAACCGGAATTAACCGGATTTTGTCATATTCCTTATCATCTCTATCCTCTCCAGCAACAGAGAAAACGTGGATTCGATCGCCGAAAATGGCATCTCACTCTTCGACTCTCTTCTCTTCTCCTTCTTCGTTCAATCTCTTCTCCTCTCATCGTCTCCATCTTTCTCCGAATTACTTCACTCTCCACTATCATCGTCCCGGAAAGAGATCCGATTTGAACTTACGATGCTCAGTCTCTATCGAAAAGGAAGTTCCCGAAACCGAAAGACCTTTCACTTTCCTCAGAGACTCTGATGGTGATTTTGAATCTTCTTCTGCTTCGGTTAGGGCTCGTTTCGAGACAATGATAAGAGCTGCTCAGGACAATGTCTGCGAAGCCATTGAAGCAGTCGAAGGAGGCCCCAAATTCAACGAAGATGTTTGGTCTCGACCCGGCGGAGGCGGCGGAATCAGCCGTGTCTTGCAAGACGGAAACGTCTGGGAGAAAGCTGGAGTCAACGTCTCTGTGGTTTACGGTGTTATGCCTCCTGAAGCTTATAGAGCAGCTAAAGCCGCCGCGTCTGATCATAAACCCGGCCCGATTCCGTTCTTCGCCGCCGGAATTAGCTCGGTACCTTCTCTCTCTCTCTCACATTCATTCGTCTTCATTGTCGTTAAATTTCTCTTTAAATTCTTGAATTGAGCTTGATCGCCACATTCATATCCAATTCCAGGTCTTGCATCCGAAAAACCCTTTTGCTCCCACCCTGCATTTCAATTACCGCTACTTCGAGACCGACGCTCCAAAGGGTAATTAATAGCTACATTGTCTTTGAAGAATTGTAAAAGTTTCAATTTTTAGTTGGATTGATTGCCAGATTTTGACGTGTAGATGTTCCTGGAGCTCCGAGACAATGGTGGTTCGGTGGTGGGACTGATTTCACACCTGCTTACATTATCGAAGAGGACGTCAAGCACTTCCATTCGGTCTGAAACCGTATCTAGTGTTCTAAAAAAGCTCAGAGCTTTTCTAGTTATGAAGTTGCTCATACAACAAATCTTTATTTTTTGTAGGTTCAAAAGCAAGCATGTGACAAATTCGACCCTTTCTTCTACCCTCGGTTCAAGAAATGGTGTGATGACTACTTTTACATCAAGGTCTGCAGTTACTTTCTTAGCATGTTTCTGGAACTAAAGACTTTAGATTTAGAGTCATGTGTAGGGATTGATCTAAGGGTCTCAAGGTTTGGTTAGTCTGATGATATAAGTTGTTGTTGCGGATGGTTTGAAAACACTAAAACTTTAATGGTGTTGCCTGCAGCACCGTGACGAGAGGCGAGGGCTTGGAGGGATATTTTTTGATGATTTGAATGACTATGATCAGGAGATGCTTCTGTCATTTGCCACAGGTAATGATGATCAAGAAAGCTTATGGCTTTTGGTTTCTAGAAACTTCCTAAGTTGGCTTGTTTTGAACACTCAAGACGATTTGCGCAGAATGTGCAAGCTCAGTGATACCAGCTTATATACCCATAATAGATAAACGTAAAGACACGCCATTTAACGAGCAACACAAGGCATGGCAACAGTTGCGAAGAGGGAGATATGTTGAATTTAACTTGGTAATATCAGACACACTACACTATTAGCTTTTCTGTTCATATAGTCTCTTCAATCATTTTTATGAAACTTGTCTCATGCAATTTTGTTATTGATGGACCAAAAAAAAGGTGTATGACCGTGGAACAACATTTGGTCTGAAGACAGGAGGGCGAATAGAGAGTATTCTTGTCTCTCTTCCGCTATCCGCAAGATGGGAATATGACCATGTAAAAAGTTGCTTATCAAGTTATCCAAATCAAGATTAGTAATAAATCTTGTTTCATCTAAAGCTGAGTACTGATGATTTTTCTCTATGCAGAAACCGGAAGAAGGAACTGAGGAGTGGAAGCTATTAGATGCTTGTATCAATCCAAAAGAGTGGATTTAGTTAATTTATTGTGGTTACTTTTGAGTTATAGCCTTAAAAGGGTAAGAGTCTAATGAAGAAGAGTGAGAAAGAGAGAATGTGTGATGAAAAGGCCTTACCCTGTAATTTTGCGTCATCTCATCATGAGTTTACTGACCAAAGGAAGGTCATGATTGTGATGATGGAGTGTACAATACCATTGATGATGATGATAAAAGTATTAAACTTTACAAACTTACTGACACAGTAAAAAGCATGAGTCTTGTCAGGTTAAGAGACGTTGGCTCAAAGAAACAAGCCTCTCTCGGTGCACGCACACGCGTGAGCCACTTGCTCGGTAGATGTTAACACGAGACAGAACAAAAGTTGGTGAGATAACTTTGAATCTGATGATATGATTTGTATATAAAATATCGTTTCAAGATTCAACCACTCGGTTTTGTGTCTAAACATTTCGGACGTAGCAAAACGTCACTCTCTCGATTTTTTTTTGTCTTGATTCAAGAAACGCCCGTGATTTTCAATTCAAATCTTCATGGAGTCCAAAAAACGAAGTCGTTTTCTCTTCTGTCTCTAATGGCGACAAAGAAACAACTTCGTCCCCGGATATACACACATACACATAGTTGGTGTATTTCGATACCACACAACTTGACATTGTTTTTTAAATTACCAAAGCAAAGGAAGATATTTTTATTCACAATTGACGTCACACCTGCCACATCTAACATCTAATCCATGTCTGTAACACAAAAACAAAAAATTGAATTCCCCCAAAAAGTGAGGAGAGAGAGAAGAGAGAGAGAGGGTAAAAGACTGTGTACCACCAATCAATATCTTTCTTTGATACAGGAAAAGATTTTAAATTTTGAGCTTCTGACCCAAAGGAGCCAAATGTACAGCTGGATCCAATCCGATGCAATGAAAACATCTTAGCTGTAAAATGGTCCTCTCTCTTCTTTTTTTCTTCATTATTACACCCAGAATCAATTATATTCACTTATCTCTCTCTCTAAAAGCAATAAAGTCTCTGTTTTTCTACTCATCAAAGAGAGGTTTTCCTTTATTTTTTAGACAGAGAAGCATAAATTCTTGTCCTCTGTGTAGTACAAAGTGGGGCCCCACTGAGTGATGCCCTCACAGCAACGGCTACATTTCCCAACTCTCTCTCTCTCTCTCTTGTTTTGAGTGAATTTATTTTCATCTTTACGAAGATGGGGTTTTTTGTCCACTTATTAATTGTCCTGAATCACACGTCGAATCCGACGTGGCACCTCTCTCCATTGTATGCCAGCTCACACTTCCCGTCTTTATAAACCCACTCCGCTCTCACTTGTCTCCTCCACTGAGTCAAGTTAGTGTGTGAGACTGTAGAGTGAAATTTGATTGAGAGAGAGAGAGAGATTAGAAAAAATGGTGGGTATGGGTTGGTTCATGAGTATGATGGTGATTGTGAGTGTGATTTCTTGTGGTGAAGCTCTTCCAGCAGCTAAGTTCGAGGAGCTGTACCGCTCAAGCTGGGCTATGGATCACTGTGTCAACGATGGAGAAGTCACAAAGCTCAAGCTTGACAATTCCTCAGGTACGTTGATAAACAAACATCTCTCTCTCTCTCTCTCTCTGTTTTCGTTTGCTCTGTTTCTGGATGCTGATGTTTTTGATTGGTTGTTTCCAGGAGCTGGGTTTGAATCGAGGAGCAAGTACTTGTTCGGTAAAGTCTCTATCCAGATTAAGCTCGTCGAGGGTGACTCAGCAGGAACCGTCACTGCTTTCTACGTATGAACAAACAAAAAAAAAACCCTTTCTTTTGCTCTGTTTCTTTGACCCAGATTTATTAATATTGTGTCTAATTATCTTGAGTTGTGTTGTTTTCTCTTACAGATGTCTTCCGAAGGATCGAACCACAACGAGTTCGATTTCGAGTTCTTAGGAAACACAACCGGCGAGCCTTATATTGTCCAGACAAACGTGTACGTGAACGGAGTTGGAAACAGAGAGCAAAGACTCAACCTTTGGTTCGATCCCACCACTGAGTTCCACACTTACTCAATCCTCTGGAGTAAACGCAGTGTTGTGTAAGTCTTCTTTAATCTAAAGTCTCTGCCTTTCTTCTCAGTGATGAGATTATGGACTCGTTTTAATGATTTTTTTGTTGTTATTTATTACAGATTTATGGTTGACGAGACTCCGATCCGAGTCCACAAGAATCTTGAAGACAAAGGTATCCCATTTGCTAAAGATCAAGCAATGGGAGTGTACAGTTCGATCTGGAATGCAGATGATTGGGCAACACAAGGAGGTCTTGTTAAAACAGATTGGAGCCACGCTCCTTTCGTTGCTTCATACAAAGGCTTTCAGATCGATGCTTGTGAGGTTCCGACAACAACTGATCTAAGCAAGTGTAATGGAGACCAGAGATTCTGGTGGGATGAGCCAACTGTGTCTGAGTTAAGCCTTCATCAGAATCATCAGCTTATTTGGGTTCGAGCTAATCATATGATTTATGATTATTGCTTTGATGCCACGAGGTTTCCTGTTACTCCTCTCGAGTGTCAACATCATCGCCATTTGTAGTTTTAAAGTCAAACCTTTCTGTTAAAACTTAGTTCAAGTGATCTTTGATGATTCTGTTTAATGTATAAATAATCAATTATCTAATTGATTTTCTTGAGTTTTTATATTTGGGTTTTAACAGAAAATCCGAAATTGGTGGAAACAAACTCAACGCACTTATCGTTATGACTTTTTAGGGTTTGTTTTGAATGTTTCAAACCATTATCTCGAACTAGATTGAGATGGAAACAAAAAAGCCAAAAAGCTGCGATTAGGGATTTTTCTATTTTAACAATGGAGACGAGATCTGTGAAACGGAGGAAGAAGAAGAATGCAAACGAAGCGAATTGGTTCTCTGTGGAAGAGATGATCACAGTAGACAGAATCAGTAACCTCCCTGATTCTCTTCTCCATCAGATTCTCCTCTTACTTCCTCTAAAATCCGCAGCTAAAACAAGCTCTCTCTCGAAACGATGGAGATCTCTCTTTCTCTCATTGCCTGATCTCGATTTCACCTCCATTAATGACCTCACCAAACCCAACTCTTTCTCTTCCAACTCCATTTACCAACTGCTTTCTCTTCGTCATCACCGTGATTCCAACAACCTCAGATCACTTCGTTTCCAAGCTCCAATCACCTTCACGAGTCTCAACTCCTTGATCCGATTAGCTGTTACTCATCAGGTTCAAGATCTTGACATTGAAGTCACTACCAAAGACTACTTTAACTTCCCTCGTTGGATTGTAACGTCTCAGAATTTAAGAGCCTTGAAGCTTAAGTCATCGCACCCTGGTTTTCGATTGCCTCCTTCATCTTCAGTCCTTGGAGGTTTTCAAAAACTTACTTCACTCTCTTTATCTCTTGTGATTCTGTACAACCAACCTTATCTCTCAGATTTCTTCACCGATCCAAACTTTCCTCTTCTAGAGAAATTAACCCTAGAAAACTGCTTCGGACTCAAGGAACTTAAGATCAGTTGCCGTGTTCTCCAAGAGTTTACGTTAAAGAACTCTCTACAGCTCGATGGGTTAGAGGTTTCTGGCCATAAGCTTCAGAGACTTAAGGTTGTGAGTTGCTTCCACTCATACTCAGAAGAAAGCTTTGTGAAGATTAACACTCCGAATCTCAAAACTTTCCTCTGGAACTCAAATGCAGCCACTACAAGTGTTCATTTCTTGGATAAGTTAGTTTGTCTGAGAAAAGCTTTCGTTGGAGTGCTTTTGCTTCATCAAGATCTCAATTCACAGATACAGAACTTATTCACTCTCTTGTCAGGTCTCTGTCATTCCTATAAACTACAACTTGGAAACCAATCCGTAGAGGTATACATATTCTCCACATCATCTTCTTCTGCAGTTATCTCTTTGATTCACTGTCTTATTAATGCTGTGACAGATTTTGTCAATCAAGAAGGGATTATCAAAGAATCATCTTCTACCGTTTCAAAACATGAGATTCTTGGAACTGCAAACACGTTTCGACAGACACAATGTTCAAGCACTGTCATGTCTGTTCAAGAGCTGTCCTATGCTTAACATACTTCTTCTCAAAATCATTAATGATCAAACAAGTGAAAGAAGGGTAAGTATTAAGAGCCTTTTCTTTTGTCTTCATCCTGTTTTAAACTGAATTGTCTCAGATTTTGTTTAATGTTTTGACAGCAATGGAATAAGGACTTGTGGGATATGTCAAACTCAGAGATTAGGTACTGGGAATCTCAAACCTATGAAGTTGAATCTTTCTTGAACAACTTGGAGTTTGTGGAGATTCATGGATTCTCAGAGTGCGAGAACGAAATGAGTCTCGCGATCTTTCTGCTGAGACATGGAAAGGCTTTGATCAAGATGACCTTAAGATCTAGTTTCCTCTGTAGAGACTCTCTCCGGAGACAAATGATTAGGTCACAGTTAACGGGATTCTCCATGGCTTCTTCCAAAGCCAAAATCTCATTCCATTGAAGCATTATGCATAAAATATCTCTGTTTCAGGTCTCAGTTTGATTAGCTATTACAGTTTTTGTTCTTTGCTGTTGAAATTGTTTCGGATCAAAGCAAAGAAAGGAGAAATTGAAATCGAGTGATTCAAAGCAGGAAGAATTCAGTTAACAACTCGATAATTTGGGTGCGATCACGTTCGCTGAAACCCTAGATTTTCCAATTTTGGGAAAGAGAATGTTATTCGTGTCGGAGCAATGTTAACACTTACCACAGTAAAAGTTTGAAAAATGAAAAATCTTAACACACACTCTTACAACTTCACCATTAACCAAAAATTACGTTTGGTGTGTTAGGAACTTTACTTAAACAGTGAATGTATTTAAAATCTTTAGTGCAACATTACCAAATTTTTTATGTTTGTAGAAAATTTATCCATACATACGATTAATATAACATAAAGTTGTGAACACACATATACTGTATTCTTTTATCTGTACTATAGAGCTTAATTACTATGCAAGATCATCTTCTTACTCCTCTCTAGCGTCTAACTCCTCATTCATTTGAACCATGCGGCTATCAATCTCAGTCATGATTTCATGTATAAGAGACCTTGCCCGTGCAATGTCACCCGTTATTTCTTTCATGCTCAGTTGCTTCAGTCTTTTCTTTTCAAAGTCAATCACACTCTGAAACCTGTAGCCATCCACTCTTTTTTGTGCTTCAACAAGCTTCTCCAAGACCAAAACATCAACCTCAAGCTTTTTTCTCTCAACAGCAGGATAACTTCTTTCACTTGCTTCTCTACTTCATCATCATCCTCATACTCATAAGCTTGATCGCCAATAATGATGTTGGCATATTTCACTTTCAGTTTATCACTGCCGTAATGAGCAGAAAACAGTTTTCTGCTTGTGAGATCTCTTACGAGGTTCATATAACTAGAATTTGTTTTGGAGGTTACCTTGGAAAGACAAAAGCTGTTTTCGTTGTTGTGTCATCCAAAGATTGGCAGAGAACTGCTTCATTGACTCTACACTCTGATCCACGTTTCTAGAGGCAGGGCTTCACCAACTCCATAGCCATTTGGAAAATGTTTTTTCCCTGTTAGTGGTAACAGGTTTTAGAAGCAAAACAAAGTAAAACAAACTTGTAGAACTTATTCAGGACAGCTACACGATGAATGGATGACAAGTGTGAGTGCAAAAGCCGGCGTAAATAAGAGGAAAAACATTTTAGAGTTCAACAAACCTTAGCCATTCCATAGAAGCAACAAAGTATGATCAGGTCAATATGTCAATTGAAGAAAAGATAAATCTGCTGATCAAGTATATTTTGAAAGAGACAATATAGACTCTCCATCGTTTATATCATTGTTCTGTTTATTCTTTGTTTTCACATTTTTATTCTGCATATTATTGATCTGACCGTTTGCTGGTTTGTACTAGACTTGCACCAACCCAAAAGACTTTAGAACTCACATTGTGAAGCTATTATATCGTTTCATCGTGAAAGTGAAAGCTCATGGAATAAAGGATCTTGTTCATAACTCTCGTTAAGTTTTACTCGGTTCAAAATGTTTAGTTTTATTCGGTTCAAAATTAACCAACAACACCAAAAACAACAATATCCCACCAAATCATATCAAATGTAATTAGTTCTAAATACTTTTAACTATTATGGTTATTACTTATTCATTCTTTTCTCGTTCTATTTTTCTGGCTGAATTTAGTTCAACAAAAAAAAAAGTTATTTTTTGGTGGAGGCAACAAATAATACATGCCCGAAAAAGAGTTTTATTTGCGATGAAAGGGAAGAATTTACTTGATCGGATTTGATTGGGCTATATATGACCTTGACACTCCCATAAATATTGGCTTTTCTACTTTTCATTTTTCTCTCTGTTTTTTCCCTTCAAAAATGCGTGTGTTGTGTTTTAAAATGATCAAAAGTGTTTCGTCATGTAATGTCTCAATCTCGTCGTATTAATCTCTTTACACGGCAATAGATTTGATGTTTCGAATTTTAAGTTAGAGATTAAAAACTGATTGCTTCCATTATAAGTTTCCCAATCAGTTCACATCCTCATTATTCAAGTTCTTAACATCTATGCTTACTGAGAATAAATACAGAAAAAGGCTAGCTAATGTCTCAAGGTGAGTTTTGAGAACTGTTATTATCTTCCATCTTCAAGAGTTATGGTAAGCTCATTTTCAGAGCAAGTTTCTGGTTTCGTAGATGAAGAAGCTTTGCTTGATGAAGGACAACGTCTAAGGACAAAAGCCGATTGCTTTGGATTTGGAAGCGAAGCTGAATCGCTGCTTCCGAGCATGAAAACAACGTTTGACATTATAGGTCGATCATTAGGATCTTCTTGTACACATAGCAGTCCAACGTTCAAGCACTTCAAGAACTCCTCTGTTTCGCACGTTTCTTCTAGAGCCTGATCCAGTAACTCAAGCCCTCTTTCCGCTTTCCAAAGATCCCACGCCTGCACATTTAATATACACATGTGTTTATAGGTCTTTAAACAAGTAACGTGCAAAACAAGTCTAAAAGTCTCAGATCCCTCACATAGCCTAGAAGGCTTAAAGATTTCTCCGGTTCACAAAACCCAGTGTTCCTCTTCCCGCTAATAGTTTCAATCACAACCACACCGAAACTAAAGACATCTGATTTGAATGAGAAGAGACCATCTAGAGCATACTCTGGAGACATGTATCCACTGCAATACAAAGAAACCATAATGTTACCATAAATCTTAAGTAATGGGATGATTAAGTTAAGAACGTACTAAGTTCCGACAACTCGGTTAGTATTGGCTGAAGTTTCATTGCCTCCAAAGATTCTAGCCAAGCCAAAGTGGGATTCATCTCCTCATCTAACAAAATGTTGCTCGTTTTCAGATCCCTGTGGATGATTCTCAGTCTAGAGTCTTGATGCAGATACAAAAGTCCCCGAGCGATTCCAAGAATGATACTACAACGCATCTTCCAATCTAAACGCTTGCACAGCTTCCGGTCTTTGCAAGAACCAGATCTTTGCATTAAGGACTGAACTGAAGAAAGACAAACTAAAGAAGAGACAAAGCGCTTTTGTGTGGCCTTGTATTCATTACTTACCAAAAATGAAGAAATCTAAGCTTTTGTGTGGCATGTATTCATAAAGTAGCAGTTTTTCTTCTCCAGCAACACAGTAACCAAGAAGCCGAACAAGATTCCGGTGTTGGAGCTTAGCAATCAAAACAACTTCATTCTTGAATTCCTCCAGTCCTTGACCTGAGAAGCGAGATAGCCTCTTCACAGCAATTTCTTGATCTCCAGGAAACATTCCCTGGATCACACAAGCCACAAAACATTTCGAGTCCATATTAACAGAGAGTATAAACTTAAAAACAAAACAAAAGATGAAAAGGAAATATTTCAAACCTTGTAAACCGGTCCAAACCCTCCTTGGCCTAGTTTGTTTGCATTTGAAAAGTTGGATGTTGCAAATAGGATGGTCTCAAGCTCAAAAGAAGGAACATCTATGCCTTGAGTATCATCTTGTTTATACCTTCCCGAATCAATCAAATCTTTGATATGTCTCTCGCTGTCACATAAGTTAACTCCTCTCGGCATGCTTACTACTTCCTTATTTACTCTTCTTCTTTGCAGATAAACATAAGAAGCAGTGCTTGACAGAACAACAAGAATGGCCGCACTCGTAAAAGTCAGCACAATGATCAAAGCGACAGGTGTTTTAGCTTCTCCGTATCTTCCACGAGCTCGTTCTACACAAATAGACTTGCATTACACAAACTGATACATACATCTTTGCAATAAAAAAAAAATATTGAAAATTGAGTTTTTACCTTGAGTGCAGCTTAGATTGAAGCCATCCCACTTAAAACCATGATTGCAGAAGCACCGTTTCTTCCCTTCTCCAGAGTTACTGCAAGATGAATTTGGCCAGTCTTTACAATCTACAGACAAAGCACAAGTTGGCTCAAGAGGAGGATCCCAACGAATCTCCACTTCAGTTCCACCAGTAATCTTGTCTGCATTGCACTTCCCCGTGAGATGATAAGGAGAAGATAGCTTCAACTCTGAGATTCTTCTCATCTGATTTTCGTCTGTGCAGTTTACTACCACCTCTTTGATTTTGATCAAGAATCTGTGAGTATCCGGATTGATACTTGTAACATTGTATGAAATGTTAGAAGATCCTCTGAAAACGACTTGACCAGTCGACATATTGCAGTTGAAATTAAAGTAGTTACTGTCTCCACATCCAGGAGCCGTGCTCAAAGGATAAGGAATGATATTCGTGCCGCAAGTCACACAATCTCTACTTGTAGACTCTGCAGAATATATCAACATACCATCAACAGTTTTATATAATATCCTAATGCATTACTCTAAAAAGCAATAGAGTTTTTAATTACCTATATCAGGAACTGCTACACGGATGAATATGTTACGGCAACCTAAGTAGCCTTCTTTGAGATTGTTGAGATCCTCTAACCAAATCCAGCACTTGGTATCAACTTCTTCATATGAGTAAGCTTGACACTGGCAATTGTTCAAACACTCTGCTCTGCATTCTTTTTCGTTATGTGCATCGAACTGCGAATCTGGACTTCCTACTTCAACCACACTAAGATTCAAGAACATGTCTCCCACCACAACACCGTTCTTACCACAGATTCTTGACTCTCTTGAACATCCACCAGAAAAATCTCCCTTGACCCATTTCTCCAGGAAGTTAGGCTTGAAACCTGGCAAACACTTGCACTTTTCCTCGTTCTTGCTGTTGCAGCTACCGAAATTTCCACAAGCATTGTAGACACTGCATTGGTCTATAGGATCAGCCCAAATCTGTGCCCAGAGTCTTTCCTCATCTAACCTGAAGTACTGAGCTTGACCAGAGGAGCTCATGATAAACCGTGTATTGGTATACAACGATGTGAAGAGAGGAGGCACGGAGGCATTGTGAACGGTTACAGTCTCTGTGAAGTTGGAAAGAAAGTAGGAGATTGCATAAGGCATCTCGTCGGATCCGATGAATTTACCGGAGATTCCGGTTTTCCAGTATCTCATTGATCTTTTCCAAATGATGAACTGTTTGTCTTCTTCTTGATCCATCTCAAAGGTGAAGTTTCCAGGTGATGGATCGTTGAAGCTTCTCCATGATGATAGAGTCATGTTCTCATCCATCCTCATCCCTGGAAGAAACGTATCAGTGGGATTCTGAAAACTTTGCCAAACCACATTTGCTTCATCTCCGTCTCTCATCAACACAAGATTGCCATTATCCATCAACTTTACAGATCTCTGCGCAGAGACCGAGGAGGAAGGTTCAACATCAGTGTCCCAATACACTCTTCCCTTTGAATCAGTGACTTCAAGATTCCCGTCTTTAGAGATAGTGAGAACGCCGGAACGTTCAAGAACCGGAGCTTCACGATTTGCAACCCAGACAACAGTAAGTGGATGTAAATTGTAAAACCAAATAGCTAAGTACCTTCTTCTTCCGTCGGAGCTTCCGTTAGGAGTGAAGAAGCCGAGCTCAAATCTATCACCAGCTGAAACAAGAGTGTCTCCATGGCTATCATTGATCAATGTTGAACCTTTGATCAATGTCATGGAGTCTTTAACTGAAACAAAGCAATCTAATCGACAAACATTCAGCAAAAACATATAGAAGAAAACAGAAAGTATCATTTCTCTGACTAGTACTGACCATCTCTTACTCTTCTGGTATCTCCATTTTGTCTTCTTAAAACGTGCCCGAAGAAGAAAAAAGAAAAAAGTTTGCCTCAACGTCAACGAAAGACCCACCTCGAAAAGTAAATATGTGGAACGCAGCTAATCATGTGTTTTAAAATGTTTCCAAGAAAAAAGCAGAACAAGTCTCACTTGAGCATCTGAAGCAAAAGCCATCAAAGTAGTATATACTACTTTACACTCTCTTAGCTACGGTATGCAGATACACAAGTGAACAGTTCACGCACTTTGTATCAACTATTACGGCCATGGATCTATGAATACTTTCAATGTATTTTTGAGTACTTTTGAACAGTGACAGAGACAGAAATACCTCACAGACCTAAACGTTAATTATTTGGAAAAATGGGACAAAGGTGTTAAAGAAGTCAATCTTTTGTCCTTGTTGGTGCTGCTTTTTGAAAGAGTGGAGATTGACCCTGTAAGTGTAAACATTGTTAACCAACTTTTTTTCCGGAAATTTTGTGAATTTCAATGAGTTTTGACCTTATGACAAACGCGGGAATCTGGTCTTTGGAAAAGTGTTGATATAAAACGCGTAAACGCAGCTTCAGCTCTGATTTAAACAAAGAGAGCTTTAGCAGTGAAGAAGTGAAGCACATTGTGTAACAATGTCACTATGAGACATTAGTGTAAAAAGTATAATAAAAAACACACCAATCAGGTTTCACACTAAAACAACTTTGTCTTGTGCCTTGTTTTGTTTATTCATCTGGATGATACATAGATATACCTTTAAAGGGCATAGCAGTTCCCAAGTTCCTAGATAAACTCACAAATTTTTGTCTACGGCTTTTCTTATGAGAGTTGAATCGGTTCGCCACAGAGATTCTCTAACTCTTCTTCTAAGAGTTTATGCAACTTTGCTTCTGTTCGCCGGTAAATCCAAGCATTAGCATCCTGGTCCCAGTCGAATCTAGAAGGGCCACTGCGTCAAAACATTATGATAAAGAGGAAGGAATTAAGATGTCATCATCAATGTGAATCCAAGATGCGGAAGCACAAAGTAAAGTGTAGCAATATACTGTTATAAAAAGCTGTCATTACTGCAGAAGTTACGAATACAGATAACCAGAAGATACAGGTAAGAAATTCGATTTAGGCGCCTAAAGTTGGCAACTTCAGAAGGAAAGCAAGGATCTTTATTACCTCACGGGGGAAGACATCCAGATTTGTCGATTTGGAGTCTGCTTATTGATTACATAAGTGCCTAATGATCCAAGCTTAAGGGTGAGAACTTCATTCTGTTGGAGACAGCAAAAGACTGACTTTATAAGACCGCATGGATTTCGAAAAATAGAAACAAGATCGTAAATGCTTAAAAGAGTTTATCTTTACCCCATAATCTATGTCGAAACCATCAATCTGGACATTATCACCATAATCCTGAACATGAATCATGTTACAGACACTGTAAGTAAGGACAGCGTATAAAACTATTGCAATCTAAAGCTAGCCATCATCATTTATACAATGAAAACGAAGAACCCGTGAAAGATAGAAAGGCTTCAGCTTTGAGTACCTCAATTTTCTCAAGAAGGTCATTTATAGTGAAATTGGCTAATCTGTGAAACTCATCCTCCTGCAAAACCGAACTGTTTTTGTTCTTTCCGTTTGTTCACATTTTCATGAAATTAACCAATCCGAAAACAATGAATGAGATTAACGGGAGGAGATTAGGAGCTAATTACCTATAATCGCTCGGAGCAGGACCTTGAGAAGAGAAGCTTCTCGTAGTAACAAAATCATGGGGGATTCGAGATCCTATTCGCCAGAATGAATTCAACGGCTCGGTGGTTCTCTGAACCAAACAGCTTAAAGCCCTTGCGCCATTGCTACGGAGATGGGATGGAGAAAGCTTGATAGACCTAGGCAAGTTCCTCAGAAACCTTGAAGCTATAGCCATGGCGGTTCTGTTGCAAAAACATTCGTCGCTACTCACTCTCTTCTTAATTCTTCGTTGTCCAATTAGGCCCATACTGAGGCCCAAAGTTTAGGTTTGTCCAATTAGGCCCACAACGAGGCCCAAAATTAGATTCAACCGGTTCGTACTCAAATAGGTTCCGGTTTAATAAACCGGTCCGGTTCACAAGACTTTTGTTTGTGTGCGAAGAAGAGTTTCTTTTCCTGGGCATGAGAAATCAGAATTTTGAAAGGAAAAAAAAAAGTTTTGGTTTTTTGAGGGCTGATTAGGTTTTGTTTCTTCAATTTTAGGGAATTTCAATTTGGCTATGCACTCAGGTTAACCGTTTTTCCCTCTCTTTCAATCCCTGTCTTTCCATTGTTCGGATATTCTGCGATTCCTTTTTGTTTTCCTGTGAGTTTACGTGAGAGAATAGTTTTCAATGATCCCGAGTTTGTGTTTTCTGTCTAATTACAATGCCACTCCAATTTTCTTAGTTTTAATTAGTATAATCCATCCATGGAATTTGGAATTTGGAATTTTGAGCTTTTTGGTTTCGTTAATAGTACTAATAATCAAGCTAGGAAATTTGGAAGTTTTATAGTTCGTTTTGGTTGATTTTGAAGTGTTTTTGGCAGATGAGAGAAGATCAGAATGCTAAATTGAATCCCTTATTGTGTAGATTTGCTGCCTGGCAACATTTATAAGGAAAAAAAAAAACATAATCAAAAGTTTGATTTTGGCCTTGTGTTAATACTCTCTTTGGTTATTGAAACAGAAGTAGACATGGTTGGTTTGATGGAGAATATATGTTTCTATGTTTCATTCACCCTTATGATCATGATATCTTATCATCCTTTTCTATGTGTTGTTTTTTGATAGATTCGGGCGATGTGCCCGGTGATGGCGATAAATCCTCTGCAGAAAACAGCAAAAAACGGAAGCTTAAGACACCTATCCAAGTTATGGCTCTTGAGAAAATCTACAATGGTAAAATTTTGGCTTTGTTACTTGTATATGCCAAGCTCTATATGCTTTGAATTGATTTTTTTTTTTTTTTTTTTTTTAACAGAGCACAAATATCCATCCGAAGAAATGAAGGCTAAGCTAGCAGATGAAGTAGAGTTAACTGAGAAGCAAGTTTCAGGTTGGTTCTGCCATAGAAGGTTAAAGGACAAACGTTCTGGAAAAGAAGATGGGAACACCATCGGGAGCCAAGACCGGTCAAGCGTTGTTCTTCAGGATCGTGGAAGCGGACTTCGACAGGATTCGTGTGGTAGCACTAAGCAAACAGAATATGGGAACCCGAAGCTAAAGGAAGTTGAAAGTCAAAGGCTTTATGGGGGATCTTACACTGGAAATGATGACGGTGAAGAAGACAGTACATCTTCTGAACGTAGCTCGTCATTGCATAAGAACCTAGTCTCTAGCAAAGATGGTGTCCGTGATATGGAAAGTTCTAGATATGTTGATGTTATCCAGCATCCTCAGGTTATGAAAAGCTATGGGTATAAAAAGCCTTCGGGATACTTGAAACTGAAGGGAGAGACTGAGAATGTTGCTATCACTGCCGTAAAGAGACAGTTGGGAAGGCAATACCGAGAGGATGGTCCACCTCTTGGGATTGCATTTGATCCTCTTCCTCCTGGTGCATTTGAGCCGCAGACTAATGTTATAGTTCAAGGTGAGTCATGATCAAATGTTTCAACTTTATCATAAGTCTTGTTGTTAATGATGCTATGAATATTGAGTAAAGTGGTTCGGGAAAAAAAAGCTGAAATCATCTTCTTCGTGTGTCAGATTGTGAATGCCTTTACCCATGTCCAGTCGGATTTGATTGCTTTTTCTATCAACTGTTTTGTCAGAGCCAATCTATGTTGGGAATCAAAGACGGTCTCACCCTCCATATATAACTGGAACTAAGAAGAGCTTTAATCCTGGTTCTGTAAGTGAATTTTCAAAAGCTTTCTTCTTGTATTCATGACATGCCCATGGGGATCTTAAACTAGAATTTTAGTCTGCCATCACATTTCGTGGCTAGACTATCTATGTTTTTTCTTTCCTCTGAGGTGTTATACTCTAATCCTTTTCTTGTTTAATGTCCTTATAGAGCTATGAATTAGCTCGTAAATCGAAGATGCACACGCCAGATCCATATTCGGAGGATGATGATGATGATGATGATGGTGATGACAATATGATGGTTGGAATGGAGCCTGGTCTAAGAGATAAGCAGAGTCTTGGGGAACCAAGACTGAAGTCCCCTTCTCTCAGTTACTCCAATCCAGTTTCTGGCCACAAGTCGTTAAAAAAGACATTCAAAGGTTCACCCCGAGAGATTCCTCTAACTAACATCAAGAAGGGTCGGATAAGCTCCAACATTCGTGCGGAGGGTTCGAGAAACAATCTGATTGCCAACTTCCATAATCTTTCTGAAAGCAATATTGAAACCAAACACACTCATGATTATGACAAAAATATATTCAACGGTGGACGCAAGAGCGGACATCTCACTGAATCTACAAAGCTGTTGCCTCTGAGTAGCACCCGATCCTCTGACTCATTCGAAAGACGTCCATCTTCTGGGATGGTAACGATTTGTCCGAAATTTTTATCTCTACAGGTTCCTTTCTTGCTCTTTTATGGAAATATGAGTTGTGTTTTTGTGTAAATATCTTCTTTCAAAGGCGGGAAAGTATCATGAAGAGAGGAATCATATGAAAATGCATAGAGAGAAACTGCATTTGACTGATGAACCACCGGTGAGTTTTATGTTTGATTATACTGAGAATTTACATATATTTAGTACCAGTATGTTGACATTTTGTAGGTTCTACCAAGTTCTTGTTCTGAACCTTTACGTTTTTTTCTCTCTCTCTCTGTTAAATAGGTTACCAAACAAGTGAAACACGGCTATCTTCAGCAAGTTTATGCACCAAGATCACCAAACAGTGAGATTCTTGGACGAAAAGGCCAAATAAACCGGTTAGTAACCATTATAATGTATTTGTTGTTCCAAAACAGAGATGGAAAATGGCTTATATGAATCATTATGTGTTTGTAGGTCTGGTGTGGAATTTCCCTCTAGTTTCAGTGGGGACGAAACAGAAGAATCCAGCTCTTCTATGGATTAAGTTACGGTACGAAAGGAAGATTAGGCATTTCCGGTTTGTAGATATGGTGAAACCGGTTTAGGATGTGAAAAGGTAAATCGTGTAAGTGGTTAAATGTTAGAGATTTGTCATTTTGGTATCTTATAATAAGGTACCAAAGTGATACAAATGAACAATATGAGTGAGCTATTATTGTAATAGAGCCTTTCTATTTTTGCTCTGCTCCTAAACCGTTACCGGTTTTTTTGAATTTGGTGGGTGAATTGGTTTGGTGCAGGGAGAAATACTGACCGGATTGAATTAATTTACAAAGAAGGCCTAAATCACAAAAGTAAGGCCCATTTATTTAAGCTCAAAGTAGGCCCAAAATAATATGATTAGCCGATTTAGTACGTATATAACGTAAATAAAATAATATTATTGTGTGACTAGGAGGTTTCACATGAGAAAAAATCAGAGCCGTTGACTACTTTCGTAAAAAGTGTGTGGTCGTACAATTTTGATTCGGCCAAAAAAGGTTTCTTTTAGGGTTAGCGTGGCTTTGCCTCAAAGTCTCTTCTTTTGAAGATAAATTTTTGGTTTTTCTTGGAATTGATTTGAATCTTTTCGCCTTAATCCTCTCAATTTCAAAATCCGGTTCTGCTCTCTGGTGAGAATCCGTCTCCTCCGCTCGTTTCTTTTGTTTGTTTTCTCTCTCTTCTCCGACTCCACTGATCTCCGATTCTATGTTTCGGCTTGGTTCTTCGAGTTTTATACACCGTCGTCGATCATATGTTTGTAATCATGCGTCTGTGTTTTGTGATTATCCTCGGTTTTGGGGTTACTTGAACTTGTTGACCCTTTTTCCCTGAAATTTCGTCGAGCGGTTGATGGATTCGATTTTGACGGTGGGTCTTGAATTTGCTTTCAGACGGAAACTAAAAGTTGATCTCTTTTGTGATTATCCTCTGTTTTCTCTATAACCCTTTTCTCTTTTCTTTCGGTATAAAGTTTTGTGATCTTAATTACAAACTTTTTGCTTTTGTTTTTTGTATGTGTCTGTCTCTGTGTTAGAATCGATCTCTGATTTTCAATTTTTTTTTTTTTTTTTTAATTTCCATCAGGTGAGCAACTAATTGGGAAAATAAGGAACTGGGCTTTCTTAAGCTCGAAACAATTGTTCTTCACTCTGGCCGCTTCTGCAAAGTCGTGTGCTTCTCGCACCTCTGCGCAGGTGTGGGGTGGCCTTGAAGTGGTGACTTCACTCTCTCTTCCAAGGATTTCTCTAGCTTCAATCATTTGGAGGCTCCGTCGTGTTTCTGAGGGTTTAACCCTTGATTACGGCTAACATTCGCTAACCGCACATGAACCTCCAACACTTATTAAGAACTCTTTAGCCTTCGAAATACGTAGCTTAATCTTATTGTTTCTTTCTAGCTGTGGTTTGTAGTTAAGAGAACGGTTTAGTTTCTTGTGTTTTTTTTAGTTTGCTATGTTGTTCTAGCTGGTGATGTAGTCGGATGATATTAAGCTTGAGACGATGGTCAGGTTTTCATGCTTCAACGCTCACATCCACCGCCATAGACCTAAGGTAATGTTGAAACATCATGGACTCGTGTACTGTCGTTGTGTGTTTACATGATTGATTTGTCCCGTGAGAGGACACTAACTAACTCTGTTCCTATGTTAATGTCCCGGTGATGCAGAAACCCGTGGAAGGATTTTCAGAACGAGTGATCAGAGAAGACGGGTCTAAACCGAAAGGATTGAGCTCAATCATATTTGGGAGAAACATTGCCTCTGTTGGCGAAAACAGCAAGCCATCTGGCTCTACCGCTATTGAGCGTGTCTGGAAGTCTGAGGAAATCAAATCCAGTGGCGTCCTTGAGCATGATACGCATCAGGTACATCATCTCAAGAAGAGCCAGTCTCATGGAGATGAACTATACATGGATGGGAGGGATGACACAGAGGATGGAGGAACAGATCGGATCACTTCTCCAAATTCTAATGAACAGAGTGGTGGTAATCTCGCTGCAGGCGGCAGCAAGCGTGTTGAAGGAAGTCCGGATCTGTACCAGAGAGCTCCTCGAGCTTACCAGGGATCAGATCAAGCACTCTATGGGTCTATCTTCTCGGTTGGAGATCATCATCATCATGCTGATAAAGATAGCCGTCAGCTTGATGATGATAACTCGCTATCCGGTGAACAGATGGACAACTCAAACAGCCAAACACCTTATGATTCGCCGTTGATCGTTAGGTCGAACTCAATGCCTAATATCGCTGACTCTGCGTCAGGGAAGTCTTCACCTTTCAAGTATTCTTCTCACCACTCTAGGTCCTCTGATGACCTTCGTGTTGTAGACATGCGCCAAACGGATAAATCTGTCCACGAGACTGATGCTGAGGTGAAGCAAGAGCAAGATCTGGATGATATGCATAAACCTGGAAGTAACAACAACGACAAGGAACATCTCGAGGAGGACGGATATGATGATGCATATGATTATTCTTCCCTGGCTAAAGACTGGTTGGTACCACCTACAGATGAGCTCAGATTAACAGAGTTTCTTGAAGGAGAAACATCAAACAAGCAAGCAGAGTTTCCGGGAAAGGATTTCAAAATCAAGCGTATCGAGGATTGGGTCAATGACCTTCAGCATGTGAACTTGTCAGAGGAAGCTGGTGAAATCACAGAGTACGGCGATGAGCTGCCAAGAGAACCCGTCGTGGTGTTCAACGAGCCAACAGCAGCTTCTGTTAAAGTAGATGTCGTCAAGCTAACTCCTGGAATGGAAGCTGCGAAAAAGTATATCTCATCTCTGAGTGCTTCTGCAACCACAGCCCAGCTGGTTAGTCATGGTCTTGTTGTGATACCATTCCTCAGTGCGTTTGTTGGTCTCAGAGTTCTCAATCTCTCAGGAAACGCAATAGGTAGGCTTATATTGTCCCCTTTTTGTGCTAATTTACTACACACACTGATTGTTTTTGTTTCGTCTATTTTTTTACTGGTCTTAATACATGTTTGCAGTTAGGATAACCTCTGGTGCTCTCCCTCGAGGACTACATGCATTGAATTTGTCAAAAAACAGTATCTCTGTGATCGAGGGCCTACGTGAACTCACTCGGCTTCGTGTATTAGACTTGAGTTACAACAGAATACTGAGACTTGGTCATGGTATGACACCTTTGCTCGCTTACATTCTTTAGTTATATATCTGCTTTTGTATGAAAAAAGCATGATTTGATGATGTATTTTGCATTTTATTTTTGTTGTTGGGCTTAGGTTTGGCTTCTTGCTCCTCCCTGAAAGAACTATACCTAGCTGGGAACAAAATCAGTGAAATCGAGGGTCTTCATCGTCTCTTGAAACTGACGGTTTTGGATTTACGCTTCAACAAGTTCTCGACCACCAAATGTCTCGGCCTGCTCGCTGCAAATTACAGCTCTCTTCAGGCTATAAGCTTGGAAGGTAACCCTGCACAGAAGAATGTTGGTGATGAACAACTGAGAAAGTACCTTTTGGGACTCCTGCCACATTTGGTGTACTATAACAGACAAGGCACTAAAGATGCTCGGCTCGGGACAAGCACGCATCAGCTGGACCGAGGTCTAAGATCAGAGCTCAAAAACAGTAGCCGGAAGAGTAGCCATGGTGCGTCAAGTACACACAAACCGGGACCATCCACAGCTCGTAAAGCTTCGGGCTTGCAGAAAAGATCCAAGGAGAGAAGCAGCCGTCTTCCACCTGTGGGACACAAAGTATCACCAGCTGCTTACGAGAACTATTACGTTGCTACTGGTGATAGGTTGTGTAGTCTGAGATCAGAGCTCTCTATGCGAAGAAGCCGAAGCGAAGGAACTCTTGGACCTGTCTGATCTGTATCTCTCTCTCGGTTTCCTCTGCGAGGTAATGATTGAAGATGATCTCTTCGTACACTATATTTCGTCCCTTTCTTCATAATTTCAATCTTTGTGTTTTGTTGTTGTGCATTAAAAAAATAACATCAGAGAAGAAGCTTTGATTCTTTCTGTCTTCTAGCTTCTCTCAATAATGTCTGAAATTGGAAACCATGTTATATACACATTCTTGCTCAGCGCAATTTGAGATTGTATAATGCACACAGACTTTGAATTTTGAATCTCTTGTCCGCGTTTTGGTTTATCGGTACAGTTTTGGTTTGGGTAAACCGATTGTGAAAATTGTTTCCATTAATGGGCCTGACTAGTTCTTGTACATCACGATCTTGACCCATTATAAACCGAATGGGCCTTAATATGGGTTAGTACAAAGGGATTGATGACAGTAAGAACAAAAGCAATTGAATGATTCAAAACTGTAAAGTGGTCCAAAGAGTATGATATTGCCTGTCTGCAACAGAGATTCTGGCAACTGGATCCATATAACTCGGATAACGAAGTCTCATAAGACAAAATCTTATTCCTGAAAAAAAAAAAAATCCATAGTAACTCATTTTTTTCTCGTGACCACATTGTTGTTCATATTATATAGTAACATAACCATTGGTTATATACATATATACATAAGAACGGGCCAATATTTATTGATTATTCCCCCTCAAGTGAAACAACTTAACTGCAGAAACCAAAACTGTAAATACAGAACATGAAAATAGATAATAACACATTGATCTTTTTTCTTTTTTTTTTTTGAGTTTCTGTGATTGTGGTCCAAAGGAACAATGAAGAACGGAACCCGAGATTTCGTCTTTGATCATTCATCACTCTCTTGTCTTCCATATGGGAGAATGGCTTATTTTTTGAATCAGATTGATGGAGAAAAAGAAGGAAGCAAAGCAAGTGTCTCTTTCAAAAGGGGACCAAGAAGTGGTTTTCTTTTTTTCAAGTGGCTTAAGTGATTGCATCAGTAATGGATTATGTCTGTCCATAAACCGCCTTTTCAGCTTAACATGGACGAGTGCTAGTCTTTCTCCTCTTAGGTGAAGAAGCTGTGACTGTGTTGCTCTTATCGCTTTCTTCACAGCTCGAGAATTGCTGATCAAGCACATTTACTGCTGTTTCGTTGCTTCCTTCGTTTTCTTCAACTACATCTCTCTCTCTTATTGCTTTGTAACACTCCATTAGCTCATCCTGCGAAACCACGTTTAAACGATCAGAAACGCGTTGAGATTATTGTTTATGACTTGTTTCGTAAAAAGCTTTACCTTATTTACATATGTGCATTGGCAGATTCTGTTACTGAAACATGGAAACTGTAGCGGACAGAGCTCAGAAGAAGCAAAGAGAAGTGCAGCTCCTGCGATTACTGATGGTTTAAACTCGAGGAATTTGATATCTGCAGCGTTTTCAGAGAGATAAAAAAGGATTAGATACACATTGTTGAGTAATGATTTTCGATTCAATGCATGAAATGTGTTGTTACCATGTTGGAGATTGAAAGTGAGATCAGTAGCTTGAGATTTGAGGGAATGTTTTAGTTCTAAAGAATCTTCTTTGAGCTCAAAGAGACTAATGAAAAAGGCGAAGAAGGAGAATGGAGTAACAGAGCGCATTCGCCATTTAAGAGCTCCTAAAATCAAATTCTCCATCCTCTCTATCATCTGAGCATCGAATCTCTCACCTTCCACCTGAAAAATTCAATTCTTCAGACACTTTATCATAAACATAAAAACACATTTCACAATGTAAAGATTCAGTCTTTTTGAGCTTTTAGTCTTAGTTACCGGAAGATCACAGACAGATATCTCTGGCTTTCTCATTTTGGCAGACAAAGAGACACAAGAAAGAGAGATAAGCTTGAGAATCCAAGGCTTTGATTGCTGCCGAAGAAACAATAATAAAAAAAAAAAAGTCAAATCTCAGATGAAACAAACGACAGATTCTGTCGGAAGATTCTGTTTTTACCGGCATATCTTCGCTGGATAAGAATCTGTCTAGATAATTCACTGCAAGATACGTCAGAGATGGGTCGTCGAGTTTTCTGGAGTACTACAAAATTAGTAAACACAAAAAGGTAAGTTTTTTAAGGATTCAGACTAAAACCCAGAAAAATTTGAGGAAAGTGGAATTATGGGTAAGTTTTAAAAAGACCTGGATGATTGAAGAAATGGCGTGGTTTCGATTAGAGAGGAGAAAAGCAGAGGACTTGAGGCTATTGAAGTAATGAGAAGAAGGCATGTGTTGAAATTCGACGAGGAAGAGAGAGTGTGGGAAAGTATCATCGTCTGTTTCGTCGTTGAAGTTGTTGTGGAGAGAAGAATGTGAGAGAGGGTGTTCGAGATGAAACTCCATTGATTGAGAATTTGAGGGGTCTCTCAAGCTTCCTTGTTCTCAATTGGTGTTAGACGAAGAAGAAGAAGAGAGAGACATTAAAAGAGAGAAGTTGTCTTTATTGTGAGAGAGTGGGCTTTTGGTCTTTTGAGGGATATTACTCAATTTATTTATTTATTACTTATCTACTTGAGTTACTAAACATATGATCTCTCCATAATTATTCGATTTTCTCGTTAATAGTTAAGAGTTAAGATTCTATCAAAAGATAAATCAAAACTTTTTCGACGTAAAGGAGATTCTTTTTTTTTTAGATTATCCTATTAAATTCGTTTTGGTAAAATGTTATTAAATCCATCCATTCGATTACAAAACTAGATGATTTTTTAATACGTTTAATTGATTTTCTTATTAAAAAAATTCATAATATATGAAGAGTTGAGTTTCGAATTTTACAATACAGATTTTTTTTATTGCATATAGCTACTTTATTATGTATTAATGTTTCAGTTCAGAACATCCAAATTTAATAGTTTAGATCATGTATAACATTTTTTATATGAATTTAGTAAGTCCGAATTTTATTTTTTAAATGAATGCTTCGCAATATAATTTCCTAAACAATTGATAAGTGTACTTTTTAAAAATATAGCAACAACTGAGGCTTTGTCGATTGACTCGGAATTCATAATATCAGGAAATAAAACCGTATTTTTAACCAAATTGCGTATAAGTACATTAAAACAGCTTCTGTAATGTATTGTTGTATTTATATATGAAAACCCATTAAAAGATTCGTCACTTAAGAATCTCGTCCTAACAGTTACAAACAGTGATTAACTTTTGAAAGCTTAGTCTTGTTTTTTTTCGTATTATGCATTGTTAATTTGGTTGTGACAGCTTGATTTCCTTGTCCTTGAGTCTTTGTACTCACCTTTTGTTAGGTTTTGAATTTCCCAATATATATGTTCAAATAAATTAAAAGTTTTGAAGTCAATAAAGAAAAATTGAGAAGTCAATGACCAAACTGCCATGTGAAAATGTGAATACGCCATTTGAACAACCTCTTTTTTTTTTACTTTTATCTTTTACTGTCAAAGCCTGTCTGTCTATTTTTAGACGAGCATTAAAAAAAAACATTGAAATCAATATTTGATATGCTGCAAAACGTGAAATACAAAGCCCTTTGAAATTGTAGATGTGAACGAAATGACAAAAAAAATAAAAGAAGCATTGACTTGCCGTTAGTAACCTAACAAAAATAAGATGTAAAGAAAATATAAATTATGCGTGTAACGTAACAAAAAAAGGCGTTTTAGTTTTGGGGATATTAGCAATAAACAACAGATGAGAAGTGATTATAATAATATACTGTTTTTAATAAAGAAGAGAATTGCATAAGAAGGATTTAAATGGAAATTAGCGAAGATTCAAAGTTTATTGAATAATGAATATAACACCCAAATTCTCAAGGGCCATCAACTTTGTTTGAAAAAGGATACTTATTTACTTTCCTTTTATTTTCTTACTTTCCTTTATACACTAACAATAATAGGGATGAGCACAAAAATCATAACCGAAAAAACTAAACCATACCGAACCGAAAAAAGTGATATGGTTTGTTTATAATTAAACCTAAAAATCCATTTGGCCATCATTTTTTCATAGTTTTTGTTTAGGTTTGGTTTGGTTAAAAACTGTCAAACCAAAAGGTTTTTTCGGTTTTTAAAATAAATTTTAAATAATTTATATTTTTCTAATTTCTTAATTTAGTTTAGGTACATATTTTATTATTGAGCTTAGTTATCTTTATAATTTACTAACTTAACTCATAAATTTAAAATATAATAATTATAAAAAATATCTACATATAAATAATAAAGTAAACATTAACTTTTTAATAAAAAATAATGTGATTTACTTATTTTTCTTCACATTCAAGTCTTCTAGTTCTAGTTCCAAAGTTATAGGTATTAAATTTTAATTTGGATTTGTTTATTGTTTTATGATTATTGATTATGAAAGATTTGATCATTTATTTGTTTCTCTGTTTTGAAATATGTCCTTATTGATGAAGTTTATGATTTAGATTCTATTTTTTGAACTTATTGTTTTATTTTACTCATATCTATTATTATTATTTCCATTAGTTTGAATCAAAATTTTTCGTAAAAGTATAATTCAAAAAAAAAACCGAAACCAAACCATATTAAACCGAACCGTAAAAAACCAAACCACACCGAACCGAAATATATATAGCTTTTATATGGTTTGAATTTTTGTAAAACCGAAAAACCGTAAAACCGAAGAAACCGAACCGAAACTAAACCAAAAACCGAAGTGCCTACCACTAAACAATAATGTTAAAACCTTAGATTGTTGTTAATTTTTTTAGCTGTCTATAATCCTAAGTATATGTTCAGTAACAAAAATAAAAAAACCCCATGTTTGTTTCTGCAACTGCAGAGTGTGTGGAATAGAGTGAGATCCACGCCAGATCATGCATTATACATTACACATTTTTAATTAATTGCATGACTAATTAATTATAATTATCCAATTAATATGTTTATAACACAATACACTATACATTTCGAGTAAGACGTGTCAGTTATAACTTTATAAGTTGATTATCATCGGAAACCTTTTATGTATAGAGAGAGAGAGATTTGCATTGACCGGTCATCTAATTGCCACAAGGGTTCATCATGATCATCAACGCATATATACACACAAGAATTTAAATCAAGAAACCTTGATGGAATATATGTATATATATGTAGTATGCACGATTTTCTAACCCTCTCTCCCATGTATACGTTACTAAATGTATAAGCAAGACATGTGATTTGTTTATTGTAGTATGAACATAATTGAATCCAATGAGTTTCGTAATTTCCCGTGGAATCCAAAGCTACGACATGCATATAGTAAAAATGTTGATAACGGTGATTGCAAGTAATTGATAATTAATTTGGAATTTGACTAATGGAGATATGGGGTTGCTAAATTCAAGATCATTAGTTTAATCTTTTGTCATTAACAACTTTGATGATTATATATCTACTATATATGGTCTATAGACATCATCTCTGAGCTTTTTTTTTCTCCTCTCTAAATCTCATATATGTTTCAAGGATTGCAATTTATATTTGTGTCATGTGTGAATATATAAAGGCACTGGAGGTGCTTTCTTCTTTTAAATTACCCATTTAATAATACGAAAAAATTATAAAAAGAGGAGCAGACGAATATTAGAAGAAGCGTCAGTAACTTTATGAGCTCACTTCTTTGCCTTGGGGTGCCTTGCTTCACCGTTGCGCCATCTTTATTTTTTTTTTTTTTTTTTTGGTCCTATATATAAACTACATTCATCATAATATATGCTTGCTAATATTTTAGGTATAATATCTGCAAATACACTAAGAAATAAAAAGATATAGACATTCCAAATACTCAGAGCTAATATTGCATGGAAATAAGTGATCCGAATATGAATAGTTGCTATTTTATCTTGCTATATTGTCATGTTTTCCTTGGTTTAACAACAAAAATAATACCACTATTAACACTTATTTCAAATAAGACTCTAAATTGTGATATAAATTTACTTTACCGAACGAATTTTGAAGGTTTCAGATATGATGATATGCATTGTTGGAAAGAGGACAAGAAAGATATGATGCATTGGATAAAGGGAAAGCCAAAAAGCAATCCCACAATTAAATTTATTTTCATTTATTTTAAATGTTCATGTTAATTTTGTAACACTTATGTATTCTTTTCGTGAAAAAAAACAAATTATTTAAAAAGAACATTCGCATGTTCTGCTTTGTTAACCATTACCAAAATAGAGCCGACCGAAAAAGTTATTATCACACAAAAGAATGACCCCATAAACCATTTTTAGTTGGTTACTTGTGTATAAAACGCATTTTCACCTTTTCAGTAGTTTTAGTTTACTAAGTTAATATCATATCGATCATCTTAAGAACACTGATCAACTAGATATTTCATGTGTGGAGATGTATATGATGTATTTAATTTGCATGTAAGTACAAACCTACGAAAATCAAAGACATATAATCGTATATGATTAAAATTAGGATTATAGCTTTCTATTATTGAATCTAGCAGTGGTGAAAGATTGAAGGCAAGAATGGCACCGGATATGAGGAGATTTTCATAATTACGTGCCTAATTATTAATAATGCGAAACTGATTAGCCAATGAAGAAAGAAAAATATGGAGTATGTAACTAACTAAGAATAAACAAACAAAAAAAGAGAAAGCAAAGAGACACACATGCAAGCACGTGATGAGTGCATGTCTCTCAGAGTCTCACGCCATGCACATTTCATCATATCATCTTAATTCGCTTATTTGACTATCTCAGTCTCTCTCTCTCTCTTTCACTCGGTGTCTCTTTGCCTTTTCCCTTTTTAATCAAAAACTATATTTTAATTATATTGGCTGAAATAAATTTAATCAGCCCATTGAAGCCCATTTGTGTAGTCATTTGTAGGTGTATTAACTTAAAATCTTACTAATTTCTTAGAAGTTTTAAATTAAATATAAAAATGTGTTTGTTCGAGAGTGCTGTATTTCGAAGTACCGTATTTAATTTTTCTTCTTGTGATAATCCTTTTTGTAAATATTTCACTAGAGATATTTCTCATCAAAAGAAGAAGAAGAAAAAACAGAGATGGAAATTTCTAATTGGGCAGTATGTACCATGATGGACCTATGCAATCTATCGTTAGGCGTCTAGCCAGAATCATTGAGAAAATGGGCTTAATAGCTAAAAACCCATTTAGTTTCTATAAAAGAGCCCGTTTAAAGCCCATTGAAGATGACGTCATCTGGAAATCCAAAATCTGAAAAGTATGTGGCTATGTGGAAGCAGAGGTTGGCGCGTGCCTTATCTGCTTCTCTCTCTTCAGTGGCCTTAAAACTCTCTGTGTGATCCCACTTGTCTTCCTCCTCCTCCATAACATCAAAATCTCCCACACCAAAACCCTTTCACAATTTGGGCTAAAGCTTTCGATGACATCAATGGCGTCCTACTCCTTTTCCCCTGCTACTCAGGTTCACTCTCGATCATTCGAAATCGAAACGAATCTCTTTCTTTGTTTCATGGGTTTCTGATTTTTCACTTTGGCTTTATCGATTGGGCATAATCGGGTCTCTTTGTAAAGGAAGTTTCAGTTTTGCGGCAGATTTATCAACTACTTTCTCTAAAGTTTGTGAATTTTTGATTTTTGCGTACAGCTGGGTTCGAGCAGAAGCGCTATGTTGGCGATGTCGCGTGGGTTGTTTGTGAAACCGACGAGGACGAATCATCAAATGGTTAAGAAGGAGAAGATTGGAGTGAGGATTGTTTGTCAAGCAACGAGTATTCCAGCAGACAGAGTCCCAGATATGGAAAAGAGGAAGCTGTTGAATCTTCTTCTTGTGGGGGCTCTTTCTCTCCCTAGCGGCTTCATGCTTGTTCCTTACGCTACATTCTTTGCCCCTCCTGGGTCAGTATTCTTTCAACCTCTCTCTCAATTTTGTTCTCCACGCATTGTTTATGAGATTCATGGCTTTTGCCGTCCTTTCAATGTCTGTTTGTTGTTATAAAGCCTTAGGAGTAGCTTTTGGTTCTGATTCAAATCCAATATGTGATTATGAAGAAGTGGATGGTCCCTTTGGTGTTACTGAGATGTGATATGAAGGGGAGTTCATAAAGTTTCTTCCTTCCTGAATTTTGATTGCATTAGGGAGAACAATTTAGACACTCTTTGTATTGTGTTTTGTTTTGATGAAGTTTGAATTTTTTGCTTGGTGTGTTGTTGGCTTTTTTGGTTCTGATTCAGTCCAGTACGTAGCTTTGAATAAATGTAGATGGTTTCTTTGGTGTTACGGAGATGTGAGATCAATGATACTTCATATTGAGTTTCTTTTAAATCATTGTTCTTGGTTTCAATCATAACGTTTTCTTCAAAAAATGCAGATCCGGAGGTGGAGGTGGTGGTACTCCCGCCAAGGATGCACTTGGGAACGATGTAGTTGCAGCTGAATGGCTTAAGACTCATGGTCCTGGTGATCGAACCTTGACTCAAGGATTGAAGGTAAAAGATTCCATTAGTACTATGAGAAGGCGAAGAAGTTACTTTAACATCTCAATAAAGGTTCTTGAATCTCAATGGTTGTGTGGATTTTTATGCTACAGGGAGATCCGACTTACCTAGTTGTGGAGAACGACAAGACTCTAGCGACATACGGTATAAACGCAGTGTGCACTCATCTTGGATGTGTTGTGCCATGGAACAAAGCTGAGAACAAGTTTCTATGTCCTTGCCATGGATCCCAATACAACGCCCAAGGCAGAGTCGTTAGAGGTCCAGCGCCATTGGTAAGTTGAATACATTACACTCTCTCTAGTATAAGATATGCGTTTATCTCTCTTGTAAACTTTTATAACGTAAACTTAATTCGATGGAACAGTCGCTTGCATTGGCTCACGCCGATATCGATGATGCTGGGAAGGTTTTATTTGTTCCCTGGGTTGAAACTGACTTCAGGACTGGTGATGCCCCATGGTGGTCTTAAAACTTAGCAACAGGTGTAAGTGGGAAGAAGAAAGGCCGAGTCTTTTTGTGTAATACTTATTTGAATGTTCTTCTGATGTAAAAGCTGTGTGTAATCATACATTTCATGGCATTACTCTGTGAATTCTTGCCGATTATATGAAGTTTTATGTTCATTCACTTCCCATGTCTTTTGTTTAATTTCACTAAATTTTTCAAGTCCTGTGTAGTGTGTTACATTACTGTGTTCTGAGTAGATGTGTTTACACTAGATATTTCATAGAAATATAAATAAGATTCTGTATCAATAGAACAAAGGCCCGTATAGCTCAGTGGTAGAGCGTCAGTCTTGTAAACTGAAGGTCCGTAGTTCGATCCTGCGTGTGGGCACTTTTTTCCTATTTTTTCATTATCCTCTTACAGGAGAACAATTTATTCTATCCCTTTTCACAAATTGGATAAATTAACTCACCATTCTCCTTCCTTGCTATAATTTGTTTCCCCATAAGGCCATAACACAAGTGATTAATAAAATGAAGTAATGTGAACATATATCATGAAAACCGAGTAACCACCAAATTATTATTTTTGTTGACAAAAATTTTTAATTGTTTATTATAAGAGTGAAGTGAAATGCGAAGACTTTCACATAGTTGGGAGTAACACATCACAACGTGGTTCACCACTCCAAAGGGTTTGGTCTTTTGCCGCCGGCTAATTAGTTAGAAAGCTACTGTACAACTACGAATTATGTAAAATACCACTTTTAATTAAATTGATGCTTTCGGATGTTGTTTACTTAATAGGAGTAGTTTAAATTAGTATTGTACTATTAAATTTTGATAAAAATATGAATTAACTAAAAAAATAATGAAGTTTTTTGAGGTTGAAGTTATGAAACCGATAATTTTTTATAAGACTTTGGTACAATGCCACAAGTCTCTCCCTTTAATAGACCCAACATTTCCTCTCAACCAACAATAACCTAACCCTAAGACAATCTCTCCTAATTTTGTCCGTATTTACAAGTTATTACCTCGACGTTTTGGCTAAGATCTTCAATCACATTTCTTTAACATTCTCCTTAGTTTCTAAAACTACCCTTATCGGGTCTCCAAGGGGCCAAGAAAGGACCTCTTTCTCGGCTTCTCGGAGTCTCATCATTCTCTTTTTTTTTCACGCTTTCTTCCTCTATACGCAACCTCAAATCCAAACCTAACTCTAAAATGGATGCCACGGAGCTAAAACGTGTGTTCCAAATGTTCGACAAGGACGGAGACGGTCGGATCACGAAGAAGGAGCTAAACGAGTCATTAAAGAACCTTGGAATCATAATACCAGAAAACGAGCTAGCGCAGATGATCGAGAAGATCGATGTGAATGGCGATGGTTGTGTTGACATTGAAGAGTTTGGAGAGCTTTACAAGACGATAATGGTGGAAGACGAGGACGAGGTAGGAGAAGAAGATATGAAGGACGCTTTCAACGTATTCGATCGAAATGGAGATGGGTTTATTTCGGTGGATGAACTGAAAGCGGTTTTGTCTTCCTTGGGACTCAAGCAAGGTAAGACCTTGGAGGAATGTAGGAAGATGATAATACAAGTGGATGTTGATGGTGATGGTAGGGTTAATTTCAAGGAGTTTAGACAAATGATGAAAAAGGGTCGGTTTTTTAGCTCTTTGAGCTGATGATTAATGATTGTTTTTTTCACTTTTTGTTTATAGTTTTGGTTATTTTATAACCATTTTTCTCTCGCGTTCTTGAGGCATTATCACATGCATGATCGTAAATGATTTGTTTACTAGCCTAGACTTGCGAGAGCACATTGTAAAAATTGTAGACATGTTTGTTTGATTTGTGATTTTTATAAGCTAAATTCATTCATAATTCATGACCTGCTTGTTTATAATGTGATTTTGTGATGTTTGTTAAATTAATAGAAATACATGGAATTGCCTAGTATAAATTTGGTCAAATTATAAATACTGGAGCATAATATTTATAATTCCTATGTCTCCAATCCTAGCCATGAACAACAAAGAATGTACTCGTACCAACATTTCAATACATTGTTGTTTGTAGGATTCAAAAACTTTCGTTCAGTTTACTGTCATGAATACTTGGGTAAACTTATTTGGTTCGGCCCATATATAACAAAGAATGTACTCGCCGGACTCAGATTGGCCCCAAAGAACAATGGGCCGGCCCATATATAACAAAGATTCGCTCCCAACGTTATATATACAGGCATAATGGGCCGGAATTAAGTATTTTACTGTCATGAATACTTGGGGAAACTTATTTGGTTCGTCACGGCCCCAATAGCTCGCTTTACTAAACGAGGCCGTAAAAATAATTGATAACCCAAAAGATAATGGTCTTTTAAGTTTGTGTTTTAGTTTAAGTAACCACTCAACCACATCTAATTTCTGAATTATTTAGACTATTACATTACACATATTTAAAACTGGGATAATCAATAAAACGGATTTAAAATCATAGCCTCAGTTTAATTCAGTAGCTTCATAGAAATTGCAGTTTCTGCTAAGGGGTTCTCCCTGAAAACAGGGTCTCAACTCCACTGCACCTCAAAATTTGGAATTCCTCATCGGCAACAATAATCAAACAGGTTTGTAATGATCCTCTATACTCTAAATTAAATAATTTTCATGAATATAATATTCCGGATTATCTGATAAACCATGTTAACTAATTATATTCAAAAACATCTTAGTCTTCACCGCTCTTGCATAATGGGTCTTAAATATGAGTTAATAGGCCGGAAGTTATGAATTTTAAATCATCGTCATGTCTACACCACGTGGAAACTCATGGTTCGTCGATAATTCAGTAATTAAGTTAGCTCAACTCTAAATTATGTATTGTTAAACACAGATTAATCAATAAAACAGATATAAATTCATAAACTCGAGGCCTCAGTTTAATCCATTAGCTTCAAAGAAATTGCAGCTTCTGCCAAGGGGTTCTCCCCGAAAACAGGGTCTCGGCTCCACTGCACCTCGAAATTTGGATTTCCTCATTGGCAAATGCAAAAAAAAAAACATTCAAAAACAAATTCTTTTTGAAATAGGCTCAGATTTATATACAGCTTCTTCTATCAAGAATTTTCTGAAGCAGAACTGGCGTAAAGCTGTTAGATTTAATCATCAGTGCCCAAAAACAAAAGACGAATCTAAAGAGAAAAGGCTCATATTAAGAAATTCAACCATTGTTTTCCGTATATACTTCATAGACAAAATCTCAGAAGCGCGGATAATTTTGTAATCATAGCCAATTCCTACAACACTATCACGAAATCAAAATACGAAATCTAGACATTGCTTTGACACAGTTAAGCCGGGAAAAAAAATCAAGACAGAACTGCAACACGAATGGCATTCAATCTAGCAGGAGCTTTGGGGCTTAATTCCTCAAGAATTATTTATCAGATTAGCCCGGGAGGCTCCTGCGAAACTTTATCTACCAATCTCAATAACACTCGAAGATAAAAAAAAAAAAAACTGAAGAACCCTAATTTACAAACAAACAATCAATCGTGTGTTAAGAGTTAGGTTTCACGCGGCTGTTATATAGAGACAATGCGTTGTTTAAAACCCTAGCACTTAAAACACCGACTCTTAATCGTCAAAAGTCGAAACTACCCCGTCCGTAATTGACTTTCCTTTTCGTCGTTGTCGGGTTTATAACGTAAATGGTAAACCCGAATGGTATAGTATTTGGGCTTAGTACAAAAGCCCAAATTCAAATTTGGAAAGCGGAAAACTCCATTTTAAATCCGCTTCGTTTTATGTAAACGGGCTTAAGTATTTGATATATGGGCCCAAGTTCGAGAAAGTTCCTAAAAACCGACTTTAATGTAGCCACCTCGTCGGAATCAGGTAGATTCATTCATATTTCTTGCACGTAAAGATACTCTTTCGTCGATTTCTGTTTTGATTTTTGTTTTTTTTTTTCTTTTTAATATCGAAACCTAAAGGCGTCCAAGGTTTTCGCCGGAGAGGAAAACTATGCAGGGTTTGGCGGCGACCACCAACTGTAGCTCTCGTTCTTTTTTCGTTCCCAGGTTTTCTTTTGTTCTCTTCTCTTTAACATAACCAATTCAATGATCTCATTCTTGCTTTTGGGATCTCCTTCTCCGATTTGGGAGTTCATCATTGGTGATTTGTGTCGCATCGATTGATTGATTTCCTTTCTTTCGAAGGGCACTTCGTTTTGCTATGTTGAAAACTTTGAACCGTCAATTCCAAATAAATTCGATTCAATTTGGTCACAAATTCTTGAGATTTTAAATCAGTTACTCGTGATGAAAAATTGGATTTTGGGATTTATAATGCGGTCTCTTTTGCTTGCTGCGGAATATCATCATCGTCTCTTTTCTGTTTATGTTCTCCAAGTTTCTCGAGACTTTGATGTTCATTTCTTGCATATACCTTTTTGTTAGAGGCTTTCACATATACTGATGTTGTGTTTATCATCGTTTTATAAACCAGGAGCCATAGTTCAACTCTAAAGAAGTATGTGAATCCAAGGGTGTCCTTCTCTCAATTCGATTCATCCGCAAAGTTAAAATTGTCAGCAAGCTCAATTTCACAGAGATGTCCCCTAGAGATTGTTCCTCTTTCAGGTATTACGTGGATTCAAGTTGATTCACCATTTACTTTTGTTGAAGCTTGTCCTGTTTGCTCTTGTGATTCAACTGATTCCCCAAAATGTTAAAAAAATCTGCAGCAACTTCATCTATGGACTTTGCAGTAGAAGCACCATCATCATCACACCAGCTCTTTGCTCATGGCTTGCCACCATTGGGTCGTGGTCTGAGAAGACAACGGAGACCTGTTGTAGAGCCTGCAAGAGCGGCTAAAGACGACTTCTTCAAAATCAGACTGCCTAAAATCGCAGAGAGGCCTGAGTGGTGGTGGAGGACGTTGGCTTGCGTCCCTTATCTGATATCCCTCCAGATATCCGATGTTGGTTTCTACGTACAGCCGTTTCTAGAGAGGCACGACGCCATTGGAGACATGATTTACTTCATCCCGGGAGCGATCAACAGGTGGCCTTCCTGGTTCTTCATGGCCTACTGCTACTTGGGTTACATGTGGGTTGTGAAGAACAGAGAGCTGCCTCATTTCTTGAGGTTTCACATGATGATGGGTATGCTTCTCGAAACAGCTCTTCAGATCATATGGTGCACGAGCAACTTCTTCCCGCTGATCCATTTCAAAGGAAGGCTTGGGATGTATTACTGGATGGCGATAGGATTCACCTACATTTGTCTGCTTCTTGAATGCATACGGTGCTCTCTCGCTGGAATTTATGCTCAGATCCCTTTCATAACCGACGCTGCTGCCATTCACACTCTCTTTAACCTGGGAGGCTTTTCTAGACCACTCAGGTGAAATGTGTGAGAAACTGTGGTCCTCTGGGTGTTGTTGCATACTTGAAATAGGATCAAAGTCTTATTCTTTTTTTTTTCTCACAGAGAGAGGTTGTTGTGTCTTATCAAGTCTCTTAGTCTTGTGTGAAGTCATTTTAGCTTAGTGTCAGTGACTCATGTGTAAAATAGAACACATTCTCTATGAGAGTAGCTTGAATCTTTGATGTCATATAAATCGGTGATTCGAAAGTATGCCTACTTTGGTTTAATCTTAGATTTTGATTAGTGAAAAACAAAGAAATTGATTAAAGGCTTCCGTTGAAAATCAGTGGATTTACAAGATCACAAACAAAACTAACCTCTATTAACTTATTGACCGGTTTTATAATTAAGAAAACTGGCTTTGTTCTTGTTCTGAATCCTAATATTTTTTAGCCTCTTTGTATACAAAACTCATCAAAGCCTTAATTAAGGGTTCATTAGCCTAATTACATTGAAAATTTGGGTTGTGGGCTCCATGTTTACACAGCTTTTTAAAAAAAATTGATTGTAATGGAGACCACGTCTCTGCAACATGGTACCAACAAAATCACAATGTCGTCGTAATTGTATCCCAGCTTCATAACAAAGTCTTTGTAGGTCTTTAAACCATTGACTGGTTCTAAACACACAGCTCATACAAAGTCTGTTTAGTTTTACACATTCTATTTTCAGACAGCTCTTAAAGGTCTCTGTAGCATCATGTCAATCATCTAACCACCATTAAATGATCCTTTTGATCAAAAAGAAACTTGCCCATTTTCTCTAAATTCTCGATTTGTCACGCCATGAACGACCTAATCTCAAGTTCCTTCAAGAGATACACAGACCTAAACCAGCAAGTCCAACTCGATGACATCGAATCTCAAAACGCTTCTCTTGACTCAGGAAACCTCGATGAGTTCTTTGGATATGTCGAGAGTGTTAAAGAAGACATGAAAGCTGTCGAAGAGATTCATAAGCGTCTACAAGAAGCTAATGAAGAGTCCAAGACCGTACATGACTCCAAGGCCGTGAAAAAGCTTCGTGCTCGCATGGATACGAGTGTTTCAGATGTATTGAAACGTGTCAAGATGATAAAGACGAAGCTCGTGGCTTTGGAGAAATCGAACGCTGCTCAGAGGAAAGTCTCTGGTTGTGGTCCTGGCTCCTCTGCTGATCGGACCAGAACATCGGTCGTAAGTGGATTGGGGAAGAAACTTAAAGACATGATGGATGATTTTCAGAGACTACGAACCAAAATGGCTTCTGAGTATAAAGAAACAGTCGAGAGACGGTAATTTTCTATGATTTTTTACATTTGGGTTTTACTCCGATCAGCAAAGATCAAGTATTGTTTTCTTTACAAGAAAGGGTTTTACTATGATTCAACAAAGATCACATCTTTTACGAAAAAGTTAATTTTCTTGGTGGTGTTTTCGAATTTGAATCTTGGAAGGTACTTCACTGTAACTGGGCAAAAAGCGGATGAAGAGACGATAGAGAAGCTGATATCAAGCGGAGAGAGCGAACGTTTTCTCCAGAAAGCGATACAAGAGCAAGGTCGGGGACAGATCATGGACACGTTGTCAGAGATTCAAGAACGACACGACGCGGTTAAAGAGATAGAACGGAGTCTGTTGGAGCTGCACCAAATTTTCCTCGACATGGCAGCTCTCGTTGAAGCTCAAGGGAATATGCTCAACGACATCGAATCAAATGTCTCAAAGGCAAGCTCTTTCGTCATGAGAGGGTCTGATCAGTTGCAGGGAGCTAAAGTACTTCAGAGGAACTCGAGGAAATGGAGTTGTATCGCCATTATACTCGCTATTGTTCTTGTCATTGTGATTCTTTTCCCGATCCTCTATACATCCATACTTAAACCTTGATTCTGAAAAGCAACTCTTTTGTTTTCTTCAATCTCTTTTTTTGTTAGAGCTCTTTCAACTTCTTGCATTGGAACAAGCTTTCTACTGTTCTTGCCACTGTAATTGCTTTATATAGAAAAATTTGGGTGACAATGATCGTTTTTTTTGTTGTATAACTGTATATCGAAAACCTACAAATCTATTGAGTACAAAAACACAAACAATGTACAATTTTTTTGAGTATTTATAATCATTACCTCTTCATGAACACTGTTTACTTCTGAAATCATCAGATAAAAGTGTCTGAACAAGCTCCTTTAACCTCTCAGCACCAGTCCCTGGTTTCAAAACAGAGTCATCGCCACGAACAGAGCACGGATCAGCGCCGTTTTCCGAGCTCCCGGCGCACCAAGCTCCTGAGGAGAACCTGTGAGTGCGGCCTAAAAGCTCTTTATCGATCTTGTCTAACACAGGATCGTTCTTGTGGAACTTTCGAGCGAAGGGGGCTTTGCTTTCGACCATCTTGTCGAAATCCTTCATGGATAGAGAGTTAGGGTGTTGCTTTGGAGGATAGTCCCACGCAATGTAGTGCAGGTCATGCCCTATCGCAGTGCTCTTGAACTCTTCCGTGTTGCATATCACTGTGTGGAAATATCCTTCAGGGGAAGACACAAAGTTTGTGTAGTACATCAGAATCCTCCTCGGGAAGTTATCCCATCCCAAGATTGAGTATTCAAGGAAAGAACGAGTCAGAACAACCCAAGCTGAACCTGCGAGATTTAAAGACAAGACATATAAACACCAACGTTCTTCTCAGACCAATTTCTGTAATGTCGAGTTGAAAGATGTCAGCTAACCTGTGAACAGCTTGAAAGATGTGGGAATAGATCTGTGCTGTGTAGTCCAAGCAATTTCGGTTTTCTTAGATAAGTACAAACCAGGATCAACAATGATTGATTTAGCCCTCTGGTTCCTGCAAAAGACCACGAGAAGCAAATCTTTATTTTCCCTATTTCAAGAATAAGTTATTAGTTGACACTTGAGCGGTTTCTACTTACAGTTTCCACCCGGTGAGCTTCATATGTTCAATGAAATTAACATTCCGAGACAAATTCGAGAAGACATACAACAAATCTGCAGAATCAGAAAGCAAATAAGCCCAAGACAGAAACATCCGAAGTATAAGGGCATTTGATTAACTAACCATCTTGTGTCACGAGAGGATAATCCGAGGCACTAAGGTTGAGGAACCAATCCCAATCCAAGCTCTCTCTAAGCAGAATCGCAACGGCCTGAAGCGTACAAGCGATCATAGTAGGGCCTTTATAGGTGACAAGATTCGACTGAGACATAACACGTACGTTCTCCACTTCACGGAAAGTAGGATCACTCTTCACAGACATTGCAAGCTCCAGCCTCTCCTTAGGAGGAGCTTCAAGGTCTAAATGCAAGATATACTGATTTCTTGGATGATACACAGCTTGCAAAGTCCTCATCATCCTATGACTATCGCCTTTCGTCCCCGAGATCAGATAAGCTAACCTAGGAACCTCTGAAGAACTCGTGTTCCGCTTGGAGGTCAGAGACTTTCTCAGATGTGACTCTACAAAGTAATCAGTTGTTGTTTCCTCTGAGAGATTATCTAACGGCAATGGTTCTTCCACAAGAGAACCGTCGAATCCGGCATAAATGAGAGACATTAAGAGAGTAACCGACAAGACCAAGCTTGCCAGAAACGGGAACATCCATTTCCTGTCTCTGAAAACCCTAAACCCTGAATGTGAACTAACGTGTCTCTTCATTCTCGCTAAAGGGTCTCTGATCCAAATCAGCTTCCTATACACTTTCTTCATCCCCAAAAGAAAAACAGAAGCTTTGCCTAACCGATGAATAATAAACAAACTTGATTCAGACAAGACGAGATCAAAATTGTCTTTTGAACACTTAAAATAAGCAAATCAAAGCCTTGATCTTTTGAACAAAATAAAGACAAGGGTTTGATTGAAATTACCAGAATTTCAGGAAACGACCCAATAGAGGTTTTGCGGCAGAGTATTTCAACGAAAATGACAAACTCCCCCACCAATAGCTAATTAATTGAAGAAGAAAGCTGATAAGAACACCAACAACCAATGCACCAACCGAACAAAAAGAAAAGGGTTTTTACTGTTTATTGCTTTTGGCATGGCAAAGCGAAAAAAAGCTTGTTTAGTCCTAAGCTGAGTCAGATCTGATGACTAAAATCGAGTTCAAGAAGCAAACAATGCTTAAAGTTTAAGTCTTGCATCCTTAAAAAAACATAACAAAGACAAGTCCTTGGACAAAGACAGATACTGCTGAAGAAATCAAGGCGGAAGCAGTCCAGGACAAGGGTTTCAAGATCCTTCTCGCAGATTAACAGGAACAAAAGCCTTAAAATTTAGGGAGCGAGAGAATGAAATCTTCTGAAGAAGAAACTTATTATTTAAACGGAGAGACGACTTGTGGAGATTCGGAAGTGGCCTGAAGAGAGAATTGAGTAACCGACGAAAGTGGAGACAGAGAAACAAAGGTGATTCATTTATAAATTCAGGGGTTCTTAGCGATAGATATAGCTTTAATTGTTGGCAAAATCAATCTGAAATTTAATTAATTACTTAGCTTAATGTTGTTGAATAACGATGAAACTGAAGCTCTCTCACACGACACGCGCCACATGAACGAGAAGGCGCGTGATATATATATACAATACAACAAAGTGGGGGCATTGTATAAAGGGAGAGTCTCTATGAAAATTGAAATTACACGATTGAGAAGAATAGAACACTTTTCGTTTTTCAATTCTTCGATACTTTCGAGTTGAGCTCGACACAAAGTGAAAAAAGAAGATCCTTTTTCATTAGGAAGTGTTAATAAACCATTTTTACACGTCGTATCATCGACATAGAAGAAAACTCTGGGACCTTTAACGGTCAGATGACGCTTCCTTAGTTTCTTTCCATACTTTGAAATTGCTGCTGCTGTATTAGAAGAAGCTTGGCGGTGAATCATAGCTATGTGGTGAAGCCAAAGTATTGTCTTTGGTTGAATTGCTGCTGCATTGTTGATGATGATTCAGCTCGGGCAATGTTGCATCATCTAAGAGTCACAAGACAAACTTTTGTTGTGAGTTGAAACGGATACTTCTGTTGTGGGTTGAAACGGTTCTGAACAACAACAAATGATCTTGGCTGTTCACTTGGTGATGTCATAGTAAACATCTGATCACACTCCTGAAACGCGGCATCTTCATATTCTAGGATATTGACGATACATCTGTTGCATTTCGATGAGGTTGCTGGATGAAATAGGTCTGAGCAGCAACAAATACAGGCCATAGAACAAAGATCTGATTCTGCAACCGGACTAGATTGGCCAATTGGATGCTGTTGACAATAGTTTTTCTGAGCTTCAAGCTGAAACATTCCAAATAAGAAGTGTCAAAATCTAGCATGAGTAACCGCAGACATCAAGAGAGTAACCCTATACGACCAAGCTTGCCAGAAACAGGAACATCCCTTTCCGGTCTCTTGAAACCATAAACCCTAAACATGCCTTTCAACCTCGCTAGTGGGAGCTTCCTATACACTGTCCTCATTCCCTAAAAACCCTTTTCCTAACCAATGAATGATCAGGACTAAGAAAGGAGATAGATTTTGCCTCTTCAACACCTAACTTGATACAAATTCTTAGTCTTTTTTGTACGCATAGGATGATTTCTATGCAATTGACCAAACCAATAAAAGGGGTTGACAGAATTCCATTAAAACGACTTTCCAGAATCCAAAGAGAAAACTACCCAATAAACATTTTGCAGCAGAGCTGGGGCAGGTTCAAAGAAAGTGTCAGCATTCATGAGCTAAATAATCAAATGTAGTGACTAAATCCGAGTTGCAAACGAAGCGATGCTTAGAGTTTTATCTTTTAAGAAAACAACTAGTAACATCACAGATGCTGCAGCAGAAATAAGAAGCAATATAAGAGTTTTAGGCTTACTAAAAATGGGAACATCAGAACTGCAACACACGGAATAACTGAAATTTCAGAGTTTCCCAAATGTAAAATCGACTTGGGAATTTTGCTGCAGAAGAAATTAGAAGCGTAAGAGATTATAACTTACCAAAACAAATCCATTTGACTACGAACATCAGAGAATTTCCGATTTCCGATTAGGGTTGTTGCGGCGGGTTGGACCCGGTCCGGATCCGGATCCAGCTCCACGGGACTTGCGGTTCTTGGCGATCATGTCGTCGAGAGACATATCTAATCCAGTCGCAGTCGTCATCTCGAAGTTCCTCGATCGAAGTTTTTCCTTTTGGACGGCGGAGGAGAGTCGAGGGACGACGAGAGAAAGGAAAACCAGCCAAAGAGGAAAGATAAAAGATTAGCCGCCAAAGTAAAAAGGTTTAGAAAAAAGGAAGAAACAAGACCGCCACGGATAGTATCTAGCAATGAAAAATCTTCATAATTTCAGAAAATTATCTCAAAAAAAAAAAAAAATAAGTTTGTCAAGGGACGACGAGAGAAAGGAAAATTTAAGACGAAAGATAATGATTAGCCGCCAAAGGAAAAGGGTTAAAAAAAAAGGAAGAAAAAAGACTTTGAACCTGTATAGGGAACAATAGAAAATCTCTTGAAATTATCAACGAAAAAAGGAAAATAAGTTTTGTTTGAGCGACCTTGAACCTGTATAAATAGAGGATTTGTGATAGTATTAGATCATTCCAAAATCTTTAGAGAAGAGAAGAACAAAGATCTAAAAGTTCTATGCTTTCTAATTAATTACTACTAAAAGTTTTTATTTACTTTCAGCAAGACTCACTTTCTATTACTTATTCTATTAAGTGATATTTTGGTTCAACAATGGTTATGGTTTTAAAACAAAAAATTTACCTGGCGGTAATATTTCTGCTTATCCAAATAGTTTTCGCAAGAGTGAAAATTGGTGTTCCAGATTTTGATCGTAAATGGTCTCCTCTTAAATCATAAGTGAAGATCATAAACCAACTCGGCGACGGTTCGACACTAAACCTCCATTGTAACTCCACTGACGACGATTTCGGCTTCAAAATTCTCGCTCCGAATAAGTCTTGGTCATTTTATTTTAGACCAAACATATGGAGATCGACAGTATTTTCTTGTCATTTTACATGACCTCAAAGACAATCAAAACGGTTTGATATATACGATGATATCAGAGATGGTGTCTACAGTACTCGTCAATGAGGGATTTCATGCATCTACTGTTTCTGGAATATAAGCAAAGATGGACCATGCAGGTTCAACGAGATAAATGATGCCTTTGATATTTGTTATGACTGAAATAGTGTTCGAAAGAAATAATTTTTCATTTTTATTATTATTATTTCTTAACATATTCAGAAAAATATTATTAGTTTTTTAACCTTTTTAGCTCGAATAAATAAAATTGTCTTGATTGAAAAAAAACTATTAATAAAAAATTTTATTTGATCCCTATATGATGTTTCGGCACCTAGAGTGATATTTGTGTTCAACGTTAAGTTACAGTTAACAACTTGCACTTGCACTCTTCATTCTTCAATGCTTTTGATTTGAACTTGACTAAAACGGACAGGTTCTTAATTATTACACAAAGTGAACGTTATTAATTTTTAGAAAAGTAAATCCTTTTGATTAGGAAGTGACAGGGGTTGAGAAGAGAAAATCTTTCTTCGTCCGGACGTTTGAATAGATCTTGACTAAACAGTTATCAACGTTTAAGGATGATCTTTAAGAAAAATTACACAAGTGGGCATTCTAAAAAACAATATCTTAACTTTCAATGAAAAGTACTGAAACTAAATCTATTTTATCTTGAACTTTAAATCTTTAGGAAGACTTAGGAGTTAATTAATAAAGTAATCAGTGGAGTGTGTTGAATTTGCGGAAATTAAAACTAAACAGAAAAAGAACTATTCTTTGTTCGAGATCTTTTTGACTAAAAAGTCATTAACATTTCGTTTACAATAATCAACATCAATATGAGAGATAAGCTTTAGTGAAAACAAAAGCTTGAAAAATCAAGTCAAGAATCGTTTTTTTTTTCTTCCTAGGCTTAGGCTAAGGCTGCTGCTGATCTTGACTTTGGCCAGAAGACGGTCCAGTGTTAAAAAGGCTGCTGCTGATCTTGACTTTGGCCAGAAGACGGTCCAGTGTTAAACCCCTGAGACAGCATTGGCCTTTTCGTCTGAGGCTGAAGTTGCTGAATTTGTTGATGATTTAGCTCAGGCGTCGCTGCATTGGAAGAAGCTTGGTGGTGTATCATATCTATGGGGAACACTGGCTTCACTTCTTGGATGGTACTGAGCTTGTAATGTTCTCACCATCCTATGAGTATCACCTTTTGTCTCCGAGATCAGATAAGCCAGCCTAGGAGGCTTCCAAGAATTTGCATTCCCCCAAGTCTTCTTCAAATGTGAAAGTAATCATTTGATTCTTCTGAGCTTGAACCTGAAACATTATCTAACGGCAATGGTTCTTCCATATAAGAACTGACAGATGTTAAGAGAGTAACTGATAGGATCAAGCTTGCCACAAACGCTATACATGTCTTCATCTTGCTAATGGGAGCTCCCTGTTACACTGTCCTTATTCCCTAAAGTCATTTTCCTATCCAATGAATGATAATGATTCAGAAAATAGATTGAATTTGTCTCTTTAATGCCTAAATAGATCCAAATTCTTAGTCTTTTTGTACACTTAAGGATTTTTTTTATGCAAATGACCAAACCAAAATACAAAGGGTTGTCAGAATTAACAGAATTCCATAAAAACGACTCTCCAAAACTAACAAATATGACCTAAATAGACATTTTGCTGTACAATTGGGGCAAGTTAAAAGAAAATCAAATGTAATGACTAAATCGAGTTGCAGACGAATAGATGCTAATAGTTGTTGTTGTTTTATATCTTTTATCTTTTAAGAAAACAATTCGGAACATCATCGCTGGAAAAGAAGAGATGCTGCAGCAGAAATTAGAAGCAAATAAGAGTTTCTGGGCTTACCAGAAATGGGAACAAATCCAATTTGACAACGAATTTCAGAACTGCAACAACGAAAAATTTGGAATTTCAGGGTTTCAGAAAATTCAATCGACCTGGAAAAATTTGTTGCGGAAGAAATTAGAAGCGTAAGAGATTATAACTTACCAAAACAAATCCATTTGACTACGAACAACATCAGAGATGCAACATCAACAAAAGAAAAAAATCGGATTTCAGAATCGATCTGGAAAATTTTTCGGGAAAAAAAAAATTTGGACCATTTCTCGATTTGTGCGTGTCATCCTTGCGCAGGGGCCATGCTAATCTTCTCTGTATCGTTCCAATTTTATCGGATGTCCCCGAAGGGACGAACATTACTTCCACTCCATCTCTATATAAACAAAGCTTCTTCTTCTTCGATAAACGATGTGGGACGTTTTGAAATCAGCTAACTACTTAATGGGCTCATTTACACTAAAAAGCCTCTCTCCAATTTCTCGTGGGCCCGTTAACAGTATCAACCAGATTCCTTATTCCCTATGGAATTAATGATGACTTAACGTTGCCGTTACCAGTTAACAACTAAACGTCAGCAATTATTGATTTAGCTTACACTTAAGTAAGCAACATCAAGGTAAAGCCTCCGACTGGGGAAGAGGTTTTCTTCAACAAACAGCATGAAGGTTCGAAATGTCGTCGTTCATTAAGCAAATGCCGTCGCCAAAATAGCCCACTTTCCAACGGTCATCTTCTATCACAAACGACAAAAGCAGAGTGAGAGTGAATACAGAGCAAGGAAGAAATGCGTGACTCATCATCGCATGGTGAATCACATCGTAACATACAACCGATTTGATTTCGTTGGATCTTTATACGAAAGCTGAGCTCGACACTTGTCACTAGATGGTTCATGTCATTTTTGTATAAGAAGGTTCCAAATCTACTAAACTTAGCGAAAAAGAAATCAATAGAAGTTGTTCTTCTTCTTCACCCTTTTCTCTTCCTTTGAGCTTTACTTTCCACAAAAGTTGAAGCTGAAACTTGCTGACACGACATGTGCCACACGAACAAGAATCCGCATGGCTGATGTTGAATTTAACCATAGCTCATACACACACGTGACGTGTAAGTAAATAATACAAAAGTGGTAATTGAAAAAAAAGAGAATTGTTGAGAAGTAAGAAAACTAAAGGGATCATTCACTGACAAGTGTTGAAATGAGGAGTTGATAATGGTCTGTTTTCAACTATGAAGAATTTTTTTTTGCATGGTGAAAACTATTCAGAAGATAACTTCTCCTTGTTCCAAACTTTTAATAGATTCTAAGTTAACACTCATCAGCATTTCATTTACAGTAATCAAAATCACGTTTTATGAGAGACTATCAGTTAAAAAAGGGTTGAAAATCATGTTAAGACTAATTTTACTTTTACCTATGCTGCTCTGCTGATCTTAACTTTGGAGTCCAGCGTTAAACCCCTGAGACTGCATTGCCTGTTGCGTTTGAGGTCCAAGTCGCTGCATTTGTGGACGATTCAGAGCAGGCCTTGGTGCTGCTGCTGCATTGGGAAAAGCTTGGCGGTGAATCATATCAATGGGGAAGCCAAAGTGTTGTCCTTGATTGATTTGCTGCAGCTGGTTGAACATCATAGGCCTCAATGGAGCTTGATTTGGGACTAGCATGGGAACAAACTGGTCCTGGTTGTACATCATTGGCCACATCGGAGCTTGTAATGGGACTACACTGGGAACAAACTGGTCTTGATACATCATTGGCCATATTGGGGCTTGAAATGGGACGGCATGTGGAACAACCTGGTCTTGATTGTACACCATTGGCCACGCTGAAGCTTGAACTGGGACTAAAGTGGGAACAGTCTGGTCCTGCCCCTGGTTATACATCATTTGCCTCATTGGAGCTTGGCCTGGGACTAGATAGGGAACAACTTGGTCCTGCTGCATCATTGGCCTCATCGAATTTAGACCAATCTGGCACTGGTTGTACATCATTGGCCTCGTTGGAGCTTGACCTGGAGCTGCATTGGGAACAATCTGGCCATGCTGCTGCATACCAAAATATTGGTTGAAATGGTTCTGATCTTCAACAAATGTAGGCCTTGGAACAATACTCTGATTCTGCATTTGCATCATCACCATTTGTTGCTGCTGGTATCTCCATGTTGCGTAGTTGTGATCTACGGGAGCATGCCCTCGGAAAAATGTCTGATGTGGCATTAACGGTCCCCAAGGTGCACTGTTAGGACCAAACCCAGCTGCATAGTTGTGATCTGGTATAAATCTTGGCCACTGTTGTTGCTGCTGCTGCACAACACCAAAAAACTGGTTCTGAACAGATGCAAATCCACGGTTTGGCATTGTGAATCGCTGCGGCTGAGCAAAAAGACTACCACCAAACCCAAGATTTTCTTCAGGAGGCATCATAGCTTGAGACATTTGAGCTCCATAACGATTAGGGAGAAGAAGACTCTGGTTCTGATCAATCGCAGACGATGTTGAGCCACCGTCACTCCAACAATTCTGATTAACACTTAGATTAGGAGATGGAGGCTGAGTAATAAGACTATCAATTGATCCATTATCTTCTTCAGGAGGCACCATCACTACAAGCATTTGAGCGCCAGAACGATCTATGTGAACAAGACGCAGGTTCCGATCCATTGTAATCGATATTGAGCCACGCCTCGTCGTTTGATTACGCCTAGTAATCTGATTAAGACTTGGATCATTAGTAACAAGACTACGACGAACCAACATTAATGGCGAAACAAGGAAGTTTAGGGATTTACCATAATCGACTGTTCTTGAGGATTCTCGTTTTCCTTGTCGGACTCTTCGTCTTCTATGCTGGGTTTAAGAACAGGGCTCTTTGGATCAAAATCAAGAAGGCTCCCGAAAGCTTCCTCCTTTTGCTCATCTTCCTCTGTTCGCACTTCTTCTTCTTCTTCGGTGGTTTTGGCGGGAAGAGACTTCTCTGCTCGATCTTCTTCTTCGACGGGTTTATCAGGTGGAAACCCAGCCATGGCCAGTGATGAGAGCGATAGAGAGAGAAAGAAGAATCAGCGAACAATGATACGTGAAAGAAACCTGTAAAGGCCCAAGGATTTAACAGAATACTGAAATGCCGTTATTTAACAAGATTCGAGTCTCAGGGTGATCATTATGAAAAGAAAATCTTCAAGAAGACTATAGTGAAAAGGATTGAACTTTGACTCCGATCTTGCAATTAGGAATTAATAATGGGGTTATTTGTCAACGGTACAGAACTTGAGTCCTTTTAAAGCATGAGTCTTTCTCTCTTTCTCCACCTGCGTTTGTAATCCAGCCACTGCAGTTACCAGTCTCAGGTCGTAAATCAATATTAGATCCCTTTGATTTGGTTAAATCCGGTTTATTGGACCTTACTTAGTACAATTTTTTTTGATGAATAGGCTATTATACAAGCATGACACACAGCATAAGGGAATAGAAGCAAGTTCTACGACCTTTTTAAGTACAAGCAATTTTTAAAGATTCAACGCAACGTTTTTAATCAGTAACTAACAATTAGAGATCTGTTTGGTTGAGTGTAGTCCAGTCTATTGATTAGTAAGTGTACAATGTTTCAATGAACAAAGATTACAAGCAGAGGCTGATTCAAGTTTAACCTAAAGAAAAAAAGAAACTTCCCACTAATCGAATTGGAAGCAAGCACAAAGATTACAAGCAGAGTGCTCGAAGTTGTCCTCATATAATTAAAATGATTAAAATGAGAGTTTTTTTTTCAGATTACGAAGACTGAAAAGGCGAAATCATAAGAATCAAGCACTTTTGGGTTTTACAAGTTTACCTGATATAGTCTGATACACAGGGATAAAGCACAATATGGGGGACAAGAACGCTCGTATCATCGTCAAGTAGAACATTGTCTTAACTTCTTGGATGTTACACCACAGGTTGCAATGTTCTCACCATCCAATGTTCTCACATTGGCTCCACGGGACTTGCGATCATGTCGTCGAGAGACATATCTAATCCAGTCGCAGTCGTCATCTCGAAGTTCTTCGATCGAAGTTTTTCCTTTTGGACGGCGGAGGAGAGAGAACTAACAAGAGAGTCAAGGGACTACGAGAGAAAGGAAAACCAGCGTAAGACGAAAGAGGAAAGATAAAAGATTAGCCGCCGAAGTAAAAGGGTTAAAAAAAAAAAGAAGAAAAAGGATCGCCAAGGGTAGTACCCAACTAAACAATGAAAAATCTCCATAATTTCAGAGAATTATCTCTAAAGAAAAAAGGAAAATAAGTTTGTTTCAGCGACCCTGAACCTCTATAAATAGAGGATTTGTGAGAGTATGAAAATCAATCTAAAAACAGAACAATACATAAAAATTCGGAGCTTTCTAATTGATTACCACTAAAAGTTTTTATTTACTTCAGCAAGACCCACTTTCTATTACTTATCCTAATAAGTGATATTTTAGTTCAATAATGGTTGTGGTTTTAAAACAAAAACTCTGCATAATGGTGATATTTCTGCTCATTCAAATAGCTTTCGCATGAGTAAAAATCGACGTTCCAGGTTTTGATTGTAAATGGTCTCCTCTTAAATCATAAGTGGAGATCATAAACAGCCTCGGCGACGGTTCAACACTAAACCTTCATTGCAACTCCACTGACGACGATCTTGGCCTTAAACTTCTCGCTCCAAATAGATCTTGGTCGTTTTATTTTAGACCAAACATATGGGGATCGACGGTGTTTTCTTATCATTTTACATGGCCTCAAAGACAATCAAAACAGTTTAATATATACGATGATGTCAGAGATGGTGTCTACGGTGTTCGTCAAGAAGGGATTCCATGCATCTACTGTTTCTGGGATATAAGCAAAGATGGACCATGCAGGTTGAACGAGATAAATAACGCATTTGATATTTGTTATGACTGGAATAATGTTCGAAAGCAATGATTGTTTATTATTATTATTATTATTATTTAACATATTCAGAAAATAAAATTATTATTTTTCTTAACTTTTTAGCTAGAATAAACAAAATTGTCTTGATTGAGAAAAAATTATTAATAAAAAAATTATTTGATCTCTATCGAAACAACTCCATCGCTATATAAACAAAGCTTCTTCTTCTTAGATAAACGATGTGGGACGTTTTGATATCGTTAACCCACTTAATGGGCTCATTTACACTAAAAAGGCCTCTTTCCGATTTCTCGTGGGCCCGTTAACACTATCGAAGTACTCTTTCGAGAAGAAAACAACGGTGATATCACGATTACTCCTTATTCCTTTCGAATTAGTGATGACTTAACGTTGACCCGTTACCAGTTAACAACTTTACGTCAACTATTGATTGCGCTTAATGTTGAGAAGCAATATGAAGGTAAAGCCTCCGGTTGAGCAAGAGGTTTCTTCGACAAACAACATAAAGATTCAAAACGTCGTCGTTCATTTAGTAGATCCAGACACAAAACACAATTGGCCCAATAGAAGAATAAGCCCATACAAATGCAACCGGCAAATCAGCCCAATCTCCAACGGTCATCTTCTCTCACAAACGACAAAAGCAGAGTAAGACTGAATACAGAGCAAGGAAGGAAGAAATGCGCGACTTATTGTATGGTGAATCACATCGTAACACACAACCGATTTGATTTTGCTGGATCTCGACTCTCTATACGAAATCTGAGCTCGACACTTGTCACTAGGTGGTGCATTTCGTTTTTGTATAAGAAGGACCAAATGTAACTACAGAAAAAGAAAGAAATCAATAGACCTTGTTCTTCTTATTCATCCTTTGAGCTTTACTTTCAACAAAAGTTGAAACTAAAACTCGCTGAAACTACATGTGCATCACGAACAAGAAGACGCGTGACGAATGTTACATTTGGTCATAGCTCACGCGCACGTGACGTGTAAGTGAATAATACAAAAGTGGGAATTGTAAGAAAAGAGAATCTTTAAGAAGTAAGAAGACTAGAATGGATCTTTCACTGAAGTGTTGAAATTCAGAAGATAATAGCTTCTGAGTTAACACTCATCAACATTTCATTTACAGTTATCAAAATCACGTTTTGTTAGAGAGTATCAGTAAAACCAAAGGGCTGAAAATCATTTCAAGACTAGTTTTACTTTTACCAAATGCATTTTCTCTGCTAATCTTGACTTTGGCCAGAAGAGGGTCCAGCGTTAAACCCATGGGACTGCATCGGCTGTTGCGTTTGAGGCTGAAGTTGCTGCATTTGTGGACGATTCAGCGCAGGCCTTGATGCTGCTGCTGTATTGGGAAAAGCTTGGTGGTAATTGATTTCAATGGGGAAGCCAAAGTGTTGTCCTTGGTTGATTTGCTGCTGCTGGTTGAACATCATAGGCCTCGATGGAGCTTGAGCTGGGGATAGAAAGGGAACAACCTGCTCCTGATTGTACATCATTGGAGCTTGAAATGGGACTCCATTGGGAACAATCTGGTCCTGCTCCTGGTTGTACATCATTGGCCTCACTGGAGCTTGTCCTCGGACTAAAAAGGGAACAACATGGCCCTGTTGCATCCTCGGCCTCATCTGATTTAGACGTGGGTATACGTAAGGAACAATCTGGCCCTGTCCCTGGTTATACATCATTGGCCTCATCAGAGCTTGAAATGGGACTCCATTGGGAACATTCTGGTCCTGCTCCTGGCTGTACATCACTGGCCTCATTGGAGCTTGACATGGGACTAGATAGGGAACAACATGGTCCTGTTGCATCATGGTCATGTATACATAAGGAACAATCTGCCCCTGCCCCTGGTTATACATCATTGGCCTCATTGGAGCTTGACCTGGGACTAGATAAGGAACAACCTGGTCCTGATTGTGCATCATTGGCCTCATTGGAGCTTGAACTGGGACTACACTGGGACCAATCTGCACCTGCTGCTGCATACCAAAAGTTTGGTTGAAATGGTTCTGATCCTGCATTTCCCTCATCACCATTCGTTGCTGCTGATTTATGATCTGACCTCTTATCCATGTTGCATAGCTGCGATCTACGCGAGCAGGCCCTCGAAAAGTATTCTGATTTGGCATTAATGGCCTTGTAATCTGAGGTTCCCAAGGTGCACCGTTCGGATCAAACCCAGCTGCATTGTGCCTCTGTTGCTGCAGCTGCTGCACCACACCAAAAGACTGGTTGGAATCGTTCTGAACAGATCCACGGTTTGGTACTTTGAATCGCTGCGGCTGATTCATCGTTTGATCTCTCCCTCGAATCTGATTCTGATATGGAGGCTGAGCAGAAACACTACCACCAAATCCAAGATTTTCTTCAAGAGGTCCATAACGATTTGGGAGATGTAGACTCTGGTTCTGTTCATTCTTAAACGAGGTTGAGCCACGGTCACTCCAACGATTCTGATCGACACTTGGATTCGGAGGTAGAGGCTGAGGAATAAGACTATCAGTTGATCCATCATTTTCTTCAGGAGGCATCATCACTTCAGACATTTGAGCGCCAGAACGATGAACAAGACGCAAGTTCTGATCAGTTGTAGACGATGTTGAGCCACGGATCCTCGTACTCTGATTTAAGACTTGGATCATTAGTAACAAGACTACGACTAACCTAAAGCAAAATATTAATGGCGGAACAGGAAGCAGGCAAAAACAGAGACAATAAGCCTAGACACAATCTCTCGTGGTTCTTGATCATTGCAAAGTTTTTGGATTTACCGTAATCGAATCTTGTTGAGGATTCTCGTTTTCTTCGTCGGACTCGTTGTCTTCTATGCTGCGATTAGGAACAGAGTTGTTTGGATCAGAATCAAGAGAGCTCCCGAAAGCTTCCTCTTTGTGCTCATCTTCCTCTGTTCGCTCTTCTTCTACTACTTCTTCTTCAGTGGTTATGGCGGGAACAGACTTCTCTGCTCGATCTTCTTCTTCGACGGGTTTAAAGGGTTTATCAGGAGGAAACCCCGCCATGACCAGTGATCGAGAGCGATATAGTGAGAAAGAGAGTAAAAAGAATCAGCGAACAATGATGATACGAGAAAGAAACTTATAAAGGCCCGAGGGTTTAACAGATTAACAGAACAATAAAATGCCGTTATTTAACAAGATTCGAGAGTCTCAGGTTGAGAATTATAAAAAAGAAAATCTTTTAAGAAGATTATAGTGAAAAGGACTAAATTTGACTCCTTTCTTGTAATTAATAATGGTATTTTTAAAAATCAATACGTTCGGGTTCACAGTATAGTCAGGTTTATTGAATCTATACCATGTTTCAGAAGAATGTGGTCGAGGCATAAACAATTTTTTTACAGGAGAGGAGGTCTTCAATGAACAAAAATTACAAGCAGAGGCTGATTCAAGTTTAACAAACTAACAAAAACAATTTAAAGGAAAAAAATGGACTCTTATTGGCTGCAGAATCATCTTAAGCCTTCTTCACAAATCAGTGGAGATGACTTACTTTTTGTTTATGTCTTTGTTTTAATCCGTGGCTAGGCTCACCTGAACCATGATGCTCTCTTCGGATCATATCCAGAAAACCATGAACTAGGTTAGACATCAGTGGTCTGAATTCTGGTTTGAGCTCTATATCCATAAGATAAGCCATATCATCGTCAGGTAGAACATTGGCTTAACTTCTTGGATGGTACACGACAGCTTGCAATGTTGTCACCATCCTATGAGTATCAGCTTTGTAGAATTTTCATCCGCCATCAATTCAAAGACCTTTTCAAATGTGATTCTTCTGAGCTTGAAGCTGAAACATTTTCTGACGGCAATGGGTTTTCCAAATGAGAACTGTAAAAAATCCAGTATAAATGGTAGACATTAAGAGATTAACCGACACGACAAAGCTTAACAGAAACATGATCATCCATTTTTCTGTCTCTCAAAACCTGAAACCCTAAACATGTCTCTTCATCTTGCTAATGGGAGCTCCCTGTACAGTTTCCTCATTCCTTAAAACCCTTTCCTTATCCAATGAATGGTAATAATTCAGAAAAGAGACTGAATTTGTCTCTTCAAGACCTAACTTGATCCAAATTCTTAGTCTTTCGTACACAAACATAAAACACTAGGGATATTTTCTATGCAATTGACCAAACCAATACAAAGAAAAATGACTCAGTACATATTCAATCAAAGAAAATGTCAAATACCCATGAGCTAACTAATCACATACCATGACTAAATCCGAGTTGCAGACGATTTTTATATATTTTATCTTCTAAGAAAACAATTCGGAACATCATCGTTGTAAAACAATGGATGCTGCTGCAGAAATTAGCAACAACGATAAAATCAGGGTTTGAGAAAAAATTAGAAGCGTAAGAGGTTATAACATCAGAGATGCAACATCAACAAAAGAAAAATCGGATTTCAGAATCGATCTGTAAAATTTTTGGAAAAAAAAAAAATTTGGACCATTTCTCGATTTGTGCGTGTCATCCTTGCGCAGGGGCCATGCTAATCTTCTCTGTATCGTTCCAATTTTATCGGATGTCCCCGAAGGGACAATCACATCTTCGACGCCACCGCTATATAAACAAAGCTTCTTCTTCTTAGATAAACGATGTGGGACTTTTTGATAATGTGAAACCACTTAATGGGCTAATTTATATTAAAAGGCCTCTCTCTATTTTCTCTTGGGCCCATTAATACAGTCGCACCATAAATATTATTTCGATAAGAAACGACGCCGTTGGTAGTAAAGACAGAAGGCCTTCTCCACTTAATGGGCCCATTTACACTAAATAAGGCCTCTCTCCGATTTCTCGTGGGCCCAATAAAACTTTCGAGAAGAAACGACGGCGTTTGTAGTGAAAGTAGGTCCACCATCCGTCCGATGATAAACAAGACCTTGGTTGAAATGTTATCTGCTTCTGATCTTCTCGAGCCATCATCATCACTCCGTTATTGTTCTTCTTGTTTCTTGCGGCTACAAGGTTCAGCCACATCACCAAGAGGTGTGGAATCAAAATCAGGAAGCGAATCTTTGAAACAAAAGTTTAAGTGGTTCCTTGCAAGTTTCCAACTTTGGATCATCTTCTTCGACGGTTTTGGAGAATGGAAGAAGAAGATTCAGTGAAGAAGGAATATGAATATAGGTATAACAGCTCCGATTTGTTTGGACCTCTCCGTTGATCAGTTAATAAGTTACATGCACACACGCACACACACACACAACGCCAAACAATAAAACAGAGACCAAAGTTCAATGAGAGATTAAGTAACAAACAAGCAAATTCTTCGAGTTTTTCCAAGACAGGTTCAAAGAATCGAGTACACACTCTAAGAAACAGAGAGTTATTCTCCGACCAAAAAACACAAAAAAATACAGAGATTGATTCACATGAAATAAGCTCCTTCTTGGCTGCAGAATCAGGTTTAAGCCTTGGAGAATATGAAGCTTTTTTATGTCTTTGGTTTACTCCCCCTTATGTTGTTTGTTTCTGATATTTTGAAAGAAAGAAAAAATGTTTCTCTACCATTCACTGGTCTGCCCTAGGCTCGCCTGGACCAGGACGGCCTCCTCTTCTCCCACGGCTTCTCCTCCCACGACCTCTTGCTCCCCTGCCACGGTAATAAGATGGTCCAGCGTTGGACACCTGAGACTGCGTTTGGGGATTAAGGTTCGGCTCAGGACGTGACTGGGGAAAGCCAAAGTGCTGTGGGTTGGAGTTTTGGACAGAGATTTCAAAAGCATGGAGAATGGGATTGAGTTGGGGAAGTAAGGGTGCATTGTACTGCTGCTCAGTGACTTGATGAAAGCTAGTGATACCAACCATGCCTCCGATTGGTTGATTACGACGGTTATGGGCTTCGTATATAACTAAAGCCCCTTTTCCTCCTGACGTGGGAATAACTTGATACCGTATTGGAAGAGAACGATGGTGTTGGTACTGGTCTGGAGGAACCGGCATTGCATCTTCTGCACTGAAATGTTCATGACCTGCAGACAATGTTGACCCTTGTGCTCCACGGTTTGGAAGAACCGGCATTGCATCTTCTGCACTGAAATGTCTATGACCTGCAGACAATTTTGATCCTTGTGCTCCACGGTTTGTCTCTGTAACCTGACTTCCCCTGAACTGCTGCTGCATGCGAGAAGGGTGGTTGAAATGTATGACCTGCAGACAATGTTGATTCTTGAAGCAAGAAAAAAAAAACAGAGTATTTTCAAGATTACCGGAGATTGAACACCAACAGATTCTGTGACGTGCTGCGTTTCTTGAGTCACGTTCACGGATGGCTCCTGCCAGAATTTTACCATTAAGCAATCTTAATGACTTCCAAAATAAACTAAAACAGAACTTCAATGGCATCCTCTCCGTGTTCTTTTTGGGCTCATTACTCTTTTGTTGTTCAACTCTTTAACGCTGCTTAAGTTTATCAGAACCATCACATTTAAAGAAGTCGATCCAAATCAACCAAACGAGAAAAAAAAAAGAAAAAAAAAGGAATTTATGGGCTTTACCTCTATCACCGGATTCATGTTTCGGCCATCGTCGAAAAAAGCAAAGTCGCTCTCGTCTGCATCGAAGTTATCACGGGGGGGTCTATGAGTCCTAAACGAGCTGAGGCTATTAAGAATCGATTCTGTTGAACTAGGATCATGGTGATCTTGATCGACCTCATCTGTGATGGTTCTCGCTTGACCAACTTCCCCTTCTTGACTATCCATAGTGACTGAAAGATCGAAAGAGAAACGAGAGGCTCCAGAGAGAGAGAGAGAGAGAGAACGAGCGAGAGGCGAAAGAAAGTGAAAGAAACTTTAAAAAACGCGTGGCTTTTGACAGAAAAATTAAATTGTTGCGGTTGATTAGACGGTTAGTACGTTGAAGTTTGTTATACTACACCCACACTAAATACTCTGTTTTTTTGCTGCATTGGCTGCGTTTGGAGCCAAAAAAAGGCAAAAACTCTGTTTCTTGTACTACAAGTTTGTATCTGTTCACTACTAACTATTCTTTCTCTTTGTTGCCAACTTAGTCTGCATATGTTTGTCTAAAACCCGTTAAAGGTAGAGAATTGCTAAGAAATCAAACAGAGAACAAAAATTAGTACACAACTGGAGATATTCAGGACTATAAAACAAACCTAAACTGTTCTGGTTCTCTTGTGTATCTTGATACTCAACGACTGTTATTTGGTACCTGAGAAACAAAGGCAGATTCGATCCTTGATCTTATCACAAGCTCAGCAACAAACGACAACATAAACAGATATTCTCTCATAATGCAAGTCATCTCAGTAACTAACAATAAACTAAGATCCGTTGATTAGTAAGTACAATGTTTTAGATGAACATGTTACAGGCACAAACACACAACACTAAAAAGGAATACAACACAGAGCAAATTATATGATCTTTTAGGTACAAACACGTTCAAAGAATCAAGTAAACACACAATTTTGTAGAAGGAGGACTTTAACAAACAAAGGTTACACACAGGGATGACTCAAAAATTCACAGAAGAAATAAAACTAACGAAACTCCCCCCACCTATCGAATCATCTGCGATTTGGAGCAAGCACATTTCTCTTTTCCTTGAGCCAAATTCACATGAAATAAGCCTCTTTTGGCTGCAGAATCAGCTTCCTCTTTAAGATATGACTCGTTTTATGTCTTTGGTTTAGACCCCTTTTTTGTAGTTGTTTCTGAGAACTGAATAATCTCTTGTTTCCGCGAATTCACAGCGATGATCCGGAAAAAAAAAAACAAAGCTTCTTTACAATTCACTAGTCTGCGGTAGGCTCCCCTGAACCATGACGCTCTCTTCTGATCATATCTAGAAGATCCTGAACTACTTCAGACATCAACGGTCTGAATTCTGGTTCAGACTGTCACAAGAAAAGAAAAAAGAGAAACCCTTTTTGGTCAAGCAAAGCACAACCACAAGCATCTAATCACAGCTTTTCATTGTTCAATATATATATATGCTCTTACCTGAACACACCGGGAAATTATATCAGCAAAGTGTGACAATGACTTTGCAGGGTACTGTCCGTTAAGAGATGGATCAACCATTTTGCCTAAGGCATCGATATCATGAAGCTGTGGGATCGCCCACCTCACTAAGAACTGCTCTCCTCTACTCCGGTCCCTGTAAGATCGACACATATCAATACATACATACATCTGAGGCAAAGAACCTAAGCCAAGAAGACAACGTGATGCGCTTACCTGTCGTAGGACATTCTTCCCGTCAAGAGTTCTAACATAACGACGCCAAAACTGTATACATCACTCTGCCATGTATAGATTCCTGAGTCAAATTCTGGAGCTCCATATCCGTAAGCCGCTAGCAATTGTCCTGATAACTGGATTTATATAAATAGTTACAGTTGGTTTAGATCTTACAGGAGCCGATACATAAGAATCAAGCATGTTGGGCTTTAGTATTTTACCTGACTCACAGAGCCTGATGATATTAATGGGGCCAAACCACAGTCTGAGACAAGAACACTCAGATCATCGTCGAGTAGGACATTGGCTGATTTGAAGTTTCTGTGTACGATGGGTGGTTCACACACCTCATGCAAGTACCTTAATAACATTAACAAATGTCAGAAATGTTATTAAAAAATTTCATTTGTTGATGTAAAAAAAAAAAAAAACCAAGAAACTTACTCAAGGGCTCTAGCAGCTCCAAGTGCCATTCTGACACGAGTGTTCCATGAGAGTTGCTTCTTGAATTCATCGTCCGAATGCAACCCGTCTTGTAGTGTACCGTTGCTGCAGTACTCGTAGATCAATAGTCTTTGGTCGTGCTCAGCACAGTAACCCACAAGCTCGACGATATTGGCATGGCGAATCCTATCTATATCGTTCACTAGTTCGATGAATTCATGATCCTCTTGTTGTTCAGAAGCCCTCTTGTCTAACTTCTTGACAGCAAACAGCTGTAAAGACCAAAATCAAAAAAAATTAAAGATTCAGAAAACCCAAAACAGAGTTTTCTGAGCCAGAAAATGTTTTTGATTTCATTGCATTATACCTTTCCATTAGGAAGCCGAGCTCTATAAACGCTCCCGAGCATGCCTGAGCCAAGGAGATTTTCCTGAGAGAAGCTCTCTGTGTACTGTTGAAGAGATGCAATGGAATAGTGCTTCACAGAAGTTAAGGGTAAGCGTGTTTTAGGGGAAGGCTTCTTAAAGGTTCTTTCGGGAGATTTTATCGGCATAACGGTGACTTTCTCAGCCATAGGAGGAGGTGGCGGTGGCGGCGGAGGAGGAGGCGGCGGAGGCATCAGCATCGAAAAGTCGATGTCTTGACTTTCCTGTCGTGATATAGGAGGCGGCGCAGGTCTTTTCAACCGGTCAAGGTCATGCAAAACCTTTGGTTCCTCTCCAGCTTTCGTGAATGGTACTGTTCATAAGCACAATCCAAGCATTACTTATTGAAATGAGAATAAGGAAGCAAACGGCGAAACTTTGCATATCTCAATCTTCACTACCTTTTTCAGATCGTACAGGCGGTGGCAGTACGGGAGGACCGTTCTCTAGAGCATTCTCTCTGTTTCCTCTGTCAGCACCGACTTGATGCCGTTTAAAGACTCTATTACTTTGTTCCCTTCTTCGTCTTGCACATTTTGGCAGCAGCAAGAGTATAGCCAAAACAAGAATTATGAAGACGAGGACGCCAGCGAATGCTATGAGGACTATCCGTTTAGTATTCGAAGAGCTCTTTTTCCCTTTCGAATCGTCGGAGCTTGATCCTTCTGAAGCAGGAGGTCCATCAGCAGCTTTCCCTCGGTTCCTCTCGGTTGCAGGAGGTGGTGGAGCTCCGGAGAATGGCCGCGTCGGAGCTGGTTTTGTTGGAGATATGGACGGAGACAATGATGGTGCAATCGTGGTAGTGGAATTGAACAGGTTTCCTTCCTTTCTGCATCATCAATCAAATCTAAGCATAAACAGGAGCAACTGAAACAAAACCCTGAAATGGTCTCACAGGATTAGTGAAATGGTCTCATGGCACTTACAGGAATGTCGGAATGCCTAGCAGTTTGTCCGGAATGGGTCCAGAGAAGAGGTTATTCTCTATGTTTCTGTTTCCAAGATATGCATAAAAACAAAATAGCTTAAGACTTTTTGTAAGGGTTGTCACTGCTTAAGAGTTGGAACATTCTGTGAGAGAAAGAAACATTACAAGTCCTGAAGAGGAAGGCCTTGAAGAACGTCTAGAGTTCCCGAGAGCTGATTGTTCTGAACACGTCTGAGAAACTCAGATATCATCAGCTTTGGTAAGAGAACAAAGCAAGAGAGACTTAAGCGGGAAAGTAAAAAAAGAGCAAAACTTACAATGTTGTAAGAGTTGATAAATTCTCCATTGAAGGAGGCAATGTGCCGCTTAGATTGTTAGTTGATATATCTCTGCACAAAGATATCAGATCAACAAAACAACTCATAGAAACAGTAACTGTTGATCATCAAACTATAAAGAAGAAGATGCATACAGATTAATCAGACCAACAAGGTTTTGAAACACATCAGGTATCTCTCCTGAGAGAAGGTTATCGTTCAACGACCTGAAACGAAATTTAATGAGTTTCATCAGAAGGGATAGTTGGAAACAGATATTGGGAGTAACAAGAAACTTACATGTCATTCAGAAAACTCAATGTTCCTAAAGATTCCGGGATGGTTCCAGTGAATAGATTAGCTGAAAGAAAACTGCCAAAAGGTAAAGACCATTATTATACAAAACTGTTCAAAGCAACAAACTCTATTCAAAAAGATACATTGCTTAGGTATATATATACTTACAAATGCTGCAATGTAACTGGCAAATTAGAAGGTATGCTTCCTCCAATGCGATTGTTGCTAAAGTCTCTGGAGATAATCAAAGCAAATACAAAACGTTACAAGAAATATCCAAACTTGACGTAATCGAAATCGTCACATTTTTGTTTCTACAGACTTACATTCCCCTGATAGAAGTGAACTTAGCTAAGTTGTCACCAAGCTCTCCTCCCAAATTCGCCGCATTCACAGTTCTGTAACCATTCAAGAAAGAATTAACAGAAAAACAATCAAAAGAAAAAATAAGTTAATTATCTTTGAAAAGACCGTACATGCTTATTATATCTGAAACGTTGCAGATAATGCCTTGCCAAGCTTCACCACATGGGTCTCCACCAGAAGCAATCCAACCGGGAAGAACAGGTGCGCCAAGCGCAGCGAATAAGCCATTAATTGCAGCAACTGGTTCAATTATAGCAATGTTGCTTAATTACCAGAAGACTCTGGAAGAAATTCTCAAGCAATATACACAGATCTCACTTCTAATTTTCAGTATAGACAAAATGTAAATCTAGAAACCAAAATTGCAGCTTTTTCCTGAGATTATCATGGAGGGAAAAAAGTGATTACCATCATCAGGGTTAGTAGCAGCAAAGGAGATCGAAGGAGTCCAAATCAGCAAAGACAAGAGCAGAGGAAGAAAAAGACAGTAGATCTTAGAACAGCCGAGCTGTGTAATAGATCTCTTAGCAGCCATTGTTCGAAGTCAGAATGAAGTAACCAGCATTAATCGAACACGACGATGCCTAGGAATCTGTAAAGTAAACAAAACCATCAAAATCGAACAAAAACCATGATGAAAGCGACAAGATTCATAGCCAATCGAAGGGGAAATAAACAAGCAAGTAGCAATCTCGAGAAGAGAAAAGAAAAAAACTTACTGGAAAAGCAGAGGAATCGTCATCAACGTTCTTAATGGTTGGTGAATTAAACGAAAAGGGGAAAGTCTTTTCCTTTAATTACAAAAACCCAATCCGGAAAAAAATGCAAACTTTTTTATTTTTTTTATGTGGGTGAGAATGAGATTTAAGACGCAACGTAAGAGCTAAGGTTCAATGAACTTTCGTCATTGAAGTAAGTTTTACCCTCAATAATTTGACACTCAACAAGAATCTGCGCGACACACGAGGAATTCAAAGGAAAAAACCAAAAAACCCAGAACGGAAAAAAGGAAACTTTTTTTCTAATTTCAGGGAGAAGAAACCAAAGAATGGGACCAAAACCTAAGAGGAAGTAACTGAAGAAATTAAGAAATTGAGTAATTGGGTTTTGGGTTTGTAAGAGAAAGAGTTAGTTCTTCTTTTACTGAAACAACCAAGAAACTCTGTTCATGGGAATTTGATTTTTTTAATTAATTTTTTATTTAGAAACAAAATTAAATTTGACCAATGCTACTGTTGCTTCAGATCAGTACTACAACCATGTGAATATAATACCATAATTAATCAATGAAAAAACTCTGTTAATTAATCAATGATTCAAGTCCATAATGTTGTACAACTGTAACCCTTTATTTATGTTTAGGGCAAGTTGCGTCTTGGTCTATTTGGTCTTCTTTAAGAATCTAATCCGACCAGAGAGACTTGTTTCAAAGTTGTCAATTTTTAAGGACAATAACGAGAATAATTGGTTGTTAGTTAACACAGTTTGGTTAATCGGTTTATACCAACGGTTTATACCAACGGTTTATACCAACGGTTTATACAAAACGTTGAAAGACACGCGCTTTGACAAGCGCGTGTGGGGTGGAGATAAAGAAGGGCCGGTGAAAAGTGGCAACGGTAAAGACAAAAGTAGCCGCAAGGAAAGAAGAAAAAAAAAAGTTCAGTTGGAATTGGATTCTCACTACTGTTTTCTTGCTGGCGAGTGTCACGTGCTCTTCACTGTCAGATGACGTCACTCGCTATCTACATACACTTCCACGTCAGCTCCTCATCCACTCTCTAGTCTTCTTATTTTGGTTCTGATTAATCTAATTATGGTTGGACAACATAAGTATTACTACAATTTTTTTGATATGAAATTGAGTTTCGAAGAATCTTTATTCCGACACTTATATATCATCTTGAAAATGCTTGAATTGTTTGTTTGTGTTGCACGCATTGGATGATGAAAAACGTAATGGATTCTCCTTACCTCAAGTCTAGCCATGAGATTATCATAAAACATATAAGCCGTAGAATCTTCCATTTTCAGTATCCATTCAAAACAAAAGCCCGATATCATATGATTCTAACACATAATGTAGTTTCAGTTCACATACTTTGTTCAACAGTAACATTTGTGGTTAAAGGGGAGGTAGGTTCTTGGTTTATGGAGTTTTATAAATTAATAGAACTTTTAGATTTCATTATTTTTGGTTAATAAATTAATTTTGACATAAGCCATTATGTTCATTGAAAAAGAAAATGAATATCTTATTTTGTGGTAAGAAATTCGCTTACATTGTTATACAGGCAGAGTTGGATCGCGATGGCCCAACAATCTCTGATATTATTTGGCTTGGTTAATTCTGGACATTGGAATGTGATGTGTGGAGCTCTTCATTAAAGTAAAAAAAATTGCCAGTTTTGGAGTTTTGTTTGAGAAAAATAAATGTTTTTAAAATACAGCGATTAATGAGATGGTGCCATGGTGGATTTCTTTCGATCGTTGGAGAAATGACATGTCAGCATCTTTATATATGTAATCGATCTTGCTAACTAACAGTACTTCTTTTTAAGTTTCACTAAACATGAAAAAATTTCTACAATGGGGAATAACCGAGTTCTAAAGGTTGGGCTATTTTTAAGGCCTCTCAACATATACAAGCGTGCGTTGGAGAGAGTAAAAAAGCCCACACAGAGCCTTTTCTCCAATTCGGCGAGTCACGTGGCTAAACTGACATGTATATATGTAATGCATACGTTGTACTCCTTCCGTTTTATATTAAGTGTTATTTAGAGAAAATGTATCTGCATTGTAATTGGATGTATCTGAATGTGTTTTGAATTTAATACATCCAAATACATTACAGATACATTTTCTCTAAATGATACTTATTATGAAATAGAGAGAGTATATGATTATGAAGTATGTATGTGTGTACTAGTATATTGTATGTATCGTTAGAATTCGTCTAGTTTTTAATTGGGTATATGATGGGTTAGGTACGATGTAAAAGCAAGAAATATGTGCCACATTTTGTTAATAATACAGTATGCATCGCTTTCTCACTAACTGTTCTCTTTTATCAAGATGTCTTCTTCACTTCCTCAATTTCAACATCTAATAAATGTTTTTTTGTTTTATGAATTCAACTTGGCCACTTGTCTTTGCCTTTGCCTTTTACTTGTGTGTTTCTGACATGTTTTTCTTGGTATTTAATTGAGTTTTTTTTATTATTTTTTTGGGATCAAATTTTATTGTATTCCTAACAATCCATACATCAATTATAAAGGCATGCAAAAAACTACACGAACTACTAAAATATTTGAATTTCCATCATAATCTATAAAAACATGGTCGAAACTAACAAACTATAGACACCATGACTTCAATCGTTAGTTGCCGATGACTGGATAACACATGGTAACTACAAAACGAAGTCGTTTTATTTTGTTAGAAATTAACAAAAAAACTATCGGGTCTTCTTTATCATCTCTTGTTTTCTGATTTGGGAAAAAATTGCTTAGAATCCTAGAATCAATCCAGTGATGTCCAGTGCCACGAGTAATGTTCAAGGGCTTCGATTGAATCATCCACTAGTCGGTTAAGAAGTGGGAGAGTCGCGGGTGTGCCCAAGAGATGTCGGTGTGGCAAGGAGATTTTTGCTTTGATATCTAAATCTGATAAAAATTCTTACTGTCGATATTATCATTGTGGTTATGCTGTATCAAAGAAGGTAATATGAATTGCTTATAATTTGTAAATCTACTAAAAACTATGAACTCATAAAAATCAAAGTTTGCTTAACTCATTGTCAAAATTTCAGACGGGAAATACAATTCAAAATATCCAATGCTTATGCTTCTTCCTTAAAATCTAAACTACACCTCTGTTAGTCAATTTGGATCGACGTCTAGACAAAAATTCTTCTTTTTCTTTCTTTTTAGCTCTCATAAATTCTAGCTATCGTTCGTCTTATCATAGGATCCGTGAAATCTGATTATCAATTTGTGGTTTCTGAAAATGATATCGTTTTGTGTTTTCTCACACCCAAATTTTAAAACGACTTCATTTTGTAGTTACCACGTGTCGTCCAGTCATCGGCAACAACTAACGATTGAAGTCACGTCTACCGTTTGTTGGTTTCGACTATAAAAATATAGATTATGATGGAAATTCAAATATTTTAGTAGTTCGTATAGTTTTTGGCATGCTTTTATAGTTGATGTATGAATTATTAGGAACACATATAGTTCACTGTGGAATTGACTATTTTTCTCATTTTTCTCCCTTTTTTGCTATTGCCTTTTTTGAAAAACTAATGCAAAAATATGATTGATCTGACGTTGTGAAATGATAGGCATATCCTAGTAGATGAATAAATTTATATACTCGAAACTTTAAGCAAAGATTAACATTATTCGTTTATTTATTCCCTGTAAATGGTCAAATCTGAGTACAACACTAACACAGCCGCCATGGAATCACGTAGACAAAAACACCAAACTGGATTTTAAAAAAAAAACTGGTTTTCTAGTCATAAGCCGAAATGCGAAGTCTTTTGACAGTAGAATCATCAAGTATCTTGAGCATAACCGAGTTGGTCGTACACCTAGGAGTCTTGAACTGGTTCAAGCCACCACATTTCCCAACGCATCTTTCCGCCACTTTCCCAAACGTGCCTCGTTCCACGACTCGTAGCTCGAGCGGTCCGATCGACTTCATACGCCTCGACGTAACGTAACCATGGTCCACAAAGCCAGCATCCATCTCTCTGCAACACTCTTCAAGAGCTTTATCCTCTGCATCTCCTCTGATTTCCCAGTAGATTATGTAGTGACCGGGACGAGCTGTAACGTCTGCGTGGCTCGTAAAGTCGACAACTTCCGCTTTCGTGGTTCGGCTCAGAAGCTGAGACGCCTTGTCCACTACTCTCTGCAGATCCTTCTCTGTGTTCTTGTCAATGTTGATGGTTAAGATGAGTTTCCTTCTGTATATGAAACTTAGCTTCGGTGTGCCTTTGTGAAAACCGGTCACTTCGACCACGTCTCCTAATCTGTACCTGTAAAGACCTGAACAGAGCGCACAAAGTAGAAGGCGATAAAACAGAGGAAGTGAAGAAACAGAGGCAGTGATGAAACAGAGAAGCGATGAGGCAGCCTTAAGCTCGTTAAATGCAAGTGGGGAGGTTTTCTTTACCTGTGAAAGTGGTAAGCACAAGCTCGTACTCCTGTCCGATTCTGACTTGAGAGAGGGGCACAGGTTTTTCTTCGACAAAGTCACCGTCACTACATATGTCTTGGTGATTCTGCTGCCTGTGAAGTGGTATAAACTCGAAGTAACTAAAAGTGGGAATCACAGCAAAGCTCACGTCTTCGGGAGGAAGATGAGGATCAACGTTCACGCCGATCCAACTCTCCGTTGACCCATAATCTGCGCTCACCAGAGGCAAACCTCCAGCGTAATGCCTCAGCTTTGTCAGGTATGGCAACATGGAGCCTGTCATGATTGAGGAGATGTATTTTGCGTTTGGCCATAGTTTAGGAATCAAACCCAACCACCCGAGATTTGACTCCAGCTCTGTGCAGATCTCTTCGATATGAGAAGCAAGAGATGGGTTTGGTCTGATGAGAGCCAACACAGCTTTTCTCGTCTTGGGCAGAGTGATTCTCGAGCTGAGAGTGCCGTCCTTGATGTCATCACATATCTCTCTCCAGATTTCTTGGAAAAAGGAGAAAGCTTGGACAATGGTGTATGAAAAAGCAGAGGCGACAAACTCCACTTGGCTTGAGAAATGGAGACCAAGTAGGAGATGACAATACGTGCTCTGCGCAAAATCACCTCCCGAGATGACCTCTTGTGGGCTACAAGTGAAGGACTTTGTTGTCTCTTGCTTAGTTCTAAACTCTTTGCTCGCGTAGTAATGCGTTGTGGCTGTTCCTACCGTCAATCCTCCTAGCGTCTTGAATTCCTTCCCGGCGTATATAAACTCAAGAATCCTCCCTCCTTCCTTTATTGGATAAAACCTTCAAGCATAGTAGGAGGTGCTGGTGAGCGAATAAAGAAACTTTCAATGGAGAAGAAAGGACAAGGAGTGGAGAAAAAGAAGAAACCTTGATCTGTAAGCAGCTGATAATCTGAAAATCTGAAGAGTAGTTTGAGAACTATGGCGAGTGAAAGGAACATACTTTTGTCTCCCTTCTGTTGTTCCAGAGCTGTGGTCAAAAACGAATCAAGAGAAGAAGATATATCATACAACATACACAAATTCAAAGATGCATATAATATACTCATGTAACAGAAAATGAACCTGAGGGACAGAACAGTGATGGGTTCTTGAGTAAGTAAAGGAGAAGTCTCTCCATCTGCAATTCTCTGGATATAAGGATCTAGCTCAGCATGTGAAACAATAGGCACCAAGGAAGTAAAGAGGGTTTCCAAGGTGTAGTCGTCCATCTCTTGTACATTAGCAGTCCCAAGCCATTTCCTCAGATACTCCACACCGGAGTTGAGCTCAAGAATCCGGCGTAGCGTCTGGCTTTGGACCTTGCAGGCTTTCTCCGACACATGCTCGAACCAACCGATAACATCATCATGCCCAGCTTCTGCAGATTCCATCCAAGAATCAGCCTTTTTTTAAGGTACTAGTGTATATCTGAGCGATGCAAAATGAGTAGAATTCTTAACCCAACATATAGGGGGAGTAGTGGTCATTGACCACTCTCCTTGTCTGCAGACAAAAAGAAATGATTTTTTTCTTTCTGTGTATTATTGTTCTCACCTCATTTGTCTTTTTGATATTGAAAAAAACATCTCAGATACATCCATGAATGTCACGGAGATTACCGTCCACACGTTCTACATTCACTTATCATAGCTATTAATGCGTTTTCACACAGACCTAAAGAGTATCACTGTCTCAACATGTGCTCCAGTAACAAACCTTAACCACAATGTATTCTACACTCATCCAGAGTGGTCCCATGATAAGTCTTCTTGCCCTCTAAAAATCAAAACCCCTTGATCTTGTCAGATCTCTTTCAAGTTTGAACTCCTTTTCTGCAATGATGCAGTGAATATAGTCCAAGTATTAGGTAAAGAATCAAATGAAGAGAGCTACCAAACACCTACTTGAGCAATTCCAGCAATAGAAATTTTGGTTCTTTCTAGAATGTGACCAGTCCCTGATGCTTGTTTCTCTGCATATATTTGGGGTAAGCATGTAGGGCCATGCTACTAGCCATCACATGTTGCACACAAGATATTTTTGCACCTTGGTGCAGGCTGTCTCTTCCCTCAGCCTCAACCTTCACAGGCCCACCACCACTTTTAATGGATCAAAACATTAAAGTCTCTTTCTCTCTTCCTTTTTTCCGTGTAGCTAACCACAAGAAAATCCCATCAAGGTAGGTTTGCAGGTCAATGACTTTTGCCTCAGTATCTTGATCGTTTTATTAATGCCTTAAACATCTTATCAAGCTCTGCAAAAGGAACTTCCAATGACGATTTTGTATATCCATTAACTTCAAAAAAAAAGCAGAAACGTCAACAGCTCATCTTCATCACCGAGATGCCCATACAAGAAAAACGTGGGAAGTATATGAGCAGTCTCTGAGACATTTGAAGCTAACAAACTTTTTGTCCTCTTACAGATGCATCTTATAAACGTGCAGCAGATGTCTACATTTGACTTGGCCTTCCTTACATTTGCCGTAATCTTTTTCCAAACTATATGCATTGGGCAGAACCTTAGAGTTCATTCTCATCAATATCTTGATACAAAGCTAGACAGGAATCAAAACTATTCTGCATAAACATCAACACATCCCCATTGATCATGGCTGTTGCGAGTGACAACAACAAACAACGGTCTGATCCTGCAACTGTAAATGACCTCAAAGACGTGCTTTTTCGAACCAATGAACAAGTATACAAAGTGGGTTCGATCTCATTGTCTCCCTCTGCTTCTGCCATCTCAAGCTTTCCACCAATATGCGAAGATCATCCGATTTTAAAATACAAAGGAAACAGATTTGGGCGGTAGAATGATAAGGAGCTTGGAACAGAACCCGTCTAGATTAGATTCCGCAGAAGCCTGAACCATCCAGGAGGTAAGATTTTGGATCACGAGTCGTCTTCACCAAATCTAATAGAGGCAGAATCTCAGAAATCAGAACCTTCCAATAAAATAGCTTTCGTCCAATTCGTTTGATCGGAATATTTCCCATTTCCCAAACTGGCGAATCGGCGGCGGCCACGGTGAATACAGTCCTTTCAACATGTCTAGGTCTTAAACCAGCCCGGCGTGGCTGATACCAGATGGTCCTATGGTCTAGTGGTCAGGACATTGGACTCTGAATCCAGTAACCCGAGTTCAAGTCTCGGTAGGACCTATTTTTTCGCCTTTTTGTTAGGAGTCAGCAAACCGGTTTTGATTTGAAGAAATTCCTCTAGCCGATCGGTTTACTTTAGTTGAATTTTCTCCGGTTCGGTTCGGTCAATATTCGTAAGGCTATAATACCGTTTGGTCACCGAGCAAAAAAGTCTGCATTTTCGCTTTCTTCCGTGGTGAGATTCTTCTACTGCATTCGTAAGGATCCTCCTTTGAGAAGTGTGAAACCCATGGCAGCTCTATGTTGTTCTTCCACCATCATCGTCTCCGGGAAGTTTTCTCCACGGATTAGAACCCACAATCAGTTCCCCAGACTCAACCGTTTAAAGAATCAGAAACGATTGATTACAGGGAGAAGAAGTTTGATCGTTGGATCGATCATTGAAGACAGAGAAGCAATCGATATGAAGAGTGACAACTTCGAGCCAGAAGAAGTACAAAAGGTAGAAGAAGATATGAATAGAGACACAGATCGGTTGATGAGTCGAGGAATCAACGCAGCCATAGTTCTCGCCGCCGGTACCGTTGCGGTTACCAAGCTTTTATCCATCGATCATGACTATTGGCAAGTAAGCTTAGGGTTTTTTTTCTCTCTGTTTTGATTAATTGATTCTTCGATTTCTGCAAAAGCTTTCTCCTTTTAATATCCATTGTTTGTTTATACTTTCCTTCTTAGGGTTGGACTCTGTACGAGGTACTTAGGTATGCACCTGAACACAACTGGGTTGCGTATGAGCAAATTCTCAAAACAAACCCAGTTTTGGCGAAAATGGCCATCAGTGGAATTGTTTATTCTCTAGGAGATTGGATTGCACAAGTAAACAACAACAACAAAGAAACTAAAAACCCTTCTAAAAAGCTTCTCAATTTGAGCTCTCTCTTGACCATTTTGGCTGTAAAATTTTATGCAGTGTTACGAGGGAAAACCGCTGTTTGAGTTTGATCGAACTCGTGTACTTAGATCAGGTCTTGTTGGATTCACCCTCCATGGTTCACTCTCTCATTATTACTACCAATTCTGCGAGGTGAAGAAATCAATAATCTTTTTTTCTGTCAAGATCGGTTGTTTGATACAATAAGCTGAAGCTATATCTGTTTCCTTTACAAGGCCCTGTTTCCTTTTCAAGAATGGTGGGTAGTTCCTGCAAAAGTTGCGTTTGATCAAACCGTATGGTCAGCAATTTGGAACACTATCTACTTCACGGTTCTAGGGCTCTTGCGGTTTCAGTCCCCAGGAGAAGTTTTCGGCGAAATCAAGACAACGTTTTGGCCAATGATCACTGTGAGTCTGTGATTATCTCTCCTTGCTTAAAGTGAGTCTCTTTTTTACCTTTTTTGCTAAATGTAATTGTGATAATTTTGTTTGTACAGGCAGGCTGGAAACTCTGGCCATTGGCTCACTTGGTTACGTACGGTGTGATTCCTGTAGACCAAAGGCTTCTTTGGGTGGATTGTATTGAACTCATTTGGGTCACTATATTGTCGACGTGAGTCTTTCTTCATCTTTAATCTCTATTTGAATATAGTGCACGTAATGGTCATAAAGAGGAGTTTTAGTGCACGTAATGGTCATGAAGAGGAGTTTTAGTTTCGCTGATATCGTTACCTGATTTGATTTCTTGAAGTTACTCAAATGAAAAAGCAGAGGCGCAAGCATCATCAGGAGAAACAGACTCCATTACTACTCACTCGAGCAAGGTTTATGACTGCTCCTTCTGTTTCAAGAATCTCTCTTCAAAATTCAATCTTGAGCATTTGGATGTTTGTCCTTATCGTTTTTCTAAGCTGCTTTGTTATCTGCAACAGGACTAGTTGATATCAGCATGTAGATTCAAGATTCTATAGACTGCAAGCCAAAGGTGATGAAGAACATCAAGCACAGTTTTTTTTTTTCTTTCTTATATAGATAGAAACCTAAAACATGTATATATACATTTGATTCATGAGATTCCAAGAGAGAATCGATGTAGCAAATCTATTGTGCAATACATCAAACACGAAACACTAGCCAACAACAACAACAACAAAGAAAGAAAGATTGAGCGGCTCACAATGCTCAGGCATAAGAACAGCAACGCACACGTACAATGTCTTCAAGATCAGTACTACTCAGAAATAACATTAAGTTTCATCTCAGGTCTTCTTGGACTTTTCTTCAGAGAATCTCGGAAGCTGAACGAGAGAGTTCACTCGTGTAACACCTTCTAGCCCCAACCAGTTTTGATCTCCCACAGTTTTGCCGTCCTCTGCATCAGTCTCTGTATTCACAGTATTACCGCAAGTCTCATTTTCTTGATCTGATGATGATCTAACTGTGAAGTTTCTTTGTAGACATGGTTCCGACCTTTGGCCATCATCTGATTCTACTGCATTTGTGGCTGAAGAGAAGCCCTGTTCATCGTAATCCGACTCAGAATCCATCTTCCCATCAAGAAACAAACACACCACTGCACAGTCGTCCATTTTCGAAGTTGGGTACTTCAGTTTCCATTCACGCGCAGCAGAGTTCACCAAGATCCTAGCTGCTGATGCCCGGCTTGAAGCTGAAGCTACAATATCAACCACTTCTTCGTTGCTTAGCACATCCCAAACCTGTTCAATCGAAGCTCACAGATCAGTAAAGCCTTTGTCTTGTGAGACTCAAAAAATGACAAGATCATCCGGTTATCTTACTCCATCTGAGGCAAGAACAATGAATTGATCTTTGTCTGTAAGAACACGGTGAGTGAACTCGGGTATCGAAATGACTCCATACTCTTTCAGACAGAAATCACCAAACGCCCTAGCCATGGCCAATCCAGGCGCATCATCAAAAGGTAGCCAAACACGCGACACCTCTGGCTCGTCTTGCAGCGCAAAAACTCGACCTTTACACCGTTTGATCCTCTCAGCTTCCCCTATCATACCCACAGCACCAGTAAGACAAACGCACATACGCCAGGAAGAAAAAAAGATTGTGAAAAAGTGGTAAGCATACTCGGTAAATCCGGCTTCAGATCAACTGTTAGTTGAGTTGCCACCATAGTATCGTTACTGTCTTTCGATCCAAGGATGGCGCGAGAATCCCCAATGTTTCCCATGAAGAGATTAGACCCCTGAACGATCGAAAGACAACATCTTAGAACAGAGGAAAACATGCTTAAAGCTGAAAAGAGAGCTCTTTTGTTGCTCTTCAAGTTTTTACCTGTTTGAGGATTGTTACAGCAGTGCTGCCACTACAGAAAGAGTCCACATTAGGATGAGAACGCAGCTCCTTATCCATGGCTTTAAAAGATTTCAAGAAAGCTTCTCCCCACAAGCCTTTTAGTTTATCCTCATCAGATCCTTCTTTCACAGCTTCTTGTACAGCCGATTTGCTTGAGTTTCTTCTGAACAGAGTTCCTTTAGAACCGTTTTGCTTCGACTGAAGCGTATGAAAGAAAGACTGCAACTTCACAGGCAATGTGTCTCTCACTTTACGAGCAACAAGATGACCATAAGGGCCATGACCATCAAACACACCACAAAAGGTCACATCTTCAGACATAAAATCCTACAAAAGCAACACCATGCTCTGCTTTATAGCTATCCATATTGTTAGAAATACAAAAGAGAGAGTGAAAGAAGAACTCACTTCCCACACAATCATGGCGTCCTGATTAATACCCTTGCGTCCTTGTTGAGTGAAAATGCAAGAGCCCCTGCTCTTGCTGCTGGTGATGATCCGATTTGGTATAGAGTTCAAGTTCTGCAATTGGACGATGTGGTCTGAAAACGTTCTCTTGGCCCTTTTGCTCACACAACAACCGATCCCAAGATATTGTCGAGGCACAGGCTTCTCTCCATTGCTCCAGCTGCTGCACGTACTCTTACTACTAGTGGACACACAACCTCCCATTGTTCAATTCAATCCCAGCGTAGACGATTGTTCTGTAGACAAAAAAAGACTCCTTTTTGTCCCAGAAACAGATCTTTAATGTTGAGCTGAAGCAGAAATTTGGTCAAGCAGAGAGCCTTTAATAGTATATACTTCGATATAGCCTGGACACCATACAGAGAATAGTTAATTGAATAGTTTCAGTAAGCCTCAACATGTCGTAAAGAACAAATATTCCAGCATGTGATATTAGCAATAGAGTAGTGTATATATTACTAAATAGACTGTCCTCATTGTTTGTCACCTACACATTACCAGACTTGGGGATCTTATTAATCTATGTTCTGGTTTTGTTTACTAATCCCTGTGATTTAATTTAATCTAAGTAGGACCTACATGAATACAAGAAAATAAGAAAAAAAGTAGACAAGATCAAGAACAATGTTTGCTGCCATATGTCTATATACACATGAGTCCAAACGGGCCCTCATGAATATCTCTTTGTAGAAGACACAAATTTGTTCTTTACATCTTCTTCCTAAATACCATATTTCATACTCTACATAGATTTTTCATCCACTTTCTCTGTGGCTGTATAATTCATGAACTAGACACGTAAATGCAAAGTTCTGAAGAACAGAGACTAAGCAACAGTAAAGCAGCCATTTTCGGGGTAAAGCGATTCACTTTTTAGGAATCCAATGTAGTTAAAGTGACTCAGGGAAAAGAGAATACTGGAGTATTCTGTGAAATTTCCCGGAAACCAAACTACTGAAACTGGTGCAGAGTGAAGAAGAGGATTAAAACAAAAAAAGTAAATGTTTGAGCAAATCACAGAGGCCTTAAACATGGTAACAACTAGAAATCCACATAAAGAGAAACAGATCATTCACATATGAGAAGAATGAGCGATTTAAAATGCAAAAGAAGGCACCTTTTGTGATGTGTTGCTGTAGATCAAGAACAGATGATTCACAGAGAAGGAGTGTGGGAAGTGCGAGAGAGAAAGAGAGTTTACTGATGTGTAAGCTATAGCAGAATGGGATCTCATTAATTGAAGTGTGAAAAAAGAACACAGGAGAGAGATAAAAGGAGTTTATTATTTTCACCAAAGAAATTATCTTTTATTTTCTTTTATGAAATAGCATGTAACTTTTTTGTCAACAACAAAGGTTATTGGATGATTTGCTTTTAAATTCACTTCTTTTTTTGGTTCAAAAACTTCAAAATGGATTTAAGTTTAAACTTTGAATTTTAAAGTATTTCTTTGTGGAATAAAATTTCTAAATTTAGAATGGTTTGATTTCTAAAATACGTTAGATGGTGATTGTTCATGTATTGTTTAAAACCGTGACGCAAAGGGGGGAAAAATACGTATTTGGATCAAAGACTTTTTTTTTTTTTTTTTAGTGTCGCAAGCTATGATGATGATGATTAGGATGGGCCTGATTCATCACTAACAGTAATACCTGTTTTCCCATCACCTACATGATTCACTCCTTTTTTTTTGTACCAAACTTTATTTTATTTACTTTAATGATGTTACTTGTCCAATGATTTTTACGCATTTACACAAGTTCTGACTTTTTCAGATTTGTGTGTGTGTATGCAATTTAATTTTTGTAAGTGACAATTCATCCACTTGGATTCACTCTTTAAAACTTTTCTAGTTGTGTTGAAAAATACGTATGTAAAATGTGTAATCCTCTTTATAGTGTTCATACTTTGAGGGAGTTCACAAATCATTTTCATTTCATTTGATTTACTTTTATTTTTTCCCTCCTTTGTGTTTCCTAATTAAAGCGACACGACTATCAAGATGAGATTTTGATGCGCACTACAAAATCGATATGTTGTTCTTCCACTTTTTTTCTCCACATCCTTTTTCTTCATCTTTTTCTTGTAGATTCATTTTTATATTGTTGTTTGAAATAAAGGTTGCAACTTAGTTTAGATTGATCGATTTTACATTTGCAAAGACTTATCATATAAGGTTCCTTTGGCTTTACAAAACACTAAGATCCATGAAACTAATGTAGTATCGATATAGCTTTATGATATTTATCTGATTGATTCGCACTTTAAAAAATTTTGTAATAAGAAAACAAAAAAAGAGACATGATTGGTGACTGGTGAGCATAGTAACATATAGATCACAATTTTCCCAATTTCTCCGTGTTGACAAACCTTCACGGATTTTACCACTTACTTTTGTTTTTCTCATTCCTCACCCCAAAACATTAAACCAATTAATCGATCGCAAATATTTATTTTCCACTTTTCAAGTTTTAAAGATGATGATGCATGTTACTTGTTTAGTATAGTGGCCCTTATACCAGGTCATCGACGATATCTTCATATCAACATAGGGCTTAATTGGTCATATTATAGCTAAAGGAAAAAAACTGTAAATATTATACGTCGGCCAATAATATAATCATTGTTTTTCTTATCATGAATACTACATAGTGGAAAAAAAGATGACATAGTGGCATGCAATTCTGCCAAATAATGTTAACAAATTACTTATGAGAGCTGTATGTTTAATTTTTCTGTAAATAATTTGTTACTCTTTCCATTTTTTAAAAATATTTTTTTAGTTTCTTTTTCTTATTTGTTAATGTTAAATATAAAAAAAATAAGTTTTCTATGCATCTTCATACATTAAAAAACTTGTTTCCCTTCTTACTTTTTTTACTACGTACGTACACCGATTTGGTGTAACCAATGGTACGTATAGATATCAAACTCGTTTGATATCTTTGATTAGAATGACTAGTCTAGAGCCTAATCTCATCACAGCCACAAGAACTATGCAATAATATACACAGTAAATTACAAAAGGCTCGAAATCTATTCATAAAAATTCATAAAACAAGAAAAGAGAGAAAGGCATGGGAAGTACGTAAAAAGGATACCTAGAAGGAAAAAGAACGGCATCATCATCATCATCCCATGTGTATGATATGATATGATAGCGATTGTCGTCATGTGGTGGTGGGTCACTTTCACGGTTTTTCACCATATTATATGTATAACCCATTTATTCATTGAATCGTTTTCTCGAACTGTATATATTACACGCAAAAAATGATCATTGAACTCTCTCATTTCCTAAGCTCTGCTTTATAGTTCTAGACGATAGTTTATACATGTGCCGCATGCCGTATTATGGCCTTTGGTGTTTTTCTTAAACAGTTTTTTTCATCTCTAATTCTGAATATGAATTGCCCAAATCGCAACTGTGAAATACGGTCAAGAAGGTTAATTCTTCAATTTAACACCAACCCGAAGATAGGGTAACATAGTTAATGCCTCACTCGTTTACCTTCATAAATTACATATAAACACAATAAGTAAACTTTTATTTTTCTTTTCCGAGCAGTGAATGAATGTGGGTTTTTAGTTTATTTTTAAAGTATTATTTCCTCCGTTTCAAAATAAGTGTCGTTTTAGAGTTTTATTTTTGTTTCACAAAGAGTGTCGTTTTGCATTTCCAATACAATTTTTTTAACAAAAATCATGTTTTAACCCTGTTATATTAATGTATTAATTAGAAAGAAAATATTATTTTGTGTGTGAATAAAGGGTAAAACAGAATTTTTAATACTTTTTTTAATTTGTGTGAAAAATGTCAAAATGACACTTATTTTGAGATAGAGAGATTACATTTTTATGCATTAAAATTTGAAGTAGTTAAGTTTGGCATCACGGTTTTTTAAAAATTTGTATATTTACGTGTTGGTGATGATTTTATAACGGTAAAATGATGGTGTATATGGAAGTTAAATCAAAATTGTCCAAAAGGCCTCGAAAGTCTAATTGGGCCTATAAAAACTATTGGGTTGGGGTAAGATATTAAATAAGAGCCCAGAATCCTATCTCAAATACGCTGAGTGAGATCCAAAGCAATTGATATTTCCTATGTTTCATCCTTAAAGCGTACGATGTAGATAGCGCCAGGTGGCCGAAATCTAACGCTACAACGTTACTTTCATGACCCTCATTTTCAGCTCCCAAATCCCGACAATGCCCTCAGCCACCACCACACCCATCAATGATCAAACCCATACAGCCGCCGCATAAACCGGTCATTTCTCATCCGGTTTTGTCGATAAAAACCAGATTTTAATAGTCTTGCAAATTCGATTGTTAAAAACTAGGATATGTGATTGAATATGTGAATGAAGTCTCTTCGTGGGGCCAATAAAAAGAAAAGTATGTATTAAATATAAAACTAAAAGATTGGATATGTGTGAATTCTTTTCGTGGGCCCAATAAAAAAATTAAGGCGTCTGTAAATTATCTGCCACGCGTAACGAAAACATGGGGCGAATTCCAAAACCACAAACTTCAGAAAAAAAAACTATGCTAGAAATAAAGGTATAAAATGATTGGTTATGTAATTTATTTTAATATAGTTTTATTTTTAAGATTTGGATACTGGATAAAGCTTACCAAGTTGTTACATTTCCACGTATTTGACGTTTTACACGTGACCACCGTAGTCGTACCGATCGTTCTTTGTTTTGTTTGTCGCCACCGTAGTACTGCCGATCAATACCGTGATGATACTTTTTTATTTAAGTTTTTGAATAACGTGATATTTTAATTATTATTTTTACTAAAGGTAGTCATCATTTTTTTTTGTTATAACTATTTTTAACTAGCTAATTTCTTAATTTAACTACTCGGTTCACAAAGAATTTCCCCATTATCAACAATTATAAATGAAGGTAATTACTCGGTTCACAAAGAATTTTCCCATTATCAACAATTATAAATGAAGGAAATCGAATAATATTTACATGGCATTTGATTAGCAAGATCTTTGTATCTAATGACATAGTAATATTTTGGAATTGAGATATTAATGACTACTTGAAGTAGCAAATCTACTAATTACTACTCCATATCACAAAGTTACGAACTATGTACATACAGGATCGTAGGTTTTACGAAGTATAAGGTTTTTTTTGTTAACTAAGAGCATTGAAATTAAGAAGCCATAAATGTTTTTATTTTCAACTTAAAAAAGCTTTTAATATTTAGTTAAAAGTAAAACCAACCTAACTCTAATGAAAAGAAATATTGTTGAAATACAATTTGTCATATCATATTAAATAGGTATAGATTATGTATATAAATTTAATATCATATTAAAATGAAACAACAAAAAGATTATAAAACATCGATCTTATATATAATTAAGAAGATAGGGAATATATCTGTTGCATAGGAAGAGCCCATCGATCTTAGTTATTATTGTAACTAGCAACTTAATTATATATATCTAGTATTGTCCCCTTTTTTATATATATATATCTTAAAAATGATTAAAAGTAGGAAGAATCTAATATTTTATAATTTTATGTATTTTCTCAATTAGTATGAATCCACAATTCAAATGCAATATATGATATTAAATCTAAATTGCTAGATTCATGTAATAAACCATCCACATATCTGTATGCACCTTGTAAATGAAAAAACAAATAGGTGCATGTATTTATGAATCAATATACAATATGCACATATTTTCTTTGTATTTTCCCTTAACGACATGGTGTTATGATAGCCAATCAAGATATATGGCAGAAGTAGAACATAGTATTCGAAAAAATTCCAGTACAAAGTTAGGCAGCCTAATTAAATATACATCTGTAAATACGTATATATTTAATATATCAGATACCATACTTTTCAAATACGACATGATCAGATAGCGTTTTTGGTTATGTGTAATGTAAATATATCAATGTCTCTTGTCTATAATACCAATCGAACAAAATTTCGAGAACCTATCTTCTTCTAGTATTTTTAGACAACACTTAAATATGCAAAAGGTTGTTAAGTGTAATTGGCTATTAATTATTCTATAATCTTCTAATCGTCGAATAAGCAAGGCTAATTGAGTTGATGAGGAACTAAAAAGAGATTAAAAAAAAAAGAAAACAAAACCACGTGAGGATCATGAGATGTGGACGAGGAAAATCGTCAAACTTTGAGATAATCTTTGATTAGGTGTACCCTTAATTTCAGAACCTTCTCTCTCTAAATTTTGTCTTATTGAACTTTTTATTTATTTCATTTTATCTTTCTATATATTTTATTAAATTTTCTTTAATTAAAAAAAGGAAAAACCCAAAAGAGAGGATTTTGATCAAGTAAAAGAAAGAATTTTTGATGAGAAAGCAAACGATTCTATTTCTCACCTTTATTTAATATATATATATATATATATATAACACCCATCTCTGTTTCGTTTCCTTTGTGTCAAGAATTTACCGAGAAAGTTTTGAGTTTTCCGGGATAATTGTTCAGGGAAGGAGGGAGAGAGAGAGAGAGAGAGAGAGAGAGAGAGAGAGACAACAAAAAAAACCTCTGCTTGACAAATTGGGTCTTTTCTTTTCTTGTCTAAGTCTGCATTTTTCTCGTCTCTTTCATTATTTTTCTCTCATTTTCTCGCTTTAATTCTCGATTTGAAGGCCATATATCATCGACGTGTGTGTGGCATTCGAAAATCAAAACTGCAGACAGAGAAGAAATAAAAAAACAGAAAAAAAATCAACACACTTATCGATTTTTAAAAGGGGTTTTCGCATTTCGTTTTTTGGATCATAGAAACAAACAAACAAAACAACCGGAAAATCGGCTCTCTCCACAGAAAAAAAAAATTAAAAAGACTTTTCTTTCTTCTGCAAGTAACTGAGCAGATTTCGGTTTTTTTCTTTCTTTCTTCAATTTCTCTCATTTTATAAAAAAATAAATAAAAATTTCTCGTCCATAATTTCCGTTTCCCTTAAATTCAGCTGTCCTAACGTCAAAACTCAGACACTCGCTTGCGTGTCTCCCTCTTAAAATCCCAAATTCGTTTTTTTCTCTCTGTTTCTGGGACATTTCAAAGAAGAATCAAGAAACCCAATCTCTCTCTCTTAGACAGGAATCATGGTGTTTGGAAAAGGGTCAACCAAAAAATCGAACCTTGACCGGTTCCTCCATTGCACAACACCTGTAGTGCCACCCCAATCTCTCCCCAAGGTCTGAATCCTTCTTCCTTCTCTTAATGGTAAATGATCGATGATGTTATATCTAAAATGATTTTTTTTTTTTTGTGTGGGTTGGGTTGAATTTTGCAGACGGAGGTTAGGAGCTTAAACCGGATTTGGCATCCATCGGAGAGAGAAAAGGTTGAGTTTTTCAGATTGAGTGATTTGTGGGATTGTTACGATGAATGGAGCGCTTATGGAGCTGGTGTTCCTATTCGTCTCACCAATGGAGAATCTCTTGTTCAATATTATGTTCCTTATCTCTCTGCTATCCAGATTTTCACCTCTCGCTCTTCCTTGATCCGCTTAAGGTATACAATTAAATTGCCGCTTTTGATACGTTTCATCTGATAAATGAAACCCGTTTTCGTTGAGATGTGAAAGTTTGATCCTTTTGATTAGTCTGTTGAATCTTTGAACACGCGAGATGTTGATTCCTTTTATGTTGTTGATTAGGGATGAGTCTGAAGATGGGGAAAGTGACACGAGAGATTCGTTTAGTGATTCGTATAGTGAAGAGAGTGAAAGTGATAAACTCTCGAGATGTGCCTCTGAGGAAGGACTTGACCAGGACGCTCTCTTGCATCCGAATGATCGGTTGGGCTATCTTTATCTGCAGCACTTTGAGAGATCAGCTCCTTATGCTCGTGTTCCTCTCATGGATAAGGTATTCAATGTAGCTCCTTTCTCCTCCTCACCCTCATTGATCTTTGCTTGGATCTTCGATGTAGACTTGAAAATGACACATGATGGTATTGGTTTCAGATCAATGAATTGGCCCGAAGGTACCCTGGACTCATGTCGTTGAGAAGCGTTGATCTTTCTCCGGCGAGTTGGATGGCTGTAGCTTGGTACCCTATTTACCATATACCAATGGGAAGGACTATCAAAGATCTCTCCACTTGTTTCCTCACTTACCACACTCTTTCATCTTCTTTCCAAGGTACTACTATGTCCTTCAATGGCGTTATTATATATCTCGCAAGAAGTTGTAACCATTATGGTTTCTTGATTTACAGATATGGAGCCAGAAGAAAACGGTGGGGAGAAGGAGAGGGCTCGGAAGGAAGGAGAAGGCGTAACTTTGCTGCCTTTCGGGTTAGCCACATACAAGATGCAAGGCAATGTTTGGCTCTCTGAAGACGACCAAGGTCAAGACCAAGAGCGAGTTGTGTCGCTTCTAAGTGTTGCTGATTCTTGGCTGAAACAGCTAAGAGTCCAGCACCATGACTTCAACTACTTCTCAAGAATGGCTCATCGTGGCTAAACAAAACCCGTCGTCGCTATACCAATGATCTTCAACTGTAGAGTTTTCATATAATCTCTTTTTGTTTTTTCTTGTTGGTCTCAAGTGAAAAGGAGTTACCTTTTTTTTTTTTTCCCCTGGTCGCAATAACCGTGTTTGTTCACTGGTTGGGAGCATTAGCAGTGGCAGTGGCGAGGAGGCTCAAAAACCGTTGACAGAGCGTTTTCCTTAAACGCAATTTAAGCGGTTGCTGCGTTTTGGGTGTAGAATAGCTTTTGAGTCCTATCCAAGAGAAATGTCGTATGTTATTATAAAAAAAAAATTGCTGATCTGTTGAAGAAGAGTGTTTTTCTTGTTTCTTGATAACATTGATGGAGAGGGTCTTGTTCTTGTACCTCAATAGTAACATTTTAATGAAATAGTAAACGTAACAATCTAATCATCTTTGTAATTGATTTTACGCAATTATATAAATCGAAATTGAGGATTTTAAATTATGTCTTCAACCATTTATGTTTTTATTGTTCATCGAACCACCTAGTTGATGGAAGAATATCACTTTTGATGTAATCATATTAACTAATTAATATTTACAGAAAATATACCTAATTTACTACAGATTCACTATTTAATACTTCATACACCATGCCTTTTTTCTTTTGGCTATTTTCAATTTATCATCTGATATTAGAGAGACAACATTTTGAAAGTTAATGCATAGCTGATTTCTTAAAATTTAATTTCCCATATATTTCGAATTAATTTCATAATACTGTAAAATCAATTTGTTTTTTTTTAAGAGATACAGTAATTTTAATTTGTGAAAATATATTAAAATGGGATACAAAAAAAAAAGACATGTTGTAATATGGAAAAAAGTGGGACCTTTTTGAGGACAAAAATGTCAAACATGTGATGGAGAAAAACAGAAAAATGTGGACCTCTTAGATTGAAAATTGACTTGATGGAGTGTTCAGTGTTATGGTCCCTCCACCGAATTTTCTAGACCTTCTAATTTTTTTTTTTTGCTTACTTAAATGGAACGAATCATTTTCCTAACAAGTAGAAAAGGAAGAAGCTCGTCAAGTGGTCGGCCCATTTCATTTTCTCGTAATAAATAATCATATTAATCCTGCTTTAATAATATTTTCATTACTTGCAAACAGAAGAAACAATCTAAAGAATTGAAGAAAATGATGTTTTGGGGTTTCTTCTCGACCTGATTTCACGTTGTAGATGTGGTGAAGACTTTTAAGAAGTATCTAATTCCGAAAATGACCACTGTTATATTATTATTTTGTTAAGTTGAAATGACCAGGATTGCTTAGTTTTTATTTATTTTTTAAAGTCCACCACTATTACTTCATTTTCAAACTCAATATCCAAAATTATTTCTTCTGTTAAACAGTAAGGACCGTCTTAGAGAAAATGCTCCCATGTGCATTTTAAGAGTTAGGACACATTTTATTGTGACCATTATCTACATTTTAAAATCTTAAACATGATCCATTATAATTTTGAGCTGGTCCTGCTAAAGTGCTAATACAAGACAGCCAGCGAAAAATATGTATGTAGGGTGTGATTCAAGTGAATTGGAGAAATTAGTTGTTGATATTACATTTAACAGAACCAATACATTCTTTTGAAAAATGTTACATAAACCAACCACACTTGGAGTTCCTATTACTTGTTTTCATCATAATTGAATTGATTCGTTGGACCAATTAAATACCTTATCTTGTTTGGCTATTGATCTCGGTTTAATGTAACACTGACGATGGGATATGATTTATTTAACAAAAATTAGTTCAGATTACGTCTTATCTAATAAAATCAACTATAAACCACTAACCATACCATACAAACAAAAAAAATAAGCACACAAGTGTCTAACCCCTAAGATATATATATTTAATAAAAGAGTTAAAAGAGTTCAACAACCAACAAGCCACGAACATTTGAGAGTACCAAAGTCAAATATGCGGTTTTGATATATATCCACTTAATGATATTTTTCTGTTTATGCTCCACATTCGCATCATACATAGACCAGCAATAGCGTTACCTGCTTATGTTATTTCTTTATATCTTTTTGGAAAATGTTACCGAACATGTTCTCGTCCCATCATCATATGATGATCACAAACCTCATAATGGATTTTTTTTTTTAATTTTATTTTGTTGGTTCTGCTTTTGGTAGCATTTTTGGGGTCCATCTTAATTCTGGACATGTAGTCGGCATATGTTTTCTTGAAGATCAAAATATAATCTTATAACCAGCCTTTAGTTACTGGATTTATAGTTGAAGAGTCCTATTTGATATAATGCATTATTATATTCTTCTTTGACATCAATAGAGGCGAAGACCTCATCTTCGAAGACTTTTGGATCCGTTTACTAAAGACGCGGGTTAATAAACTTGTCATGGCTCACAATTTAAAAACCGGACCGGCTTTTATATTAACAACTATATCGAAGTCAGACAGGACCAATCTATCAAGTTCATCAATGTTTATATGGCAGTTTGGGCCAGACATCAGCTAGAACCGAATTTTAAGCTACAAAAAGGCTATCAGAAACATTATCTCTGTATCTAGAATCCGATTCTTTAAATCTATCAATGGTGAGCATAAATGCTCATAAGACAACTGGATCAGTGAATGGAAAAACCATATGAACCCACAACTATTATTGTATCATCGATTCATCGGGGTTTAAATTTATGAAAACGTGTCAATAACCCGATACAACCTTTTATCATCATTGAATGATTGACGCTAAAGACGTTATGGAAATTTTAAGAATATAAAATAGGGAATTTTCTAGGGATGTATGTACACATCAGTTCATTTTATAGAAAGAGACGTAGGTTTGGTTAGTCACGTTGTTATGGGCTCAACACAGCCTAAATGTGGTCCAATTTTTCGTACCAAGTGGCCAAGCAGATTTCCTTGGACTTGTCCCTAAGTTTTTAGTTGAGTCCGGTCCCCCTATGGCTCTATATAGATACTTAACCGCCAAAAAAGTCAGCTGCGTTCTGATAGATTTGATCCTGGTTTTGGGCAGATAACAATCTCTTCAAGGAACTTCTTCAAAGCCAAATACACGAAAACGTTTAAACACCTTTAACTCTATCATAACTATTGACTGCGACATGTCCCAAGACTTTGTAGGAAAAACCGATACAAAGGTGATCTCGTGCAATGGGACGAGCAGCTTGTTGATATATATATATATGACTGAGACTTCAATAAAGACAAGTAAAGTTCATCTGCGGTTTCAGAGATGCCATGGCAAGTAATCAGGGGTCACATTAGGTTCTACCTAACCCTGGTTGCATTTAACATAACTGGACTGTTCAAAGAACTTAATACCCCGATGATTCGGTTTTTCTTCCTGCCTTTTCAATCAGCAAATGTTATGTACCCAAAGAGGACCACGAGAAAACACTAAAACCAAAACAAGTCGCTAGCGAAACTAGTTAGTTACTCAAGACTTACCTATACTGTTAGCTACCACAGGTTGAGAGAACGGCCTAAGCCGCTCAAAGTCATGGGTCTACTGAAGCTGGTATAAGCGCTCGTCTTTGTTTGAGAATCACCTCTCCAAAGGAAGAAAGTGTTGTAGAGAAGGCAAAGAAATTGCGGGAGGTTAGCAAGAAACTAGTTGGTTGATTTAAACATGTAAAGAGGTTTCGCATATGATTTCATGGGATTTACTATCACAATCAGTGTTAATACTTAATAGCGTGGAAAAAAAAACTCTAGAAACTTTGTCAGGGGTTAGTTGCTTACACTGTCTAAAGAAGCTTTGGAGTGGATTTTATGACTTGTACCACACGCCAATCTTAGACACCACGAAGGCCAAGGCATGAAAGGAACAACAAATTAATTGATCAGCAAGACACGAGCAAAACAAAAGATTAATAGTTGTGAACTATATATAGCACGCAGAAACTCACAAAGAAGACTGAAGCATTCAGTAAACTGAGAATTCTACAAGTATCTGGTGAAAACACTCCAGCAAATCAATATCAGTTCTCGCTACTGAAGAAAAACATGAACAGCTAAAAAGTTGAACCTGCAAAGAGAAAAACAAGAGCTAAGGTGTAATGTGCTAAGAGTATGATCATGGAAAACAAAAGAAATTTTGTTACTCTCAAGCAGCCTTCTCTTCCTTGCTCAATGCAATCACGACTTTCTTCAAGATGCTCTCGACAGGCTGATGTGCATTCTCCACCGCTTTGGAGATGGCTTGCCACTTCTCACCATGCTTCGGCTCACTAGCTACACATTTGGCAAGGACCTCCTTCTGGAGCTCTTCAGAGCCATGTTGAAGTTCAAATTTGTAGTACAACGCCCAGAAATCACCAACATCTGGGGCGAGGGTCACAGCTCGTTGAAACCACACTCTGGCTTTCTCCACCTTCTTGTCTTGCCAGAAGAGCTTGGCGACAGCTGCAGTGACATGCGGGTTATGATCACACTTTCTCAGAGCATCCAGACTCTTTGTTTTCCGGCGAGGACGTGGCGTCATCTCAATGTCAGCAGCCCAGAGGATGCCACTGGTGGGACACTCTTGCAGAGCTTTTGCCATCAAGTGCTCCGCCTCTCTCTTGTTGTCGTGCCTCAGTTCAATACGAATAGCAGCTAACCATAGCTCAGCCTCCTGAGGATTCCTCTTACGGGCTATGGTGAGGATACCCCGAGCTTTGCTCACCCCATTCACTTTCTCTTCAAGATTGGCGCGTGCGAGCCACAACGGTATGCAGTGAGGACAGTGATCCAAACCAGAGCCATAAGCTTTCCTGGCCTGTTCCAGATGCTTGAACCGTTCCTCGAGCTGCCCAAGCATCAACCAAAGCTTGAAGAATCTTGGAAATTTCTTCAAACCTTCATCAAGCAATCTCCTCTCCTCCTCTACGTTGCCAAGTTCTCTCTCAACAATGGCCGATTTCATCCAGACCCTCTCAGTCCCTCCTCTTTCCCTTGCTTTTGCGAGAAGCATTCTCGCCCTCTCCGGCTCCTTGTTCTCAAATTCGAGCTTGAAAGCAGCAAGCCAGATTTCCTCAGAGTCGGGAATTGCAGCATAGGCCTCTTGAAGAATAGCACGGGCTGCTGGAACATCTCCAGCAAGCCACTTCTCTTTGGCACCCATGAGCCAGAGAACCTCAGCCTGAGGGACGTATGTCACAGCCTTACGCAACAAGGCATCAAGGGACTCCCTACTCCCGTGGCTCTTCTCAAGCTGCGCCGCGTTAAGCCAGATACTCTTCTTGGTCAAGAATACAGTAAGAGCATGAGCGTATATTGCCCTTGCGGTCTCAATGGAACCCCTCTTCTTGCACTCATCTGCATCAGCAACCCAGGTCCTCTTTCTATCCTCCTCCTCGACTCCAATACCGATGGTGCTCTTAATAATTGCCTGGCATGTTGCGACAGACCCGGCTCTTTCCGAGGCCTCGGCCTCACTCATCCAATTTTCTCGGTCAATAACAACCCCTTCTGCCTGCAGAGCCTTTATACCCCTATCAATAATCTTTCCCACCATACCCGCGTTCCCATTAGCTTCCTCTAGCTTAGCAGCGGTGATCCAAATCGCAGGCTCCTTGGGGAGCTTCAGTCTTGCTCTATTCAACACCTTCTTTGAAACATCGTATGTTTCAAGCCTCGCAAGCGCCACCCATAGCTCCAGATGCAAAGGGCAGCATTCCACAGCCCTGTGGAGCAAGATCCTTGCATCTTCCTCATTAGCCAACTCAACAACAGCCTTCCATAGCCTTACCGAGTCTGGAATATGCTCCAGTCCCTTTCTCAGCACCCTACTCTTGTTCCCTTCATCATGCTCCAGCTTTGCAGCCTCCAACCATAGCTTCACCGAATTGGGTATTAGCTTAACTCCCTTTGCAATCACCGCCTTGGCATCTTCTGGATTGGCCAACCTACAAGCTTCAAGCCAAACATCCTCGTTTTTCGGGCACTCCTCGCAGCCCCTCTGAATCTGAAGCCTAGCTGCTTTTATCTTCCCATCCATTTCCTCCACTCTAGCGGCAGCAATCCAGCCATTAGGATTCTTTGGATTCGACTGGGTCAAACTCTTGTACAGCAATCTAGCTCTGTTGCGATCGTAAATCTCTTCGTCAGTGGTTCTCTTCATACTCTTCAGGTCAGTTAAGTAGCCTTTAGGATCCACAACAGTTTGCCCCGATACTGAATCCGATAACCTATCAAGCTTCAGAGACAACACCGTACCTCTTCCCTCACCGACGGCAGTCAAGTCTGTCTGCGACCATGGCGTCTCCGACCCACCAGCCGCTCGGCTCTTTGGGTCTAAGGCCATGACAAGCTCTTTTTCCTTCTTAGCCTTCTCCAAGAGCGTATCAGGAATAGGCACAAAGCTCTCAAACCTCTTCTTCTTGTTACGCAGCGAGTGATCCCCAATCTCGGGAATACTATCCCATTCATCCGCAGACAAAGTGTGCAGTTTCCTCTTCAAATCCGCAAACTGCTCAGTAATTTTAGGGTTTGAGGCTCGGTATTTCTCGATTTCTTCCTTGAGTTTCGCTTCTCTCTTATCTTTCCTCCTCGAATCCATCCTCTGATCAATAGCCTCCCAGATCGCGTCAGCCTCTTTGTCATCATCATCATACTCGGCATTAGCAAACAAACCCGCATCATTCCCTTCAAACTCATCAAACGTCTGATTCTCATCGTACCCTTTTTCCTCAGCTTCTTCATCGTCATCCGCCTCACTTGGCTTCCCTGCCCCTCGACCGACTCCGGGAGCAGCCGCTGTAGCCGCGGCGGACCGATCAGGCAGATCCGGAGCAGCACGAGCGGGACCAATATCGGACCGGGTAGTAAATCCTGTAGCACCACGACCCAAACCCGCGACATAATTTGACGGAGGCCTCGAATTGAGGAAATCGAGACGAGGCTTCGGCGGAGCCGCTCCTTGCATCCCACCCAATAGAGGGACATGGATAATGACAGTAGTGAAACGACAAACACCGAGATCGGATAGTAGGACAGAATCGGAAATCTTTGAATCTCCGAACATACGGCTAGGGTTTCGCATACGGAGCGAGTAACGAACGAAATGTTGAGGGAGGTCGGTGCGTTGGTGAACCAATTGCTCGAAGGCGGAGATGGTGGTCGAATTAGGATTCACATCGATCGATAGAGTTTTCCCGTTGGGAACCGCAAGGAGCACCATTGTTTCCTAATCGAAAGTGATTCTCGGGACAAAGCAACAAACCGAAGAGAAAAACGTAAAAAACAACTGGCGACCGCGAATATAAAGGGGATGGATGAAGTCGGCTCAGAGACAAAGGCGGTGTAATATGCAGTGGGCTTAGTAATTGGACTTAAATCCCGTTATTGGTAAAGGCCCAGTTAAAGAACGCTCTCTCTGGCGGTGTTTATTTTGTTGGTCTTAGACGACGTCGTTATAGCGTTTCTCTTATTTCTCATAAAAAAATCAAAAGATGATAAAAATGCGGTGAGCGTGATCGAACACGCGACCTTCAGATCTTCAGTCTGACGCTCTCCCAACTGAGCTATCCCCGCTTGTTGATTACGTTGCAGAAATATAAATTATATCACTATATTTGACTGATAATGAAAAGTGAAAAACAGTTCAACATAACATTCTTCTGATTCAGGCCATCTTCATGGAATGCATTGGGCATGTGGCATCTTTATACGAAAATATTATTTTAAACAAAACAGAGTACATGGCAAGCATAACTAAACCACATTGCGTACTTAGCTAGAAAAACTTATAATGTGCATGGACAGCATAACTAAAAGCACATGACTGATAATGAGAAACCTTGTATTGCAAGTATTTCTACAAAACATTCTTCTGATTCAGGTCATGACATCTTCATGGAATTCATTGGGCATGTGGTCTCTTCATACGAAAATATCATTATAACAAAACAGAGTACATGGCAAACTGAATGTAGAAACACATGAGTGATAATGAGAAACCTTGTATTGCAAGCACTTCTACAGAACGTTCTTCTGATTCAGGCCATCTTCATGGAATTTCATCGGGCATGTGGCCTTTTCATACGAAAATATCATTATAACTACAATACATGAGCGAGTAAAAAAGGTTATGATGTGAAAACAAAAAACAACAACTGAATCAAATAGATAAAGAAGATGTGATTTGGACTTTCCCACTTGAATCACAGAGAGGTTTGACTAGAGCCAGTGGTGTGATGTGTTTCAGCATCATCTTCATCAGCAACATAGGATACGGAGATAAAGACAGCATTGAGGATTTATAAAGACGTAAGCCTGCAATATATGAGCCAAACGTAAGGGGAAATGATAGAAGAAATAATGACATTGATGTATATAATGAGATTTGGCTATCATAAGAGGAGCATTGTTGTATGCCATAGCAAAGAAGGCTCGATAGAATGCAGCTGACATGAAGAATAGAGCCAAGAGCATCACCCAGATAAGAGTAACTATTGCTACAAAACAAGAACCATTTTATAATTTAGGCCATCTTATAACCAACAAAAACAAATCTAAAATGCGGTGAGCGTGGATCGAACACGCGACCTTCAGATCTTCAGTCTGACGCTCTCCCAACTGAGCTATCCCCGCTTGTTGTCTACAATGAGTTAATAATTTAGAAGTGCATTGACAAAACTGTATCTCCTTGATAACAAAGTAACTTCTAGTTTTGGCCATATGTTGAAGAATCGTTTTCAATTACACACACTTTATACATATGTATAACGAGTTCATATATCTTCAGTCAGTAGAACGTATGGTCTAAATTCTCTAACCAGTAACCACTCGCCAAAATATTCTAACGAACGGTGGAAACAACTCTACATACAAGAACATTGTTTTGCAAAACAGAGTGTGTACAAGCCTACAAGGCAACCACAAATAAAGCACATGCGATATATCTTGTACCAAGAAAAGCTAATTACATGTCGACAACAACTGAATCAAATAGAATTAAAAGGCACTTTCGGCTCTTTTTCATTTGGTCATGCACGGGTTTGAGCAGAGCCAGAGGTGTGATATGTTTCAGCATCGTCTTCATCAACAAACCGCAATAGAATCCCTATACATATATTCATTGACCTACCAATACCTGAGCCAACATAAGGTGCAAGGACATAAAAGAGCAGATAAGAAAACGGAACTTGTACACAGTTGATGAAGACCACAAGAAGTTTGTTGCGGCTTGTTGTAGCCAGCACGCCGTAAAGAAATGCGAATATCATGGAGGTTATAGCCAAAGACAGATACTGCACGGCCAACTGAAAAGCTCTGTCATCAAGGTCTGGATCTCCGGTCTGAGCCCAGAACAGAGCAACTATTGCTACCATAGAGCTTAGCATTGCCAAAATGTCAGATACCACAAAGAAGACGAAGTTGTGGTTACTTGAGTTTAGAGAAAGTAAGTTATTGTCTAAAACGGCCATGCCCGAGCTGTTGAAACCTCCCGGTACTGTAATACCTGCGGCAAATGTTACTGTCGCTATAAGAGTTGCCACCACTAGGAGTGCATTGACCCGGTCTTTGTACTTGCTAGCATCTACGCTTCTTAGTGTCATCCCACTTGCGGGTATCCTTTCATAACGTTTTGGTTTGTAAGCAGATATCAAGACCATCAATGTCATTCTCTGATATATTCCAAGAAAGACACAAAGAAAAAGTCATAACATATTGTTACAATTACAAATAGATAAGAGATATATCAGATTATTACCTCCCGGAAGATGTAGTTGGATTGTAAGTTCATCTCTGCAATATCAAGTGATGTCAAGCCATCTTTGTTTCGTATCTTTAAGATTTTGGTGGCATTTGAAGAAAAGCTAATAAGGTCCTTAGCAGTTCGAGGACGCCAGTTTATGGTGGCTAGATGCAAAGGTGTATTCCCATCCTCATCTTGCTCCTCAAGTAAATGACTCTCCTCCTTGTCAAGTCTCTTGATATACTTGAAAAGCAAAGGTCTAGCTTTCCCACTCTTTGCTGCAATGTGAAGGATGTTCTGACCATGTTTGTTGACCAGCTCTATCGAATCCGGAAAGCGTTTTAGTATCTCTTTGACAACATCAACATGACCTTTCTCTACTGCCATATGGATTGGAAAAGAACCATCATCGTTGCACTCAAATACGCTTGACGTTGAACGGTCTAACAGCTTGCATACTCCTTTATAAAACCCTACCGATGCTCCAAATGAAAGACACGTCCTTCCATCTTCGTCTCGTTCATTGACAAGACTTGGCTCTTCATTAAGAATCGCATCGAGGATATCTACTCAAAATAAACCGTAAGTTCAGTTAATCTCTTGAGGAAAAGGAACATAAACACAGCTCAAATAGGAAACATAACCAAACCTCTATTCTTCGCCTTTAAAGCTGCGTGTACAAGAGATTTTCTTCCTTCTAACTTTGAGGCTAAGTTAGATATTTGACCTTCCAACATCGCTTTCACTAGGGCTAGATCTCCAGCTTCTACAGCCATATACAAGGGAGATACTCCGTCGTTATTCTCAAGAAATGATGCAACCTGGTTCGCTTTTACGAGGCAGAGAGCGGTCTCCAGATGACCTCCCTTCAATGCTGCGTGCAGAGGAGTATCTCCATCTATGTCTCTGAGAACATATACATTAAATCTCACCCGCTCTTCCTCAGACAATATCTTAGCTGAAAAATATGTTATCGATGCAACAAGAGTCTTAACAGCGTCTAAACGACCAGCATGAGCAGCAACATGGAGTGGAATCTTATGCTTCCAGTTTGGCTCCAAAAGAAGAGACGGGCATCCAGAGATTATGCTCTTGACTAGTTTGAAATGACCAAAAGCAGCAGCAATGTGAAGAATAGAATCTCCCTTATCGTTCTTGAGACATGCCATTGGTGTTTCACAGCTTCTCATCTTCACTAGGGATGCTCTGTTCCCTGCTCTCATTGCGCTTAAGATCTCCGGATTCATTGGCACGGATTCACCAGGGAGGTTGTAAAGATCCGACAGTATGAGATTGGTAAGAAACTCTGGGACAGATTCCGTATGCGGCGTGCAGCAGTCTATGATCAGAGTCAGGGGGAAGCAGTTTAGTTTCTGTTGCTCAATAGACACACTCATTGATGCTCTCTGTGCTTTTAATACGTTCTCTAGAACAGTCAATGCAAGCTTGTAGCGCAAACTGTTGAAATTGAAAAGAAAGAAAAGTTTCAGTTTCAGTTTCACGCTTAAAAAGGCAGACCCATACTCATATATAGCAAGAAGAAGGAAGATAGAAGGAGACTTACAGAAGCTTGACCCTAATAGTGATAATTACAAAATCTATTGACTTGACCAATTCGATTGGAAGGAGGAAAAAGCTTTAATTGCCAAAGGCCTTTCTCATGACCCCACAATAAAACATCACTAGTGTAGGTTTAAAGTTCAAACAAATATAATCAAACACTCACTATGACAAACCAGTTCAAGTATGAATTCATGACTTTTGAGCTTTGATTTTGAAAAGTTCATTAAACCAAAACACCAAGTTGAAGAAATGTCAAGCAAAGTGGTTCCACTCATTTCATGGTTCTTTCGGATGTACAGCTCATGTCTGAAATTTCTAAGTCACCTCTGAAAACAAATCTCGAGACTTTAGAAGAAAACGCCAAGCACAGAGACTTATTCATCGACACATGGTTTTACTATATGAAAAAGGACTCTGGGAATTGACTTAACCGGAATTTTTTAGTCATTGCTGACATTTGAGCAAACAGAGAGAGAGAGTACATGGAGACCACAAAACAGAGTGATCAAGCTGGTACCAGGGTTAAGACTCCTAAGATGAACCGAATAAACTCCAACATGGAAAAATAATTAGGTCAAACAACCACTAAATCAAATAAGAAGCTTGAGTAAAAAGATAATGTCGGATACTAATGAAGTCCCACACCAAGTCAGAGAAATCAAACAATTATATTCTCCAATTCAACATCTCTCCGAGCTTCACTCCAAACATTCCATTACCCAAGTCAAAGCCCAGATTTTTCTTTCTTTTGTTCTCTTCTCTTTTGAAATAAACGAATAAGAGAAACAAACGACGATGATCCGGACGCTTTCATCATCAGTCGCCCTGACCTCCTTCTCCTGAGGTTGAATTCGACATTTTGGTAAAACCGATCACGGGTGATGAAACTGCGCGGAAAAATTCAAATAAGATATCAGATAAGTCGTCTCCGGCTCGATTTGTGTCGCACCGCCGATTTAGTGGATTCATACTCTTCTCCGAATAATAGGAGGATTGGATTTTTATGTGAGATTTACTCATTTGTTCTTGGTGTATACTATAAGCCAAGACTAGGATAAAATCTCTTTAAAGTATGTTCTTGGTTAGTGATTACTCATTTATTTGTTTAATGTGAGAACAGGATGTGTGGTATCTTGCGATGTTATAAACCCACAAAACATAGATGTAAAATTTGATTCAATTGGAGGCTTGAATGCAGCCAAGCAGTCTTTGTACGAGCTTCTGATTCTACCTCTAGAGAGACCTGAGATGTTTGCTTATGGGATGTTGCTTGGCCTGAAAAGGGTGTTTTGCTTTATGGTCCTCCTGGTGGAACTGGGAAGATGATGCTCGCCATGGGTATTGCCAGAGAATCAGAAGTTGTTTTCATCAGTGTCAAGGTTTCAAATCTGATGAGCAAGTGGTTTGGTGATGCCCAGAAGCTTGGTAGGGGTGAAGCTACACAGTTGCCTTTGGTAGAGTTTAGTGGCTGCTGTGTTTAGCTTGGAGTACAAACTCTAACCCGTAATTATCTTTATCGATGAGGTGGACAATTTTCAACGGAGAACGAAGCAATCACGCATATGAAGACCGTGAGTTTAGCCTTTGTATGATAAGTGCAATCTTATTGTGTTAGAGAGAACACAAGGGTGGTGGTTTTTGCTGCAACTAACAGACCTGCAGAGCTCGACGAAGCGATATTCAGGCGTTTTCCTCAGGCAGGGATGCCTGATTTCAAGGAGAGAGCTCAGATATTGATAGCGGTTTTGAAAGGAGAGAGGGTCAAACTGGATATTAACTATAATCGTTTAGCTCGGTTATGAGAAGAGTATACCGAATCTGATATCTTTGAGCTCAACAAAAAAGCAGCTTACTTCCCAATTAGAGATCCTAGCTAGAAGGGCAGACAGATATCGGCAAGTAGAAACCGAATCTCAATGCTTCCTTCCACCACCTGGTTTCTGAGTACTGATGTTTTCGAGTTGCCTGCATTTTTTTTCCAGGTGCCTCGGCCATTGACACAAGTGGATTTGGAGAAGGCTCTTGCTATTTCCAGGTTGCTGCAGGCGAATACTCTGGTTTAAGCTTGTAGTCCCCGATTTGGACAAGCCTAAGGGATATATACGAGCTCCAAGCAGCTATAAATAGCATCTCTGAGCTTTTTGTCTCTTAAATTATATATAGTCGGTCATATTCAAATAACCGTAATTCAAAAGGAGATTCTGAATAGAAGAAAGCTCTCCTTTGAAGATTTGTATAGCAACAAAAGTATGCGGCATAATACTGTATGCCGAAGAATGTACATTTATTTTTTCCTACAGATGTCCGAAAAAAGTTGGGGTATTTCATTGTACCGTTAGTTATTAAATTTTATTAGGTATTAACTCGCGCTATGCTGCAGAATATTCTTCGATATTTTGTATATATTTTTATATTATAAAATTATTTTTATAATAGAAATATATATTATATTTATTTTTTATTAGCTTAAGTTATGTATTTATTTGTTATAAATCTGAATAAACATTATATATTCTTAATTTTTTTTATTTTTCAAAAGTATAATTTAATGTCAAATTTGTTTAGCTAACTATCTATAAATATATATGTAAGAAAAAAACAATACATTTTTAAGTACCTTCATGCTAATGGCAAATGTAATTTATTTTCTCTACTAAATTGTCACTTGATCGTCCTTTGAAATTATATAAAGCAAATTGTCATTTAAAAAAATTATTAATTAATATAATTATTTTGAATTATAAAATTTATTTATTTATTAAATATTTATTATAAACATATGTTTCTAAAACTACCAAACTATAATCAATAACATTCATATCAAAATCATTGCTATTGCTTTAGAACTAGGTAGAAAGTTTTATTTGAACTATTGAAATATCAATTTAGTTGAAGTTAAATAATTCAATTTTGGTTACTATAAACATATTGTAATTTAAAAATTAGTACAAAGAAATTTTTATCTTTTTACAAAAACAGAAAATTTGTATTTTCCAACAAAACAAAAAAAATTTCAGTTTCTCGCGAGAACCTGTATTCCTACCAAAACAAAGAAATCAAGGTTTTTAACCAAAACTAAAAAAATCATCTTCTAGCAAAATCAAAAATCGTATTTTCCCGTCAAAACTAAAAAAAAAAATATTTTTTCCGTAAAAACCGAGAAATCGTCTATTTCGGCCAAAACAAAAAAAAAATCTTTTTTTCGTCAAACCAAGAATCACGTCTTCCTACCAAAACCGATAAACTACAATTTTCCGCAAAAAAAAATATTGCATTACCTGAGAAATTGCGTTTCCCGCGAAAACTAACAAATCGCATTTTCCCGCGAAAATCATAATAATACTATATATGTCAAAAACTGAAAATTTGCATTTCCTATCAAAACCGTGAAATTGTTTATTCCCGCCCAAAATCGAAAAATTTTGTTTTCCCATGAAACCGAAAAATTGCATTTTCTGCCAAAATTATCAAATTACAATTCTCGCGAAAATCAAGAGATCACATTATCCATCAAAAGCCAAAAATTTGCATTTCTTATCAAAACTGAAAAATCGTATTTTTTTGTCAAAATTGAAAAATTGCATCTCCCTCGCATTTTCTCGTCAAAACTAAGATATATTTTTTTGTGTCAAAATCAAAAAAAAATTTCTCACCAAAACCAAAAATTCACATTTTTCTGCAAAACTCGATAATTCGTTTTTTTCCGCTCTAACCGAGAAATTATATTTTCCTACCAAAACTAAAAATTATATTTTCCTACCGAAACAAAGAAATTCTCTATTCCCGCCAAACCCAAGAAAATGTGTTTTCGGTAACAACTGGAAATACGAATCTCCAAGCTGTGGTGGTCTGAGCTTCTCTTCATTTGCTTTCGACTTCCATTTTTTTGTAAACTTTGGGCTTTTTAACGGGTCAGCAATAGTAAACTGATTTTATTAGTGTGTTAATGATATGTATTATTGTTATGTTTTTATTGGTTCAAATTTTTGCTGATGTGAGCTTCTTATAACATAACGTTTTTTGCGTTGTTGTTATGGAAGCATAGTTGATGATGAATCTATATTTTTTTCAATCATATACGTCTTTATCAAGCAAACACATAGTTAGAAATTTTAATTTTTTTTTTGCTGTTATTTATTATTTAAATTTCGGTTTGACAAAAATATAAAACAAATATTTAATTTATTTTATTTGTTGTTATTTATTATTTATATTTGAGGATAGTAAAAAATAAAACAATTTTTTTATATGCTGTTATTTATTATTTGGGCTTGAGTTTGACAAAAAAAAAACAAAAATTAACAAAGAAAAATATTTAGGTTTTTAATGGGTTTAAGTTAAAAATAATAAAAGTTAGTAAATGATGTGTATTAATAAAATATTTTGATTGATGTTTTTTTTTTACTGATGTGTCAGCTTTAAAAAGTTTGAAAATGCTGATGTGTCAAACTATGGAGAGGCACTTGTGTTATTGTTGTGTTAATTTAAACATTATTTAATTAAACATCATTTGATCCTTTACCCCAAAAAACATCATTTCATTCCATTGGATGTTTTTAGTATTTGTTCGTTTTTTCTTAAATTAAATTTCATATTACATTTTTCAAAATGATATTGTTTCTTTTTATTTAAACAAATTATATTTCTAGGTTTAAAAACTATAATTATATTCAAATCCAGCAAAAAAATGTCAAAAGTGCAAAAAGACTTTTACGTACAATTTTCTATCTTATCTAAAAAAATAAATATACACTATAAATATTATAATTATATTTAAATTCATCAAAATAATTAATAATAAAAAATAAAATTAAAAATCTTTTTAAAGGAACAAAATCAGGATGAATAGGAATTAAATGTTTAAAATAAAAATACATACTTATTGTTCTTTCATAAATATGATAAGGAATATTTTTGTTTCGTTATTTCCTATAAAATAAAAAATAAAAAGAAATCACATATAATCAATATCGTAAATGGTATATTTTTAAATAGTAAAAAAATATGTTATTCCTCATCATTTTTTATTATCACTAGTTAGACCCTTAATATATGTACAAACCTTTATTTTGCTTACAAAAATAAATGAAAATCTTTCCAATTTACAGTAATTATTTATCTCAATTCAACTCTTTAATATATTATAAAGTGACATAAAAAAAATTCTTCTAATATTATTTTTTGTAATATTGACTAAATCATAGACAAAAAATCATAAAAATTTTAGTATGATAAAATTATTTTGAAAAATCAATTAAAAAAAGTTAACTATATTAATATTATATTAATTAAAGTTTAAAAATATATAATAAAATATAAATCCGCATGTATATACGGGTTATCACCTAGTTTACATAATTGATGTGTTCCATAAATCGTTATCTTATGTATTTATTATAGACAGAGTGCAAAACTATATAATTTTACTGGTTCGACTCACGCGAGGCCCAAAACGATGCCGACACAAGACGCCTAGATTTCCATCCCAAAACAAGCCCATTTTGGCCCAACTCTTCCACTATATACCCATCGTTAAACAAGCTCAAAAGAAGCTTTGCTTGACAACGGTTGGCAAAGCTTACGTCCACCGGTTTAAACCCATTGGCCTTTAACCACTGTGGCCACGAAGCGAAACTCTCAACCTCGGCATCACCAGCAATGATAGCAATACGCGTTAACCAACCTGAAACCCACGGCCCAATGAAAATACGTTCAATAAAGCTACGGACCGGGCTTGCTTCTAGAGAGTCAAATATGGCTGAGAATTGATGTAGCAAGTCCATAAACCGATAAAGGAAGCCTTGGTTTCCCATCAGACCAACTTCTTCGTGAACAAGCGTTACAAGTTTGGGGTTTAGAACTTTAGCTTCTGATAAAAAAGAAATGAGAGAATTGGGTGGTTGGTGGATAAACCGAGGGAGATGCAACATACAATTGATAACCATTGCTTCTCCTCTCACAAGTTTCAGCGACGAAGCGTTGAATGTGTCGGTGTCGAGTTTACAATGTTGGTACGAAAACGGCTGGCCGATCGACTCAGCAAATGCAGTTAGCCGCCGTCCAGCTTCTTGGACAGCAGCAACAGATTTTTTACCGTTGGTGGCTCGTGACAAAGCCGTGATCCTAAGATGTTGGGCTGATGGGTCTGTATTTCTAGACACCAAGGCCTGCATAAGTGAGGCCCATTGAACACCTTCTGTGATATCATAATCCACAATATGGATTCGCCGCTCGCATTTTACAGCTTCAAGAATAGCTTGTGTAGCGGTAAAATAACCAAAGTTGACATACGGAGATATGTTCTGCAGCATTTCGAACGCTGTAATCACATCTGCCTGATCATGAACATCATGGCGTTGGTGTGGACCGCACTGCCGCTGAACATTCGCTCGTTCTAACAACTTTGAAAGGCCGTTGGTGAAGTGCGCAGCTAATCTCTCCATGTTGGTTTGGTCACTGGGAGAAACCAAGTCCTTTAGCCTTGCAAGTATAACCCGAGTTAGCTCCCGAGTTTTGTGGCCACTGGTTGATGCCTCTGCAGCAGCAACCAGTAAATGAATCAACCTCGAGCCTTTAGATTCGTCATGGCTACGCCGTTCTACATCATCAAGTACCCCATCAGCCACGGACAAACCCGTGGACACGGAATTACAAATTCCCTCCTGGCCAAGGTGACAAGGCAGCATTGGAGGAGATTCGCTCGCGGCTCCCTCATCACTCATCATGGATTCAATGAGATCGCGAAAGTCACTATCCCAGTGCATGTCAAGAGCTCCATCATTATGTTCCACACAGGAGGAAGTGCTTGCGGCTGTGGCAGTGTTGCTAGAGAAGAAGAGATCAAGGAAGTCATCGTAGGGATAATTCATGGTTATGGAGGTAAAAAAAAAGAAATTGTTAGTGTTAAGTTATATAGAGAGTGTACGGCCACGTAGTGGGAACCAAGACAATAGAGGTTTTATATTTTTGAAGGAAATCTTTGAAGTCAAATCTAATTACATGGTCCCCTTTCAGGGAGATCAAACAACCTGTGGTCCATCGAAGAAGCAGCAGGACCACTGTGATCAAATTGTGCAAATAAAAAAATCAGGTGAGAAAATATTTAGTCCTTTAGTACTACGTAATACATTTTTTTCTCTCGCAAATTAGCATGCAATTTTACCCTTTTATCTGTAAATTTGTTTCAGTATTATATCATGAAAGTATACCAGTATACAAAAAAACCGATATATGTCTAATAATTCTAGGTAAATTGGTCATTTTCTTAGAAAAATAATGTTTGTCCATGTGAACTTACAATGAAGTTTTTTAAAAGTGGTAGATTGCTAAATAACTTTAATATTAATCAATGTTTATATTTTAAATCAAATCATCAACTTGCAATCAAACCTAATTAGTGACAATTTAAAATAATATAAAATTATATTATGAAGAAGCATATCGCCACATTTGCTGAGCAGAGAACCTGGTGAACCAAACAGAAAAAAACAAGATATTGTAGAGTTCTATAATTTAAAACAGCAAATCAAATCATTCAAGAGACACACCAACATCAAAATAAAATAATTATTAATAACTACTAATTGTCCTTCACAAGTTTCAGACACTACTCAATTGTAGATTAAACAGACAGCAGAACTTATCTCCCTAACCTCCATGACAGTATTTTTTTTTCTTTAAAACAAGTGACAAAAGCAGTGATGCAATTTAATTAGTTTAGAAGTTGTAATCCAGCTCAAATCAGGTGGTCACACTTAACACTTCCCCCTTAATCAAATTTCCCATAAATATATAATCAGATATTATCATATTGTAAGAACCAAATCCTACACTCCAATATAATTGAATATATGCTTGTTCTTTCATAGTTTTTCAGAAGATTATATATTTATATATATCCTTAATCATTCAGGATACATATAGGCTCGTTAAACAAGGTCATAGTGCCCTTTTGAAAAGACTTAACAGAACCCAATATGTTGATTTGTACCTTAGTAAATCATAATATTGTTATATGTCCTATCCTTTCTTGTTAACCGTAGAATGAACTGTTCTTGCAGCTGCTACTGCAGAGTCTCCTCTTTTCACTATTTTCTCCAGTTCTTCCACCTTCTCTGACAACAATCTAGCATTTCTGGTGGTAGCATGGACCAACCTGTTTGCAGTTTCTAGGGAAGTGCAAAGCTGAAATTGTAAGGGCAAGCAAGAGATTAGTATATGTCTCTTGACAAAAACCGAAACATTATATTTGCATTTGTCTCTTCTTAGAACAAACATATTCTAGAGAATCTCATAATGTATATATACTTGAGATATTGGCATCACCTATCATTTACTCATTTACTTTAAGGAGGGTAGAACCAATGTCAAAGACGAAATCCCCAAAAGACTTCCCTTGACAGAAACAGACAACGAGACAAAAAAAATATTCTATACGTGCCCGCCCATCACATAAAACTCTTTCATATACAAACCACAACAAGATAAACTTGTCAAATCGAGAAGATTTAAGGGGAGATCTGATAAGGGTATTGCCCTTGAAAAAGAAATGAAGATCAAAATTATCACAGAATCGAATTTGTTGACTGCAAGTACCAAAAACAGAAGCTTACAAATTACCTCCACTGTGAGAGATGTCCATGAGTGGTCAGAACCAGCAAACGCAGTGTTTAGTTTATCATAGTTGTCCTGAAACGCAAAACAACTGTTTTTAAAAACAAATATTGCGGTGTAAAATAGGCTTGAAAGGACTAGGTCAGAAATTTACATCCAAATACTATACTAATCACAGAAACAATATTGCTAAGAACAACAAATGAAGTCCCATTTCAGTTTCAAAAATGAATCACTTCTATGGATTAAGAGGTATTTACAGTACAGCTTTTCCACTAGATTATATCCGATACACAGAGTTTTCAAATCTACCCTGATTTGGACTCACATCATTCCAAATAACCACTTAATAACAAAGTGTAGGAAAAATCCAAATTAAACAGAAATGTTGCATAAAATTCGAACTAACAATGAAACAATATGTTGATGATAATTGCATAACTCAATTCATTATGATGAATGAATAGTGATAGATATTTTCTGGTTTTAGAACCCAACAAAGTCCATTGAATCCAGAAATAAACTTAATCTTTTTTAAAAAAAAGAAACATAGAAATCCTAAGAATACAAAACAAAACACCAAATATTTAGTAAGTAAATCATTTTCTAAATCAAACATATGCACATTAAAGTTGGATAATTCGTTAGGTGTCATTACTATGATTTTACTTAATAAAATTTATAACTTTATAAACAAAAATAGGAAATACTACATATTATGTTTTAATTTTTTATATGAATGAAAATTTTTACAAATATATTATAGTTTTGATAATTTAAAAGATATTAGCTAAAACATTAAACCAAATTATTAATACAGACTCGCGCGTAGCGCGAGTTAAAAGCCTAGTAATATATAAAAGTTGATGGCATAGTGCATTGAGGGCGTCCATATGAGATTAAAAAACTTGATATGATTAGTCCACATCAGCATATTCATTAAATAAAAATGTTAAGTATGATTAGGATAAAAAACATGATTTAATTTGTCCACATCAGCTTTTAAATCAAACCAAAAATTATTAAGTATAATTAAAACATTAAAAGTTAATTTAACAAATTATGTGCAACAAAAAAAGTAAATTCAATATGAATGATCCAAATCAATATATTTATTAAATCAGAAAATGTTAATATAGTTTTAAAATTTAAAAATTAAGTAAAAAATAATAATTAACAATACATGTCTAAAAAAAGTAACCATTGTCAATTATTAATTAAAAAAAATCTACAACAATTCGATTTAACAATTAAAATAATGAAAACTGAATAAAAATATAACCTAAAACTCTTGGAAGACATGATAGAGAAGGAAAAAAATGGTTTTGCATGATCATTACAACTTCCTAACAAAATTATGTGAATCAACATGAATCATGAATTATACACAGTGGTACACAACATCAATAAGACTTTCAATAAAAAACTAAATATTTGAACACATAAACTTTCAATGAAAAAAAAACTATAGAAATTCTATGGAAAACAGAAAATAATACCAAAATGATAGCAAGATTATATTTCTCTAAATCAAATGTATATGTACGTCAAAGTTGGATAACTCAATATGTGTCATTTTTATTATTTTACCTAATAGTTATTTAAAATTTATAAATTAAAATAGGATAAATTACATAATATATATTAAATTCTCTTATATAAATAAAAATTTCTATAAATATATTATATTTTAAATAATTTTAAAGTTAGTAGCTAAACAAAATTAAACCAAAATATTAATACAGACTTGCGCGTAGCGCGAGTTGATGGCATAGTGCATTGAGGACGTCCACATGGGATTAAAAATCTCAATCTAGTTGGTCCATGTCAGCATATTCATTAATTAAAAAATATTAAGTATGATTAGGACGGAAAAACTTGATTTAATTGGTCTACATCAGTTCTTAAATCAAACTAAAAAATTATTAAATATAATTAAAATATTAAAAGTTAATTTAACAAATTATATCCAACAAAAATAGTAAATTCAATCTGATTGATTCAAATCAACATATTTATTAAAACAGAGAATGCTAATATGGTTTAAAAATTTAAAAGTTAATTTAAAAAATTAACAATTAAAAATACATGTATAAAAAAAGTAACCATTATCAATTATCAATTTAAAAAATATACAATAACTCGATTTAACAATTAAAACAATGAAAACTAAATAAAAATATAATATAAATTTTTTGGAAAACATGATGGAGAAGGATGAAATAGTTTTGCATGATCATTACAGTTTCCTAATAAAATTAAATGTGAATCAACATGAATCATAGATTATATATGCAGTGGCACACAACATCAATAAAACTTTCAATAAAAAACTAAATCTTTGAACACATAAACCTTCAAGAAAAAAAAAACTATAGGAATTCTATAGAAAACAGAAAACAATACAAAAATCTTAGCGAAATTATATTTCTCTAAATCAAATGTATATGTACGTCAAAGTTGGATCATTCGATAGGTGTCATTGTTATTATTTTACCTAATTGTTTTTTAAAATTAATAAATAAAAATAGGATAAATTACACATTATATATTAAATTCTCTTATATAAATGAAATTTTTTATAAATATATTATATTTTTAATAATTTTAAAGATAGTAACTAAAAAAATTAAACCAAAATATTATACCTAGTTAAAAATCTAACAATTGAACTAACATGTACATGATGGATGATCCTCGAGTGTGAGGTCGGTTTAGTCTTAGAGCATAAGGAGTGGTACAGGTGCAAAGGGCATGCAGAGTAGTACCAAAAACAGTAATGGTAAGGCCAAACGGAATAAACTGTGAACAGAAGTGGAACACTTACCTTCTGTTTAACATTAAAACCACAAGTGTAAAAGAAATATAGTGCGCAGTATCAACTAAAATTACAAAATATCATCAAAATGAAAAACATTTCCCTTATTTATGTAGTGTCAGCAGGAACATTGACGTGACCATTGCCTGAGATCTCCACAGATGCAGGCCTGTTCACAACCATGTGAGTAGAAATCTGATCACTTTCGTCTCTGTCGTCATTAACAAATCTCAGGAAAAAAAATAAGTACAAAGCCATTACAAAGCGAACCCAACGTCGTCTATGTAGGAGTTGGTGTAGGGGTTGCTGCAGGGTAATGTGACGTACCCAAGTGAATATGCAAGAGGAGGTGCTGGAGCTTGACGAATGAGAGACTCTATATTCGTCCATTTATATAACTACTTTAACGTATTCATGTGCGTGCAGAGAGATCACTTAGTGGTAGAATCAAAGTCAATGCAGAAACAGAGGGACGGTCGTATTTTAATCCCAAGTATGCCTGGTTTAGAGAGTTGTAGCCACGTAGGGTGTAAATTCTAAAACATTTCTTAAAAGTTTCCATACTAGAAGTCCAGCACATCAGAATTCAAACTCGAAGCTGGAACATCATAAGAAATTCATCATTTAGAAAAAAAAGTCTTGATTGATCTTTCCTTTAACCAATAAATGACCAACGGAAAACTCGTGAAGAGCATTCCCCATCAGTGCCATCCCTCCAGTATGCAAAGAAAACCAACATTGAAAAGGGAAACCGCAAAAAATAGCGGAAAACGAGCGGACTCAAGGTATAAGGCGAAGCATAAGGGATGATGAGCAGAAGCAAAGCCATGAGATAGAAGCCGCCTGAAGCTAAGACAAATATGGCAAGCCAATGATGCTGTCCCAAGACCAGGTATAACCCCGCGACAAAAGCCAGAGACATGGCGATAATAGAAAACCCCAGAAGCGGCACGATGAATTTGAAGGTGGTCAGCATGCATTTCATGTCAGCCAATTGTGTCCCTATCAGAGCAACCGTCGATATAACAGCACTATAGACAGCGATGCTATTGCAGATGACGAAAGCATGGAACGCAGATTCCTCGTAAGAATGTTTGACATTTGACCTGAACTCTGTGCTGTTGTAACCTAGTGGCACACTCAAGCCAGCAGCAAAAGCCATTGTAGCCACCAGTGTTGCCACCACAAGGAGGGTGTTTACTCTGTCCTTGTACGTTTTTAGGGTGAAGTCCTCATCTGTGGTACGAGTGTCTGCTCTCAGATGAACACGTGGAGCTCTAATGGTACCGGCAGACACCAATGCCACCCATATCAACCACTGATGCCAAACATAGGATATGTCAGGGATGAAAATGTGTACAAATGATACTCAATGGCGTATAAAACCAGAGGACAGGCCAAACCTGTTGGAGTGAAGGGATCGCCGCCATATGCTCCTCCGCAGCATCTAAAGTAGTGAACCCTTTGTAATTCAGTACTTTCAAGTCCACTCTATTATCATGTATGAAGAGACTTACAACCTTGGGATTAGAGTTTATGCTGGCTAAATGCAACGGTGTGTTTCCTTGTACATCTTGTTCATTGATTAAACTTTTGATGTCAGCTTTTCTGAGCAGATAGGCAACAGCTTTTGCGTTCCCGCTATTAGCAGCGACATGAAGAACGTTTTGACCCTGTGAGTTAAGCATCTCTATTGTGTCTGGGTGGTGTTTTAAGATCACCTTGAGAGCTGAGGTGCAACTTGCAATGCAGGCTGAGTGGATGGGGAAAGAACCATCTTCATTCTTTATGTAAGCAACCTGTGTAGAACTTGCAAATCTGGTTAGCATATACTCCACTCCTTTGTCATATCCAATGGCTGCTGCAAAGGCAAGTGGAGTTCGCCCATCTTCATCCCTCGACTCTACCAGATCTGAGTCGCTCTCCAGTACAGCTGTTAGTATATCTGCCATGACAGTAAGAAAACACCGAATAAATAAGATCAGTAAGACACACTCCATACGTTGAGCATAGGAAAAAGATGATATTCAGAGGACCAAAATGTACAGAACTGACCAAGATTCTGGCTTTTGATTGCCGCACACACGACTGACTTCCCAACAAAGCCTGCATTCAAACCCTGTAACATATGTTCTACGAGTGCAACATGTCCAGCTTCAGCCGCCATATACAATGGAGACACATCCTCCTTGTCCAGAAGAAAGCAAGTGCTCTGATCTTTACGAACAAGTTGCAAGGAAACAGATACATGGTTCCCTTTCAGGGCGAGGTGCAATGCAGTATCCCCATCATCGTTGGAAACTCTCAAGATATTTCCAAGTACGATCTGCTCTGAGCCAAGCACAATAATTCTATCTTGCGGAAGAAGACATAGGGATGCAACAAGAAGGTCAACTATCAGCTCATGGCCTTACCTTACCACTTCGGAGCAAAGTTACCATTTAAGGAAGGGTTCCAACTTCTAAGAACGTTTAGCTCATGGTCCAGGATACGCCGCACCAACTGATCATGCCCATTAATGGCAGCAAGATGCAGTACTGTGTTTCCCTGAAACGTGACCTGATCAAGAACAGGAATTTCATTTGCCTGCAGAACCCTCTCAAAGTCTTGCACCTTACCCGTAACCACTGCCCTATAAGTCACGGGATCCATAAATATTTTAAAAATGAATCTTACAAGGAAACTTGGAGCTGTTGGACTTCCAAACCAGCGGTACAGATCCTTTTCCTTAATGTTATGCTTGATCTCTTCAAGGTTGCTGACAGTTTATGCTTACAATCTTCAGAACCTGATTTTATTAAAAGCATGATGACATCAAAAGCTATACATCCATAGTACCAATCTACCTCATATGGTACTTGATCCGTGAAATTGCCTTTATAGAGATACTGAAAAATAAACAACAAATATAGCAGGAAACAGCTACAGCTGCAGCTACCTTGTCTTATACAGTAACATGCAATTGTGGGAACAAGTAGTCTTAAAATAATCAGAAAATATCTGTAACATGTCCATTTGAAAAAGAAAAAAAATAGCATTGGATCCATATTACAGATACAGATACGTTCGTTTCCCAACGAGATGGAGAAAGGTAGTGGTAAGGTAAGGCCAAGATTAAAAAACTTAGCTATTTAATATTGTCAAGGAAGAAGTAAAAGGTCTCAATGAGAAGGAAACAAACACGTACCTTCCTTCACATCAGAAATAAACTTTCTACTTTGGCATGGGGTTTCTAAAGTTCACTTTTTCTTTATTCATTACAAATAAAAAGGGCGTGATCTATAAGCAGAAAGTACTCCATGGATATTAAATATCCAACGACTTAGAGCTTTCTTGAACTTGAAAATGTCAGCCATGAGTTGCAGAAGAAGAAACCAAGTCAGCTCTTGCGTGGGGCTAATAACAATCCTGTATTATCCATTTTCTCTTCAAAATTCCATCACCCTTAACATTTTACCAAAAAATTCATTACCCTTAAAATATCGCAATAAAATAGGCTAATAACTATCAAAAGTCAAAACTCATACTTTTCTTTCTTCTCTTCTCTTTTGAGGTAAACGCATTGTAGAAACAAACGGCGCGAAGACCGATCTCTTGTCGGTTGATCCACCATCTGCATTTCCAGCTCAGTTCTCTCTTCGATTTCTGATTTTTGAATTTTTCCCTTCAAACTTGCAAAGGGAAACTGTGATTACAAATGTCAATCCATCCTCAAAGCTTTAATCATTTTAGACGTTGAAACTTGCAGTAAAGGTAAACACATTTCAAGGTTGGAACTTGAAAACGTTGTAACCAAAGATATGTTCATCTCAAATAGAAGATGTAAGATGAAAACAAATAGTACATTCACTCAATTTTTTTCTTTCTTGTCACACACTTGTTTCAATCCTAAAATTATTGAGTAAATGTACAAACATTGTTCATGATATATTAGACCACCTCCAATGGAGGTTCTGAACTATAGTATCTAAACCTTAAAAATAATAAAAATAATGAAAAAGGAAGAAAAAGATAAAAAAAAAAATAAGAACCAATGTCAAAAGCTTCTAGTTCAGAGTCGATCTCTAAACTTTTGAGGATATGTGCCTTCTTATTAGTGGTTTATTTCTTTTTATTATTAAAATTAATTATTTTATTTAATTATAATAATATAATATTTTTAATGAACCCATAAATAAGTATCTACCGTTGGCTATGCTCTTAGATGTCAAAAAACTTACATTACATGTACTAACATAGTTTCAAGAAGAAGTTATATCCTTTTGTTTAGACATTTTGTTAAACATACATATAAAATTATAAATTATAACTTTAAAAATCAGGTGATTAGAATTTCTAAAGGTGATTAAAATTTTAGTTATAGTGGATATGTGGATATGTATAATGATTTGTTATGTTTTATGATTATTGTATTCTTTCAATTTCTAATTATCTTATTTTTGATTAATATAAATTAAACAGTTCTTTAATCACAAACTTATGTATAACAAATTGCTATTATTAATACAAATTGTTACTGTAACTATTTTGTAACTAATTCGAGAAGTTGTTCGTATTGCTTATCTGGTTGATATTAAATTTAAAAACCATTGCAAGATTTGCATTTGCTATGAAGTCTCTAAATTGATCCCCTTCATGGATCGAGGAATGAGTTCAGATAGTACCTTTAACTTAAAAAATGGGCTTTGATCAAAAACTATTACACATTATTTTCATAATTGTTTTAATTTTACTCTCTTTTTGCCAAAATAGATTCTCTATTTGATTACTGCAGCGGATGCTTCAAATTTCTCTAACATACATTTACATGGAATCTATTGGAAAATTGGAAAAGATAAATGCCTAGAGGCAAAATGATGCAACATTAACTCTGTCAATGAAAATCCTCACTTTTATAAAATCAATGGTGTTTAGTTTGGTATAGTATTGGAACTTGCAGTGTTTTTTTTACTCAAATATTACTTCTTTTCCTAAATAATAGAAGTTTTATGAAAAAAAAATTGTTTTTTAAAGTTAGATGTTTTTAATTTTTAAGGTGTAGTTATTGTTATTTTTATTAAAATTACCCTTGCAATATTTGTTATCTAATGAATCATTGGGTTAAACAAGTTAAACCATCTCAGCCATCAACCCAATGCAAATTAAACCATTTCAACCCAACCCAATTGATCCATCAACCCAACTGACCCATCAACCCAACTGACCCATCAACCCATTAGTATCAAAATGTTTAATCCAATAAGGTTCATGGATCGGATTGAAAAATATAAATAATAATTAATAAAAATAAGGTTAGTAAAGTGTTTTGTAACATTTTCTTAATAACTGTAAAAAAACTCAAAATATTATTCTTAAAAAAAACAGAGGGAGTAGAAAAAAAAACAAAGATAAAATAATTGGAAATAGAAGAATGTCATAGAAACTGACTTTTATTCTTTCGGTGATGTAATAGAAGATGCAGACTTACTCAAGCAAGTAATAAGTGGTGCTTGTGTTTTGGCTTCTTTGGAATGTTTTTCCAGTGTTGAGAAAAAATGTTAATTTCTAAGTGATAAGTGTCTCAATTGTAATTAGACTTGCTTCCATCTCAAACCTAAATTATCCCACAAAACAAATTGTTTGAAATGACAGCAAACGGAAGAAAGATGTCAGAAAATGCAAAAAGAGTAAACGTCTGAGCATATGTACTCAAAGTCAATACAGAAACAGAGTAAAAGATATTTTCTTATAATCCGAAATAAACCTACCAATCTCGATCAAACGGATTATGGAAAAACTTGGTTCTTATTGTTATTATAGCCATGGGCTGACTTATACACACATGCAAATCAGCCCAACTAACAAGGCCTTTCGACTCAACGGCACCAGTATATCCCAGACCAAAATCTATACAACACAAACTCCTGAAACATTAAGCAACTTTGATTTGTTTCCGACACAAATGTACATTTTGTTTTTTTTTTTTGTCTACGTTTCCTTACACTTCAGAGTGTGAAGAGTAAATCCAAGCTAACGATGAGAGACACCCTAAAACAGTAGAAGACACAGAACAACACAACACGTGAAAAAGAAGAAGATTCTTCCCAGATACTTATCCGCCTTCTTTATCCGTCTTCTCATCCTCGGCCCGCTTGTCCCCGCGAGATTGTAAGTGTCCGGATACGCGAATCTATCCATCACTCGTGTTCCAAACAACCTCGTAGCCACCATCTCCCCGACCATCACCATCATTGGATCCATGGCAGCAGAGTATGACAAACCGTTCGAACTCACCACCCCTGAGACAGGGTAATAACCTTCCCGTTGGTTATTAAAATGAACCCGTTGCGATGATAACCGGAGATCGGTACTGGAATACGGCGAACTCAGCCGGTAAACCGGTCTTCTAGGCACACTGCTGCTTTTACCTTTGTCCTGAGTAGTGCTGCAACGGCCTCGGCCATACAAAGGAACCAATGTGGAGTGAGACACTTTGGATTTACAAACAGGACACTCTCGGTGTCTCTTGTACTCATCATTTGTTGAGAAGCTCTGCACATCAAGCCATCTGTGGATGCAGGGCCAGCAAAAGAGGTGACCACAGAGCGTGACGACGGGCTCTTGCACCGACTCTAGGCAAATGTTGCAGTCGAAGTTCGAATCATCGCTATCATCAGAAGGAACAGAGACTGTGATGGGTTCCTGTTTGCTGTTCTTGAAACAAAACGCGCCTTCTCCATAGAGTTCTCCAGGTACAACAGCATCTTCAAAAGATTGATCCAAGGCCATTGGTCAGAAATCTGAAGGAAAAAAATGAGTTGGAACAGTAAAGGATTAGATCCAAGATGATTTCAATAAGGTCTTAAAAAACTTAGGTATCAATCGAATTTACAAGTGAAGCACACAAAGATAGCTTCTTTGAGTCCAGGTGTGGTGAGAATTAGGTTAATTAAAAACGGTGTAAAAGATAAACAACAACAAAAATCCAGAAAATCTAGAATCATGAGGATTGTATCTGAATGCCTCTAACACTTCAACTAGCCGCCTAAAGAAGAACCCTAAAGTTTCAATTTTGAAACCGATGAAACTAGAGAAAAACCCCTGATTCAACTCGAGCAGGGTTTTAAGAATCTTCCGAAAACTCGTAACCAATTATCACCATATCTCATTCATATGAAGTTTAGCTAAAGAAAAACAAAAACAAAAACGATCAATTTCTCGCAACAAGTTAAAAGAACAAAAGAGAGAATGTTCTGAAGACTCGGTAAAAGCAGAGAGTCAAACTCAAACTCATCGCCTACAGAGAGAAAAGTTCAACAGCAATTCAAATCAATGGGGAAAATCCCAATCAAAAGACCGATTAATCTCCGGTGAACAAGTATACTCACATATACACCTATACATAGACATTTGTACACATGTGTGTGTCTGTAAACACGCAAACTCAGGAATACAGAGAGAGAGGAAGAGAGAGATTTGAGGATACGAACCAGACAATCGGCGAAGTTTGAGGGAAAGCACTGTATCGGCGGCAGAATTGAGCAGAGGAGAGAGAAATGGAGAGAAGAAAATCTGGGTTTTGTAGCAAAGAGAAACAGCAATGGAGAAGAAAAGGATTCCATTTATACGATTTTATTAAATTAAAAAAAAAAAATACTATCCAAAAAAAAACAAAAGAAGAAGAAGATATTACGCATCGAATTCGAGAGCGCAATGATATCTTGATGACGTGGCTCTCTGAAAGATTCGTCTGTCTTTTTAGTAAATTTATTTATTTCAAGATATACCCCATTAACTATAGTCCCTATCCAAATATATTTGTTATCTTTTCTTTCTCATTAAAACTCACTCGGGCAGGACTATATAGTAAAATGCGCTTGAGATTTTTTAATGGATAAGGTTTTCGATTAAGTCTTTTAACCAAACTGATATGTCAACCTCAGCTTAATAGCAGAATTATAGAATAACTGAATAATAAATTAGTGGAATCAATAGAATAAATAAATTGAAAATTGAATAAACTCAAAATATTAAAAAATTAATATCTATTAAATAAATAGATTTTTTTTAAATTAATTATAAATTTAGAATGTACAGAATGATTTAAAAAATAGCATATCAATTTTTACTTTTTATCATTAAATGCTTAATATTATGAATGATATATATTTAGTGAAATCATATTTTTAAAACATAAAAACATGAAAAAGCCACATACTACCATTCAACTCTAATATTTTTTTGTAACTATCCAAATTTAGTCTCTAATTTAAAGTGTGTTGTAACTTGTAACTATCAAGGCCAATGAAAAACACAAATTTG